GAGAGGAAGGTGCGAGAAATGTGCCAGTGTGTAAGAAGCGCTGGCTGTTTCTGATTTTTAGGGCTGCCATGGTGAAGCCGCTCGCTTTAGATACAATGCAGGATCAGATGGTTAAAGTTAAGGACGCTTTAAGGGAAAGTCTCCAACTAACAGGAATTCCTGCTGAGAAGTTTTGAAGTGAATGCCAGAGTCTCATAAAGAATTAAACATGAACTGATGAGAGGAGGAACGCAGAAAACTGGCTTGGCTGTAAAAGAGTTGAGGATGGGACTTCTTCTACTTCTAAATACAGACTAGTTTGCTGGTTTTAGGAAAGTATTTTGCTCCTTGTTCATACTACTTCATTTAAGATGAGCTGAAACAGCACAATTCCTGATTGTTTAAATGTTCAATCAACTTCATTCATTCATTCATTTTTCTTCAGCTTAGTCCTTTCATTCATCAGGAATCGCCACAGTGGAATGAACCACCAATTTATCTAGGGTATGTTTTACGCAGTGGATGCCCTTCTAGCTGCATCCCAGTACTGGGAAACGCCAATACACACATACACTACAGCCAATTTAGCTTAATCAATTCACCTTGTGCATGTCTTTGACTGTGGGGGAAACCTGAGCAACCAGAGTAAACCCACATTGACACGGAGAGAACATGCAAACTCCACACAGAAATGCCAACTGACCCAGCCGGGACTCGAACCAGAGCTTCTTGCTGCAAGGCGACAGTGCTTACCACTGATCCACTGTATCACCCCCCCATGTGTTTTAAGTTCGTTGTAACTTATTAAACGAAGTTAATCAGGTTCTAACTTAATGTTACAAGTTCCTCAAGATGTATAAAGTCAGTTAAATTTAATATAAGTTCAAAAGACTCATAAGGTAAATTTGATCCAGCCAGGGGTGGACTGGCCATCTGGCAAACCGGGCAGGCTTCTGCTGGGCCTATATACTTTTTGGGCCGGGCTGATCATCCTCTTATGATCTGATCGGCCTATAAAACTCTTAGCAGACTTTTTCTTTTTCTACCTAATTGATTGACGATGCTGTGATCTGTGACGCTTTTTTTGTTTTTGTTTTTTCGGACAGACCTTTGGTTCTTTTCTTTATTGACATTGGGCTGACCCAATCACAAACTTCCATTTTGGGCTCTGTGTAAGCGTGCAACGTCGGTGTGCATTTGCCAGGATAATCGAGAGTCAGGCGACGCAGTAGACCTCACAGCAAGAAGGTTGCTGGTTCGAGCCTCGGCTGGGTCAGTTGGTGTTTCTGTGTGAAGTTTGCATGTTTCCCCCCACAATTGTTCGTAGTGTATGAGTGTGAATAAGTGTATGTGGATGTTTCCCAGAGATGAATTGCAGGTGGAAGGGCATCCGCTGCCTAAAACATGTGCTGGATAAGTTGGCGGTTCATTCCTCTGTGGCGACCCCAGATTAATAAAGGGACTAAGTCGAAAAGAAAATCGAGAGTTGCACCTGTTTCTCAACCCACACGTGCGTATGGAGAGCAGAAGGGCGAGCAGGTGTTTTTTTTTTTTTGCGTCTGCACGTTTTTTATTCTTTTTTAAATATTTCCCAAATGATGTTTAACAGAGCAAGGAAATTTTCACGGTATTTCTGATAATATTTTTTCTTCAAGAAAAAGTCTTATTTGTTTTATTTCAGCTAGAATAAAAGCAGTTTTGAATTTTTTAAAAACTATTTTAGGGACAAAATTATTAGCCCCTTTAAGCTCTTTTTTTTTCCGATAGTGTATAGAACAAACCATCGTTATAGAATAACTTGCCTAATTACCCTAACCTGCCTAGTTCACCTAATTAACCTAGTTAAGCCTTTAAATGTCACTTTAAGCTGTATAGAAGTGTCTTGAAAAATATAAAGTAAAATATTATTTACTGTCATCATGGCAAAGATGAAATAAATCAGTTATTAGAGATGAGTTATTAAAACTATTAGGCTTAGAAATGTGCTGAAAAAATCTTTCCTCCATTAAACAGAAATTGGGGAAAAAAATAAACAGGGGCGCTAATTATTAATAATTCTGACTTCAACTGTGTGTGTGTGTGTGTGTGTGTGTGTGTGTGTGTATATATATATATATATATATATATATATATATATATATATATATATATATATATGTGTGTATATTGTTATTATTATTAATTTATTATTTTTTTACTTTTTATCTGCACCAAGGCCTGCGGCAATGCTGTTTCCTTAACCTGCAAGTCTTTATTTTACAAATTATATAGATCATAAAGTATGTCTGCTTCTCAAGCTCTGTGAGGAGTGTCATTCATGTATTTTCACTATGCACTCGGTTAGATATCATGATTTTGTTTTTGATCGTCAGCATGATGTAGGCTCATAGTTACAATAATATTTATACAATATGGTTATATTGATATTATACATGACCTAACTTTTTTTTTTTTTTAGTTTTGTAGTTCTGCCCAAACTAATATTTGTTGCATTTTTTAATTGTTTAGGCTCATTTGATTAACTATATGCAGTCTTTAAGCTATGTTTGATGTTTCATTGTTGAGTTACACATTTTTAAGGGTCTCTGATACATTGCTTTTACAGTTTATCTTTATTTTATTAATGAATATTAACTGTGTGCATCAGCAGGAAGTTTTTGTTATGTACATTATTTAATATAGGCTCCCTCGAAACACACAGGCACACACAAGATGGACTTCCAGGGTGGATTATAATTTTATATAATGAATTGAAATTAAGCTTTTAGTTTGTCATCTCTCATTACATCCTATAAATGGCTTTTGTGCTTTTATAGAATGGGAGTTGGCAAACATATTCAAAGGCATGCACAGATGGGTAGCATTTTGATTGAATATAGTGGGCCGCTCTGTTCAAAAATGCCATGGATGATTTTTTTGTCCCAGTCCAGCCCTGGATCCAGCCTAAAAAATTAAGGCAACCAGTATTTTTTATAGTGTGTTTGTTCAACCCACCTATTGAAGTTAAGCTGAAACAAGACAATTATTAAGATTTTTTAAAATTGTAAAAATAATAATAATAATAATAATAATAATAAATTTAAGTCAACTTAATTGATTTGTGTTGGGACAATGGAAGGGATTGTGTGGAACCCAGCAGTTTTTACAGTGAGGTGTAAGCACTCAAAAAATATATTATAAAAAAATTAAATAACACCGGCACGGTGGTTCAGTGGTTAGCACTGTCACCTTACAGCAAGAAGGTCGTTGGTTCGAGCTCCGATTGGGTCAGTTGGCATTTCTGTGTGGAGTTTGCATGTTCTCCCTGAGTTTGCGTGGGTTTCCTCTGGGTGCTCCAGTTTCCTCCACAGTCCAAAGACATACAGGTGAATTAAATAAAATTAATTGGCCATAGTGTGTGTGTGTGTGTGTGAGAGAATGTAAGAGTGTACATGTGTTTACATGTACTGAGTTGCAGCTGGAAGGGCATCAGCTGTGTAAAAGCATGAGCTGCATATTTATTTATCAGGGGGACCTCAGTGGAATGAACCACCAACTTTTCTGGCACATGTTTTACTTCCAGCCACAGCCCAGCATTGGGAAACACCTATACACACTCACATTTTCACGCTTTCATACACTCTAGCCAATTTAGTTCATCCAATTCTCCTATAGTGCATGTCTTAAGATTGAGGGGGGACCAGAGCACCTGGAGGAAACCCACGCCAACACAGGGAGAACATGCAGACTTCAATCAGAAATGCCAACCGACCCCGCCGAGGCTCGAACCAGCAACCTTCTTGCTGTGAGACAACAGTGCTAACCACTGAGCCACCTATAAAAATACATAAAAATAAAAATGCAACATAACTATTGTGATGTGAAGAATCATCATTTACAGGTTGACATGTAAACTAAACGGATAGATGTGCATTTAATTCTCACAAATCTGACGCCACCCAGTGGTCACGTTAAGAACTGCATTATCAGATTTACCTCGGTTCAACACTCGTCTGGTATTTATTGGTCTGGTCAGCTCGAGTTCAGTCCTTCTCTCGTGTTTTTTTATCTGTTCATGTAGAAATCTAGGAGAAGCTGTAAAGATACAACAAATGGCTTAGTGATAAAATACTTATGGCAAAAATTCGTCAGTCTCAAAAACGACGACTGACTGGAGACTTGTTTAGATAACGTTAGGCTACCCTCCCACATGTAAAGACAAACCCTAGCTATTTCTTGATATTCATTTTATCAAGTTTTGATCATATGAGTAACGTCCTTGCGCATTTTATCCGTTTCCGATGCTAACTACATTAACAGTAATTTTAGAGCTATAGAAATTGACTGATTGATTAAATGAGTTTGGGATTTACCTGAATCTCCACTTCAACTCTTTTCAGCAGCAGCAGTGCCACTTTTAATGGCAAAACTCTTAGATCAGGGGTGTCCAAACTCGGTCCTGGAGGGACGGTGTCCTGGAGAGTTTAGGTCCAACTCTAATCAAACACACCTGAACCAGCTAATCAAGCGCTATACTAGATACTAGAAACTTCCTGGCAGGTGTGTTGACGCAAGTTGGAGCTAAACTCTGCAGGACACCGGCCCTCCAGGACCGAGTTTGGATGTACTGTTCCTAGAACTGCAATGTTACTACTAGTCCTAGATACTCAGAAAAGTCGTTGCTAAACTATTTTATTGATCATAACATTGTGAGCGCAGAGGCTGTATGCATTTCTGTTGGCTGCAAGAAACGTTATTGCGTCAGTATTTAGATTATGAGTCAGAGAAAGAGCGGGAAAACGTATGCCATCCTCATCCGTGTTTTTGTGGGGAAAACAAGGAAATATTACCGTTTAAATACTTTTATGTGCTTGGTATGCATTCTTTGTGGGTTTTGAATATCTTGCCGCTAAGTATAAAAAGATTACGAAATTATTTTATGCAGTGATATGAAAACTACATTGCCTTTAGATATGTTCATCAACCGATCAGAATCAAGCGATTCGGTCTGATCAGTAGGCATTAATTACACTGTCCTTACACAAGTTTCATTTCGTTTTTATTATGACAAATGTACAAGATAGTAAATCATATTAAAGAAATTACAGTACAGTTAACAAAAACATCAAAAAAGAGGAACAGACAAACACAAAGGACGTTACTAAATGCTAAAACCAGACGGCATCTGTCCATCTGCTGTCAAACTACATCAGGCATCTTCAAACACTGGTCTCGGCATTCATAATATCAAATTAAGCGGAGACATTTTTAAAAAAAAATGTCAAATACAAATATATACTGTCATTTTATGCTGGGCTTCAATTTCAAATCAATGTCTGTACCTTTGATTTTTAAGCTAGAGTGCTGAATATTGGCCCAATACAGTTGAAGGGTCACCTCAGGGGAAATGTGTTGTGGTTTTGTACCTAATGATGCTCTACATCTCATTTTGAAGGAGAAAAAAAACAGGGAAGATTCATTCTGCAAATCTGCAAGAGCAAAGAAGTCAGACTAGAAGATATGTGCATGCCAAGCATAGACATTAATGTACAAGACATTTTTACACAGCTTTTGTTGATCAATTCTGACACCAAAACAATTAAATCTGTCGTCGGCCTTTATATTAAATGTATTTCCTTTTGGAGAGCAGATCATTCTTGGAAATGTTTTAGCTATCAGTGGAAATAGGACAGAGTGACGGAAAAACCTTAAAGAAAAAGCAAAATCTATGAAAATGAGATAGAAGTGCCCACTTTGGAGTGGTACAAATGTACCTATAAAACAAATTATAAACAGCTGCAATCATAAAAAGGACTGCTATGTATAACTTTAAAATGCTTCTAATATGTTACAGCAAAAAAACTACAGATATACACACCAGGATAAATGCAAGATTATACCATGTCTGTGAGACGGGCGCATCTTGAAGCTCTCGGAAGGGTCGGAAATTATTCAGTATCACCTTTAAAAATAGAGGAAACCAGGAGATGAAGAATTTCTTCCTGCATGTCTTGTAAGAAAAATGTATTGCTTTGTAATTTATGAAAATACATAATCAGCATGTGGAGAAAAACAAAACAATACAATGATTATATTCATATATTTATATAAAGAAAACGAATATAGTACACTGTAACACAGATACGATGGGCAAAAAGACAATCCCTTAGATGGAAAAATCTGAGATGAACAGAGAAACAAACTGCACAACGGCGTGGGAGAGTCCTCAGTTGTATCCTCAAGTGGAAGATTTGGCATTTGACGCATTGAAAAGCTGCCAGCGTAAATAGTGTTTGACTTCACATGGTGCTGAAATTGAATATTAATAAGTTGGCATAAGAAAAAAAAAAAGAGCAGAATTTATCACCATTAGACAAACTTCCAGGAACCGTCAGCTCTTAACGGTGCGAGCGACCAAAAGCGATAATTTCCGGTACAAATTACAATTCTGTAATAAATAGTGTAACAAAACAAAGCTTATAATGACATCACGTAATAAAAACAATTCCCCAGCAAAATGACACTAGAAATTTAACTTCCGCTCGTATGTTGATTATAAAAAAGACGAATGTTTAAAAAAATGGCCTCGGAGTGGAATAGCGCATCACCTCAGGCTCCTCCCCCTTTCGCACAGACTCCGCCCACTTCCACATTTTTCTCTGAAATGTGCGACAGACAGCAGTGGAGATCGAAACACATGACCGATGTCAGATGGCTGAGTGATTAGTGTAAAAAAAGAAAGAGGTTTTTGAGGTTTTGCTTCCAGAGAGGAGTTTCGTTTGAGAAGAAACATCTCAGGGAAAGGATTGCCGTCTCCTTCTCTTGATACTGTTTGTTCGGTAAAATATTTACAGCTATTATTATTATTATTATTAACGTGTCGTGGACAATCTGTTCCGCTGGCACATTTATAACAGGGACTGTTGATGAGATCTGTGGTGAGGGTCTACAAAAAGATGAAGATGAATGCCAGGTTATAACTGTTCGCTGTTGCAGACATAGTCTACGAGGTCTGTGACGCCCAAAAGATCGTCTTCGTCTTCTTCCTGTGCGCCGGCTTCCAGGCCATTGGGTGCTATGGATGGTGTGTTGCCATTTTTAGGCGTTGCTCCTGCTCCCGGCCGTGGCGCGACGCCCTCCAGACCCTTTATAGGGCTCTGTCCATTAGTAGAAGGAGGCTCCGCTGTGTTGTCGTTTATTGGACTGGGACCTTTACTAGCGCTCGTCTCTTCTGTGTCTTTCTCCTGCGGACTCTTCTTCACCTCCTTCTCCTCTTCTTCGCTCTCACTTTCGTCAGAGTCGATTCGGTTTACTCGCTTCCGGACAGGACGCTCCTCTTCCTCGGATTCATCTGAATCATCATCATCGTCATCGTCCTCTGACTCCCGTCGGCGCTTTAGGGATAAACGTCTGCGTCGCTTCCTGGATTCCTCCTCCTCAGACGAGTCGGCTCTGATCTTCTTGGGTTTTCGCTCTTCTTCTTCCGATTCCGCTGACTGGAAACTGGCTGGAGGAGCAAAAGAGAATAAAACCATCAAAAATGTATGTATTAAATCAGTCTAAACTATGTTAAAATGATATGTATTGGTTTTGGAGATTGATATCAACCCAATTTACTGAATAACAATTTGTAAATTATTTAAAGGCAAAAAAAGCTATTTATTACAAAATAAAATAAAATTTTTATAATATATGCATGTTTAAGAAACCAGTCTGAAATGATTTGCACTTTAAGACATGGTGCATTATCCTGCTGGAAGTAGCCATCAGAAGATGGGTACACTGTGGTCATAAAGGGATGGACATGGTCAGCAGCAATACTCAGGTAGGTTGTGGCATTGACACGATGCTCAATTGATACTTATGGGCCCAAAGTGTGCCAAGAAAATATCGCACACATCATTACACCTTCACAACCTTCATGTTGTTGATGCCAAATTCAGACCCCACTCATCAGACCAGGCAACATTTTTCAATCTTCTATTCGCCTGTGTGAATTGTAGCCTCACTGGGAGTAAAAACAAACTTTTTTTTATCAACACAAACAAATTATTCCATCAAGGGAACGCAACATAAAGAGTACACATGAATTAAGTTGTCTAAGTTAATTAATTTATTACACCCAAAATCATGTGTCACAACTAAGTAAGAATGAATAAAGAATCAAAACTCACGTTCTCCAACAAATATACAACACTAACCTAATAAACAACCCAACAAATAACAAATCAGATCAAAGTAAGACTTATAGAAAAAACAGGAAATTAAAGAAAATAAACGAAGCTTGATGCCTGCCAGTGAAGTCTTCTCTGTTTCCGCTTAATGTTGGTCCATATTTATAGCCAATTTGCAACTAGTGCAACTAGCCACAGGAGCACAAAGGTGAAACAGACTCTAGGAAACAGTCAGTGACGTCATGACACACACGCAAGCACAGACAGGCTACAGCCGTAACACTGCTATAGCCCATCCACCTCAAGTTTGGATGTATTGTACGTTCAGAGATGCTCTTCTGCATACCTCGGTTGTAAGTGGTTATTTAAGTTACTGTTGCCTTTCTATCAGCTTGACCAGTCTGGCCATTCTCCTCTGACTTTTGGTATCAACAAGGCACCCACAGAACTGCCGCTCACTGGATATTTTCTTTTTTTCTATTCAGACTAACAGACTATTCTCTGTAAAACCTAGAAATGATTGTGCGTGAAAATTCCAGTAGATCAGCTGCTTCGTACCCGTCTGGCAACAAAAACCATGCCACAATCAAAGTCACTTAAATCCCCTTTCCTCCAAATTCTGATGCTAGTTTGAACTGCATGATTGGCTGATTAGAATGCGTTAATGAGCAGTTGGACAGGTGTACCTAATAAAGTGGCCGGTGTGTGTACATCAGCCTAAAACACTATCTTCTGTTTTAATAAACTGTATTTTATAATATTATGTCAATGCTAAATCTCCAGCAACATTAGTCCAATCTTTGGAGTCATATCGTTGAAAAATAATTTGAATAGGATTTTGTGCTCAAGAACCATTACTGATGTAAAGTTATTAACACTGACTACAGCTGCTTTATCTTTTGTGAAAACTGTGATAAACGTTTATAAATTAATTGATGAAGTAAAAAAAAAAAAGTTGTAATTTCAAATAAAAAGACCAATGTTTTTTTAACAATTCAGTCATCCATGTTGTATTTATTGAAATGATCAGCCATTTAAAAAACTTCATAACTGTATTAGTCACACAAACTGTAATCTTAAATTACACTGAACTCTAATATTTAACTGCAATGTCAGAGTTATACTGACCTTCGCTGTCAGAGCTGGACAGTCGTCTGCGCTTCTTTTTCTTGTCTTTGTTGGTGCTGGCTTGCGAGCCGTCTGAATCTGAAGTTTCACAGTAATTCACCTCCTGCTTTCGGCTGCGATACGAGCGTCGACAGCGGACGTCCAGATCACTGTCACTGAACTCACTAGAGCCCTCCGTCACTGTAGAGAAACACACACCAATCAGTCAACACAGTAAATTTAAACAAAAACTAGCAAAATACATAAACAATGCTTATTAGCCAACAAAAAAGTTACCATTTTAATTTGCCTCAAAATGCAACCCAATTAAACAACAGGTCTTATATTAGCTAATAGATGTTATTAAAACCTTTCTTATGTTTTGATTTCTCAATATTTCGTTAAAAATACTTCCAATCCTGAACAAATGAATCTGTGCCTCACCCATCTCGTCCTCTTCCTCCTCCTCTTCATCAGTCTCCAGCTCCTCTTCATCAGAGTATCCTCTGGGTCTGCGTCTCCTGCGCGGAGGTTGTTTTCTCCGGATTCGACTCCGGCTCGTTTTCCTTCTGTTCGCACGATTCACTCGTGAACCTTGAGCATCACTGTCAAAGTCGCTGTCCTCTAAGGATGGCGCATTGTCTTCACTTTCAGCGTTTTCAGACGCCACAAACTCCTCCTCAGAACTGCTGACCAATCAGAGTAGAGCAAATGTCATTACACTGATACATACTGTGCTCCCTATACTGACACTGAGGAGAAATAAACTGCAATTAAATGGTTATTTTTGCTTAATATGCGCACAAAAGTGTTTTAGCTGATTAATAATATTCTGATTGGATCACCTAAAAAAACACAGGGATTGTTTTGAGGATGATTACTCTGGACTGAATGTCTCTGGACTGTTGCTGTCTATGAAGGATGAGGGAGCTCTCAGATTTCATGTAAAATATTTTAAGGTCTTAGAGCAATGGTCTCAAACTCAATTCCTAGAGGGCTGCAGCCACTAGTATTTTCACCCATACAGGTTTAAAGTCGGTTATTTCTATATTTCTGTAGCATGTCAATTTGAAAAATCAATTCACATTACGAACATTACAAAATGAGATTTTTGTCATTAATTGTAATTATACAGTGAGATTTTTGTCAGCACAACAGCCAGTGCACCACACAGAGATTTTATCTGATCATCATCTAGTCCATCTGGAATTACATGAAGAAACTGAGACTAACTAAATCCAGAAGAACTTTGGCAACATCTTGAAGATGCTTCAAAAAACCTACCTGCAATTCATAAACACAAAGGCATACATGGTTCAAGATGTCTGTGTAAACTGAAAGGAGTAGTGTAGAAAAAGGAACATGTTTTTAATTATTTTTGTCTCCTTTTCATTAAGCAATTGTATTTGTATTGCTTAGAAGTGATATATCAATTAACTTCTTCTGTTGAGTGTAATACGCCTTGCATATTAAAGAAGCATTTTTGCAGAAGTAGATAAAGCCAATAGAAATGCAAAGGCCTGATTGTCCAAAATGAACTTGAGCTCTGCATTGAAACTTCCTGTGATTGAAAATGAACACATAATATGTGCAGTTAGGAAAGTCTTATGCTTTTAATGTTGTGCAGAGAATTCATAGAAAATATTTGTAGACATATTTATGGGTGCGGCCAATGGAGGACTGGAGAATGATTAACAAGTGACAAATTTCACTTAACTCCTCCTGTTTATATCAGCTGCCTAAGAAAGTTGAAGTCATGAAAGGAAAACTGTTGCACGCCTCCTGAATGTAACGTTAGCATTGGGGATATCAGATTTCTGTGAATCGAATTATTCATTTGTATCCAATAAATTACTAAGATTTTTGACATTTAAGAAAAACTACTCCTGACCTTTTTTATTAAACATGCATGGAATCTGCATTTTTTACTTGACATTTGCATAAAGTCAAGAAATTCTCAATCTTTCTGATGCTCTCGGCTGTTCTTAACACTTTCTCTGCGCTGCTTTTGATCCCATAATGCACTGCATGGGGGTTTACACTCAACTTCCATATGAATGAACTGAAAACGCTCACTACGCTGTGTGTGTATTTGTTTAAGCACCTTGATTCTCTTTATTAAAATGCATTTTTTCTTGCATTGTTATGTGATGCCATTTTACTTATTAATTTAAATAAAATATATGTATGTGTACTTCTAACATGTTTGGTTGTTCAAATAAATGTAAATAAATGTAATGTAAATAAATTCAAATCAGAGTGTCACCTGTTATGTCTGGAAAGTATGTTACTCATACCTGTCAACATTTGGATGTAAAAATAAGGGATATGCCCACCATAATAAGGGAATCGCGTCGTTTTTATTATTTATTTATAAGAGTTTTCATTCCTAAACTAAGCGAAAGCACAGAAGGCTCACGTTTTAGAGCAAGGGGCGACCCCTGGTGGTTCGGCGGTATGGGTTGCATATAGGGAGGATCGGCTGTTCAGAGAAAGACTGTAAATACTGGAGAAATACGGGAAAATACCTTTACGGCAGGGGTGTCAAACTCAATTCCTGAAGGGCCGAAGCCCTGCACAGTTTAGTTCCAACCCTGCTCCAACTCACTTACCTGTAGGTTTCAAACAAGCCTGAAGGACTCAATTAGTTTGATCAGGTGTGTTTAATTAGGATTGGAACTAAACTGAACTACACTAAACGGCTTCAGTTTTCGTTGACTAAAACTAGATGAAAATATTCATCAGTTTTGATCGACTAAAAGTAGAACCACAAAAATAGTGGTTGATGATTCTGAGTGAATTAGGACTAAAATGCAGAGACATTTAACCTTTCTGACATTCTCGGCTCCTCTCAATGCTTTCTCCGTGTCACTTTTAATCCCATAATGCACTGCGTGATAGTTTACATTGAACTTCCATTTGAATTAACTGAAAACTTTCGCTCCCAACATGCCAGTGAAAATGCGCCGCTAGCATTACCTGTCGCTGAGGCGAAACTCATCTTCGCTCTCCTCCTCATCTACAGTGCTGTCGCTGTCCAGATCATTGAGACGCCGCCGTTTCTTCTTCTGCGCTGCGCTAGTTCTTTGTGGTCGGCCGTTCTCTTTGCCTTCCTCCTGCAGGATGGTGGACATGTCCTTCCCTCTGTGGCCTGTGATGTTCGCCATGTCCTTCCCTCGTCCTGCTCCTGGATCAAAACACACACATCTGATCAGTCATTCAAGCTCAAACATCAACAATACTGCACAGCAAGAGCAAATAAAAGCTCCTTCACCTCCACCTTCTGCCTCTTTAATGTCCTCCTCAATCGCCTCTTCGATCGCTTCATCAAACTCATCGAATCTGTGCAAGATTGAGCAATAAAAAGTGAATAAAGATGATTTATGAAGACCATAAGATTATTGTGTGAGCAAAGGAGATAGATATACCTGTAGCTTATGTATTTCTTGGCTCTGGTTGATCTCCGTCCCCAGCCTTTGCTCTTCTTCGTCTCCGCTTTATCCTTAACCAAAACCTCTTCCTTTTCTTCCTCCACTTCAACCTTCAAAAAATGTTATGATCAGGGTTCCCACTTTTTCATGGATGAGATTAAAATACTTTCAATGACTTTTTAAAGAACCATTCATTCATTTATTTTTCTTCAACTTAGTCCTTATTATTCAGGGGTCGCCACAGTGGAATTAACTATTTTAGCATATGTATTATGCAGTGAATGCCCTTCCAGACTCAACCCAGTACTAGAAACCAACCATACACTCTCACATTCACACACACACACTCATACAATATGGCCAAATTGGTTCATACAATTCACCTATATTGCATGTCTTTGGACTGTGGGGGAAACCAAATGCCAACTGGCCCTGCCGGCATTCAAACCAGCGACCTTCTTGCTGTGAGGCAAAAATGCTAACCAATAAGCCACTATACTGCCCCTTTTATATTTTATTTTTATTGTTTTGTATTATTTTAAATTAAGCATTTTTAAATCAACATTTTTGACCATTTTAAACTACTTTATTAAAATTAGTTGAATTATAATGATATTTATTCACTGGGATAAACAATGTAGAAGCACATTTATAATTTGTAAATGAAGAATTTCTGTTTTTGACAGCAGCACAGTACAATTGTTAAAATAACCACATAATTCTTATTTTAAACTTAATTCAAGCACTTTCAAGGACCACCTATGTTTGTTTTTAAGTACTTTTCAGGCCTTGAATACATATGTTTACAATTCAAGTAATTTCAAGCCCTTCCAAGAATGTGGGAACATGGTATATTAATAATTACAAAAGTTTAGGCTCAGTAAAATAGATTTTTAGATGCATGTAGGAATATTGCTAAAGGTTCTATTGGCAAAGCAAATAAAGGGGGGACAAAGGACCCGTCTCGTAGAACCCTGTCTCGTAGATCAACCTAATGGAAAAAAATAAAACTAATATTGTTTGTTTGTATAGATGCTTGTGGATGTGCCAAATTTAGTAAGGGTGGCAAAAAGAATCCCACTCAACCCGATCAAAGGCTTTTTCTGCATTCATTAAAATAATTTTTTCAGGTTAAACAGGATCAGGATTCAATGTGTAAATAATATTTAATAATCTTCTGATATTAAAAAAAAAGATTTAATTAATGAATCCTTTTTAGCCTGTGGAGATCAATGTGGGAAGAATTTTCTCGAAGTTAGTGGCTAGAACCTTTGCCAAAACTTACACATCAAGAAGACTGATGGGTCTGTATGAGCTAGGGTCTAAGGGATCTTTATCTGCTTTGTATATTAAAGAATAATTAGCTTGATAAAATGTTGGTGGTAAAGAGCCATTTTCAAATGACTCATTAAAAATTTCCAGAAGCAGTGGTGAGATTTGATGACTAAAAATTGATAAGATTTTTACTTTTTTTTTTTTTAAACAAGATTTCAACAAAAATTAAATTGATCAAAAGTGACTATTATAATATGGTGCAAAAACAGAATTGAAAAGAATTTCCCTCAAAATAATAAATTAAATCTAAATGCTGCTCTTTAGAATAGAAATTATTTTACTTTTTATTTTTGTCAAATAATTTATTTTTGCTGTTCTTTTGAATGGAAACTTAAACATATATATTATTTTAAATTTTATATAATGCAGCACAATTGTTTGATAATTAAAAAAAAAGTTTGTGAAGCTTTAGATCAGCAGATAACTATTATCTGATTTTACTGTATTACTTATCAAATCCATACGACTTCAAACTTTTGAATGGCACTGAAAAGAATGAATACACATGACAAAATAAAAAAAACTCAAAATATTATTTTCTTGAAATTCAGAATAGTAATTAATCTTAAAGGGATATCCACCCAAAAATGAAATTTCTGCCACGATGAACTATAGATGTCAACAGATGCCCCCCACCCTCTACAGTTTTCACAATATCTTGTTTTGTGTTCAACAGAAGAATTCCTCAAAATAGAAAAAGTTTAATAGTGAGAACTTTTCATTTTGAGTGAACTACCTCTTTAAAATCTATTTGATTAATCATTTCAGTTTATCCTCCATGTAAAGATGATAGTTTAGCTTCACAACTGATCTATTACAATGCAAAAGTGTTTGCCCACATGTGGTTTACTTCACATGTGATCATTTTAACATTAAATATCCATATTGAGGGACTTACAGAGGGCGTGATGATGTTCTCCACACTAATGCCAACATACACCAGTCGCTCTTTCCTGTGATGGATAAAAGCAAAATGAAAGAGTCAACATTTCAGGCTGACAATTTTTCACCTTCATTTTCATGTTAGAGCCAGATTGACCCTTTTCCTGTGTTGAATCCAACATCCTTACCAATCCAAAACAACTAGTTTTGCTGCTTGATATAAGAAACTTTTGATACAAGATACAGTTTTTAATGCATTATATTAATTATAAACACATTGATTTGTAGCCCTACCATTTACTGCATTTTGAAATATTACTTGTGCTGTTTCCTAATAACTTAAAAACCAAAATCTCGTATATCCACAGAAAACAGTTAACTTCCATGTTAAAAAATAAGGTGTATAGGCGGAGCAGCTGAAATGAAGACAGACTTTGGAGAAAAAAAAATTATAGAGCGCTTAAAAGTTATTATCAGCTCTTTGGATTTGCCATTGATATTGACTCTTAAATTTCTTTCACACACTAGAAACCAGGTGACTAAATAAACATTGGATGACCTTTTCTGCGACTGCCATCTGAATAATTTGAGCAGTTTTAAACATCTGTTTGTTCACCTTCGCTCTGCTCGTTCTTTCTTTTTGAGGGCGGCATCCAAATTCAGCAGCTGCTCTTCCAGTCTGTCGCAAAGTAGCTTCTGCAAGCCAAATATACAGCATTAGTGTGAGAATAGTCAGGATTGTTGATTTGTGAAAGGGAATTCTGATTAAGTAAGTTTACATGGACACCCATACTCTGATTTTAATACGATCAATACAATACTCTGATTAATAGTCTACCATGTAAACAGCGATTTTTGATGACTGTAATCCGACTAAAGTCAGAATCGAACTGAACAGAAATCAAATTAAGACATGTGAAGTATGCCGATTTTAATCGCATTACTGAAGTGTGCGATAATTTTCTATGTGAAGCTGCTTTGACACAATCTACATTGTAAAAGCGCTATAGAAAAAAGATGAACTGAAGTGCGGTGAAGACAAATAATTCGATTACTGATGTCCATGTAAATGTAGTCCTTGACTCACGTGCTGGCAGGGAGGACAGAACCACTCTCCGTCTGGAATGATCATGAGCGGAGGACGCAGGCAGGCGGTGTGGTAGCCGCTGTCACAGGAATCACACAGCAGGATCTGGGGAAGAGAAATATGACAGCATAAATGCATAGGCCTGATGTCTGTAATGAGCCAAATGCAGGATCACAGTTCACTGCATGATGCTGAATGTCACATCATTTGCCAAATTATAAATTAATCTAACATAATGGTCCTTGCACATGAAGTCTAAAGGTCAAAATGAGAATTTAAGATGCAAATTCTGCCATTGTTTACTCATCATCCGCTTTTCCCAAACATGTTTGAGGGTGCTTTCACACCTACACTTTTGTTTCGGAACGCGTCTCGTTTGCCCAGTTAGTGCAGTTCGTTTGGCATATGTGAACAGGGCAATCGCGCTTTGTTCCGCGCCAAAGTAATCGCTCCGAGATCGCTTGAATGAGGTGGTCTCGGCTCGATTGAAACGAACCCTGGAGCGGTTCGATTGCAGTGAGAAAGCTATCCAATCCGAGTGCGGTTATATGACAGTGTTTTATTGATATGTAATAGGCTTACGGCTATATGAAGAGAGAATAATGAGTATGGCGGGAAGTTTCACGAGTCTCCGGATGCCAGCAAACGAGTTATGATCTCCCGGTAATCTCGCGTCTCCCTCCCGGTCCTCAAATAGGCATCGTCGTGCACCCTTCTCCCCCCTTCCCACCGCGTCTCCTCAGACACGTCGCGCGCGCACCCTGTTAATCACCACCAAACCACCACCTCTCCTGACAGCTGAGCGGGACTCGGCAAAATAAACCCTGACACTCTGACCAATGTGATGAGAGTTTACTCGCACGTGTCTTGTTTTAGCTCTTTTGGTCCGATTAGAAACTTTGCAGTGTGAAAGCGAACCGCTCCAAGAGCAAAGAGCAACAATGTAACATTTGTAATCTCTGTTTCGGAACAACTGAATCGATTCACAGGTGTGAAAGCACCCTCAGTTTCTTTCTTCAGTAGGACCCAAAGGTAGATATTATGAAGAATGTTGGAGGAAAAAAAACAATCATTGACTACCACAGATTTCTGTCATATTTTTCCCAACATTCTTCAGAATATCTTGCTTTGTGTTCAATAAAAATCCATTAGTTTATAACCACTTGAGTTTGAGTAATGAAGAGGAAATGTTCATTTTTGAGTTATCACAAAAAAACGCAACCTCAAATTTACACACCGTCTCTGAAACCTTATTCTGTTACAAACAATCGTGTGAAATGTTCAGCAATTTTTCATATCTGTAGCAAGCTCTTTGACATTTCAGAGCCACCACACAGGTGTACAGTTAAAGTCAGAATTATTAGCCCCCCTTTGATTTTTTTTTCTTTTTTAAATATTTCCCTAATTATGTTTAACAGAGCAAGAAAATTTTCACAGTATGTCTGATATTTTTACTTCTGGAGAAAGTCTTATTTGTTGCATTTAGGCTAGAATAAAAGCAGCTTTAAATTTTTTAAACACTATTTTAAGGACAAAATTATTAGGCCCTTTAAGCTATTTTTTTCCGATAATCTATTAAACAAGCCATCGTTATATAATAACTTTCCTAATTACCCTAACCTGTCTGGTTAACTTAATTAACCTAGTTAAGCCTTTAAATGCTTTAAGCTGTATAGAAGTGTCTTGAAAAAAAAAAACTATTATGTTTAGAAATGTGTTGAAGAAATCTCTCCGCTAAACAGAAATTAGGAAAAAAAATAAACGGGGGGCTAATAATTCTGACTTCAACCGTATATGATAATCCTGAACAACATGTAATATAATCCATTTCATCTCAGAGCACAAAGCACTTCATGACAAACAAAATGCGAAACACAGAGACAGAATACAGAAGAAAAAAGCTGTAGCACAGGGGTGTCAAACTCAGTTCCTTAAGGGGCCACAGCTCTGCACACTTTAGTTCCAACTCTAAATAATCTGCCTAATCGTACTAATTGAGTTCTTCAGGCTTGTTTGAAACCTTCAGGCAAGTGTGTTTAAGCAGGGTTGGAATTAAACTGTGTAGATCTCTACAGATCTCTGTGTAGATTCCCTTTAGGAACAGAGTTTGACAACCCTGCTGTAGTCTATTATAGATATACTGAAATTCTCTCTTTGGGGTAAACTGGTTTACAAAAATTGGTGGTCTTGTATTTAAAACCTAGGCTACAACCACAGGAAACCAGAGTTTTCCCTCTACTATTTTGTATTTGCATATTAATGCCATGGTCACACTAGATTTTGAGCTGTCATAAGGTGTTGCGAAAAGGGGCGGGATTAAATAAGATGCTTAAACATTTTAAAAAAAGTGAGCGATTGGTCCATATTTTAAATTTATGTACAGAGAGGCCATGTTTTGATCTTTGATTGATCAACCTTGACTAGGATCACTGATGATTTTTTTTTTTTGATGACATTATTTTAATGAGTATTTGAATTGGCTTTTCACACAAAAATGCAAGAGCATTATTTTCAGATTTATGCACTTTGGAACCCAGTAAAGAAAAAAGGGGGAATGACAAATACAAATGACGAGTGTGTTTAAAACTTTCAAAAATAAATTAAGGCTCCGTTTACACTGTCAGGTCTTTATGCCCAGTTACGATTTGTTGCCTATATCTGATTGTTTTGCCTGTCCGTTTACACGTCATTAAACTGTGGAGAAGAACCACAATGTCACATATCTGATTTATTTCCAAATTTGATGGAGGCCTAAAACCGATCTCTGAATATCCGAATGCATGCGTTTTTTTTCATGTTTACACGGCCATAGAACAGATCCGATCTGTGTCATACATGAGCAAAAAAAATCTAAATTGATTCACTTTTAACTGGCAGGGTAAACGAGGCCCAAGAGATTTCATATAGCTCTATAGTTAGCACATTTGACTGCATGTTGAATTAGTATTTATGAAGAGCGTCGCACCAGTTCGGGATGATTGGGAAGGCCACAGTGTTTGCAGGGGTCGTCATTGGGTGTATCGTCTTCTGATGAAGAGGTGGAGGAGTCAGAGCTGCGCCGTTCGCGGTTTCGGTTTCTCCTTCTCTTCTTGCTTTTCTCCACCTTGTAGTCTTCATCGCTGTCATCCTCCTCTGTCTCCTCTTCTTCGCTATCGCTCTCCTCTTCATCTTCCTCATCCTCCGAAGATTTCTTTTTACGCCTCATGCGAGACCACGGTTGTCGTTTTCGACGTCTCCCCACCTGCTGAATGAGGAGTTGCATTTATTTCCAATTAAATTGCTTTGCTGTGAATTTTATGCTCATCGATAAAAAATATTTAACACAAAAGAAAAAAATTTTAATGTGAATTTAAGACTTTTTAAGGCCTAACATTTTGTTTTTGAAATGTATCTTGACTTTAAGACCCTGCAGACACATACCTTTGGTTTTGTCTGTCCATCTGGCTCTGCTTTCCTCGGTTTCCTCTGTACAGGCTCCTCCTCCTCTTCTTCTTCTTCTTCCTCCTTCTCCTTCTCTGGCGTGGCCTGTTTCCGCTCCGCCCTCTTATCCTGGATCTCCACTGCTTTAGCGGTTGGTCTGCAGATTCTGGGAGACCTTCTCAAACACCGTCCATCAGTCGTCTCAGACTCCGAATCTCCCTTCAGCTCTTCTCTCTGAATCTCTGCCTTTCTCCTGTGAGCTGGTTTCTTCAACTTCAGAGGGGTTCTTCCCCGTCGCTTTCCATCATCTTTTTCCTCTTCTACAGTTTTATCCTTATTTTGACTCTCAGTAGATTTCTTTGAAGGCCGTCCTGGTTTTTTAATGCCTTTCCCCTTTTCTTGAACAACACCGGAAGCCTCGCGTTCTTCAGAAGTCGCGTCTCGCTCTGATTGTTTGCTGGTGCAGTTATCTACAGTAGCATTGGCTTCCTTCACGCTTTCTTTTGTTGTCTCCTCAGCAGTTTTAGGGATCTCTGAATCAGTTTCCATTGGATTTGGTTGCTTTTCATGTTCTTTATCTGATTTATTGGGCTTTTCTGGAGCTTTAACTTCATCTGATGTTTTTGTACTTTCACTCTTTTTATCTTTGTCTTCTGCTATTTCTGATTTGTCACTTTTAGCCGTTTCAGCTGCATCACATTTGTCCTCAGCATCTACTTTCTTTCTGGTTTCTGACTTTTTTGAATCAGAAACAGATGATTTATTAGTATCTGTTCTCGATTTGGAGGAGCCAGACTTCTCTTGTTTTTTGTCTTGAGGGTTATCCGTATCTTCACAGGGTTTAGAACCAATAGACTCTCCCCTGGTTAAGAGTTTGTCTCCTTCAGAGATGCATGGTTTTTGAGTTGACTCTTTTTCTGTGTTGCTTTCATGAAGCTTAGTTTTTTCAGCATTCTCTGGCTTTTCTGTGTCAGAATGAGGTTTGATTATTTCACGGGTCTCTACTGATTTTGATGACTGGAATGATTCGGTTTCCATTGCTTGTTCTTGGTCTTTATTAGGAGATTTCTGACTTGGGAGAACATTCTGCGACTCTTTTTCCGGGTTACTCTTCTGCGACTCTTTTTCCGGGTTACTCTTCTGCGACTCTTTTTCCGGGTTACTCTTCTGCGACTCTTTTTCCGGGTTACTCTTCTGCGACTCTTTTTCCGGGTTACTCTTCTGCGACTCTTTTTCCGGGTTACTCTTCTGCGACTCTTTTTCCGGGTTACTCTTCTGTGACCCTTTTTCTGGGATGCCCTTCTGCAAATCTTTCTCTGAAACAACTTTTTGTGATTCGCTTTCTGGGATAACCTTTTGTGACTCTTTTTTTGCAAGATCTTTGCTTGGTTTTTGATTTGGAGGATTTTTTATAGACTCTTCATTCGAAAGATCTTTTGCCGGCTGATCTTTCCCCGACTCTTCGCTTGCGAGATCTTTTGATGATTCTTTGTTAAAGTGATCTTGTGCTGCGTCGTCTTTTGATACAGATTTTGTTGACTCGTTTGAGATATCTTGCAATGATTCTTTTTTTGATGGATCTTTTGTTGCATCATCTTTGAGAGATTTTGCTGACTTTTCATTTGAGATATCTTCCAATGATTCCTTTTTTGAAAGAGCTTTAGTTTTGTCATCTTTTGATTTTGCTGACTCCTTGCCTGGGGGATCTTTCAACGATTCTTCTTTTGACTCTTTACTTTCCTTCAATAATGATTCTTTTGATTCTTTGCTTGGGGCATCTTTCAACGATTCTCCCTTTGATTCTTTGCTTGGGGTATCTTTCAATGATTCTTGTTTTGATTCTTTGCTTGGGGTATCTTTCAATATTTCTTCTTTTGATTCTTTACTTGGGTTATCTTTCAATGATTCTTCTTTTGACTCTTTGCTTTCCTTCAATAATGATTCATTTGATTCTTTGCTTGGGGTATCTTTCATTGAGTCTTCTTTTGACTCTTTGCTTGGGGCATCCTTCAATGATTCTCCTTTTGATTCTTTGCGTGGGGCATCTTTTGATGATGATTCTTTTGACTCTTTGCTTTGGGTATCTCTCAATGATTCTCCTATTGATTCTTTACTTGGGGTATCTTTTAATGATTCTTTTTTCGACTCTTTGCTTTCCTTAAATAATTCTCCTTTTGATTCTTTGCTTGGGGCACCTTTTGATGATGATTCTTTTGACTCTTTGCTCGGCGCATCTTTCAATGATTCTTCTTTTGATTCTTTGCTTGGGGCATCTTTTAATAATGATTCTCCTTTTGATTCTTTGCTTCCTTTCAATGACTCTCCCTTTGATTCTTTGCTTTGTGCATCTTTCAATGAATCTTCTTTTGATTCTTTGTTTGGAATATCTTTAATTGATTTCTCTTTAGGCAGTTCATTTGCTGTGTCGTCACATGGTGTTGTCTTAATATCTTCAATAGTTTCCATATTCTCAGTTACTACTTCAGAATCAGGTGTCTTTTCTGATAGTTCACTTGGTTTTTCTTCCCCAGGAGTTGTTTTGTGCTGTTTAGTTGAAGCTTCATTTTTCTCCTTAGGTTTCTCTACTTCCATCTTCTCTTCAGAAGGAAATCTGGTTTCATTCGGGTCCATCTTTCTATCCACCTGGGCGTCTTTTGTTTTTTCATTGGATTCAAAATGAGAGAGACTTTCTGAATCTGTTGCTTCTTTCTGAAGGTGAGGAACATGGCCATTGATCTTTTCAGCACTCGACATGCTATCATCGAAACACGTCCTTGACTCTTTTACTGGAGCATTTCGAAGTCCTGCGCTGTTGCTGTCAAAGTCTTCACTTAGCTTCATCTCTCGCTTCTTCAGGGGGATTTTAGCTTGATGGTCATTTTTCAGTGCTCTTTGGGTCTCTTCTAGTGTTTTTCTCTTCACCTCCTCTGTCTGTTCTGCTTTCTTTGAAGGTGCGGAAAAGACTTTCTCATCATCCTGTGGTTCTTCTTTGATTGATCCAGCAATAACGTCAGATCCGTTTGCCGTCTCTGAATGTTTCTGCAGCTCCTCTTTTACCTTTAAACCCTTTTCCGACAAAGCATCTGTGGCATCTGCACCTTCTTCCTTTTTATTTTCTTTCTCTAATATGTTTTCCTTATTTTCAGATTTGGACAAATCATCTTGTGACTTCTCCACTAAAGCCAAAGCCACAAAGATAAGAAAGATGATGCATTAAACACTTAAACTTGGCTTTACTCAGTAACTGTCTACTTTTTAAATTGAACATACCTTCAGCTCCCTCTTTCTTTTTGTTCTCCTCATCATCGGGATTTGGACTGTTATTAGACGAGCCCTCCTCCTGTTCCTTCTTCACCAGGAGTGCTGGATCAATCTGAGTCTTCAACAACCCAAGAATCTGAGCCAGGTCATCTCTATTTCTGCAATGGTAAATTATAGATTTTGTCCACTATGAATAGATTCTTCCAATGTGAGCATAAAAAGAAACATCTTTTAGGAGTTTAAACTGTGTGAAATCAAAATGTGCAATGTTTATTTTCCTAGCGCACATTCTTAATCAATTAATCTGTGCAGGTTAATGCACTGGAATAAAAGTCTGACCATTTTTTCTGCGTTTGTAGTAGCAGTCCTTCTCTGTAGATGCCAGTTTGACGGTTTCAGTCACAATATTCTTAACCACGCCCCTCTAGCGTCAGTTTGCTACAAGGGAATGATGCGCAAAAAGAAAACCCCACCCACTACTTTATATTCGGTTTCAGTTATAAATGCATACTAAAATAAAATTGGAATTTATAAACAACAGTAAACAACTAATATTTTTCATACATTTTATAAAGTTTTTAAAAGCACATTATAGCAAAACAATTTGACTGTTTCATATACCCACAACGACAACAACCATTTAATGAAAACAAATATTTGCTAGATTGTGCTGTTCCTGTCAAACTATACTCGTTACGTTAAACATAAATAAACACAAGTTTCCTTTTAGAAAAACATCTCTTGTTTGTCGTTATGTTTGATGATTTGGTTCACCTGATTCATGTTTCGCACTTCCAAAATTTCATTAAGGAAGCATAGCACGCATCGATGAGTCCTGATTTTCATGTTGCATTGTAGTAATGCGCGGAAAGCAGTTATATCCATGGGTGCTGTGGATAATCCGCGAGTCGGCTAATAAAAAATACATCATGATTAATTGTGGGTGGGTCGCGAGTGGATGAGTTTAAATATTAATGATTTTTGCTTTGTATTTTTAACATTCTGTAAAATACTCATTTGTTTTTAATACATTTTTAATCAGGTAAAAGGTCCCTCATTTTCAGGCTAATTTAACATAACAAAACAAAAGAAAGGAAAGGAAAGGAAAGGAAAGAAAAGTGGAGCGTCTTAGCAGAGTGGTTAACAAGGATGAATCAAGTACTGGGTATGTATGCAATGGATGTGAATCGCTTTATGTAAATGAAAGTCACAAGACCGGGACCTTAAATATGAAACATCATGTGTGTGCATGGTCAGGTCAAAGTCAGACAAGCACTTGAAGTTCTTAGATTCGTCAGCACAGCAAAAAATGCCACAGGAAGTTAAGTCTCGTGGAAGCGCGTGTGGACTGGTACTGCCTTAATATACGCCTCTTCCATGTTGTCTCTGGCAAGGGATGCACAGATTAACTGAATCTGCTGTTAATAAAGAATGATCCATGCTGACCTATAATCATGCTTAAAACAAAGTATTAGAATTTATACGTATATATATATATCAGATAAAATTATGTATGTGGGCGGGTGGCAGTTGGATGATTGGTTTGAAGCTGCGGATTCGGGTGACATTTCAGCTGATCTGGGCTTCCCTAGCGCATTAGAAGAATTTTGCAATTGAGGCATCCCTTAAAGTGACACCTTGATCAGTGCCTTGACTACTGCACAAGGGTGCTGATTGAGACGCACCTTCACTAACTTTCATCCAAGGACAAGCTCTAGACAATATACCCTCTTCTAGAAAGGGGGCGGGAGTAGAAGCTCATTTGCATTTAGAGAGACACATGAAAACAACATCCTTTTTCTTCCACCCAAAATAAAGATTTAATGCAGAACATTTGTTATTCAATAGTGCTTTCACGATACTGGAATTCGGTACAAATCGATAATGAAACTTTAAAAACAGCCATTTCCTGCTAACATTTGAGTACATTCTTAAACCATGTTGGTGTGCCATTGTGTTCACGTGCTCAACAGAAATGACTGTGATTGGCCGTGAAGGTCATTAGTTTACTGAACTCACAGCTGTTTACTGACTGTTAATATAGATACAGGGACACTGGAGCATTTTAAAGCCACGAAGATCAGCTGGGTTGTCTATAAGCTGACAAACGGGTGATTCGCTAATGAATGACAGCTTTGAAATGATCCAGTGTCCCTGAATCTGTGGTTACACTCAGTAAACAGTGGTGAATTCAGTGAACTGATGACCTTTGCAGCCAATCACAGACATTTCTGTTGAGCACGTGAACACAATGGCAAATCAACGCTGCTTAAGAACGTTATCAACAGCACTCAAACGTTAACGGGAAACGGACGTTCTTAAAACTTCAGTATTGATTGGTACCGTATTCCAGTATCGTGACAACCCTATTGTATTGACCTCATTCTTCAATGCGGAAGTGTGCTCATTGTTGCGATTGTTTTAGAACTTGAGATTCAGTTGCCGCTGCGTGAAATGACTAGGAATAGTAAATGCCAGAAACTACTTTCTCTACAAACAAGTGTGTCCATGAGAATACAGACAAGGCAAAATAATATATTAAGAAAATATCCGTTTGCAAAATCAAGCAGCAGAACCAGCTGTTTTTAATGTCTAAAAATGAATGAACGTATGAGACCGGAGGCTTCAATACAAAAAGATTCAAATGGTTGCTCCCGCTCGCACACAAAGAATAAGGTCGATAACAAGTAAATTTACAGCCTCATTCTGAGAAATTTGTAATAAATCATACTTCAAAAAGGCATAATAAGAGGACAAAAATTAAATGCAGAATGCCTACCTTACTATACATTTCCAGGACGACCCATCCAAATCATCCTGCTCTTCCACATAGATCCTTACATTATGGTCTTGGTCCAGCTGGAACCAGTACATGAGGCCGTCTTTGTCTCGGCCAATAGGCTGAAGTCGCATTTTATCCGGGTCTTCTTCATTGATAGCATTTTTAAACTTGACATTGTCATCAAACTGGCATTCACACAAATACTGGTAGAGAAACACAAGATAAATTGGGTTAATAAAAAAATCCAAAACAATTTTTATAGTTGGATTTTGATTTCCAGTGTTTCTCAATCCAGTGGTTTCCTCATCTTACCTTCAATATTCCTGTCTTACACTCCACTGTCAACTCTTGATAACCTTTCTTTTCCAACTCCCATGCCCATGTGGTGTTAAACTCCTGACAAATCTACAATAAAAGCATAGGAAATTACATTATGCATATGTTCATTTAGCACCAAAATAATTCATGATAAAAAGCTATATGGAACTGTGTGTGAAAAGCGACAAAATTAGTCCTCTAACGCCAAAGTTTAACATTAATATTGATCGACATACCTTAATGAGATATTTCTCCCATCTCTCTGCAGACACAGACTTGCCAATTTTCCTCAGTAACTTCACGTGAAGGTCCACAAGAAGTTTGGGTACTGGGAAAAAGTATTAATATAATAAAACATTAATATAATTTACACAGCCATGTATTGCCAATCCATTTTTAAGACAGTGGCTCTCAAACTACTGTCTATGAAGGCACAAAAAACTGCATATCTGAAAAAGAGCTAAATATATAATAAACAATGTGTATCGTTGATTGTCTGATGAATTAAAACAAGGAATTAACTGACTCTATTTAAGTTTATACAGTAACTGTCAATACTACATTACTGTTCTCATTAATTAGCAACCATGTCTTTTATTTTCATTAGTGAAATAAAAAATAATTAATAAAAGTGATGGTAGGAGTTGAAAAAACACAATTTTACAATCACACAACATTTGGATCATAAATTCCGGTGTTTATCCATTATTGCATGTACAAAGATTTATGCCTCTAATATAGTGCTGTGTTCATAAACGATATTATATCGAATCGCAATAAAATGTATGTCAATAACAATGATAAGCTTTGTCATTTTACTCTATATTAATCTAAGAGCCAATCACACAGCAGAAATGTGCAACAATTAGAATCCAAAAGTGTGTTGATATTAGAGGTGTGCAGAATTTTCAGCCAAACAAAATATGTTATGGCATTTTATGGACCCTCTAATTTATGTTACTTCAGTCACTGTTGGGGTACTCTTTTAAATCTGGAAGCATTAACAAGTTATAATAAAATATAAATTGTTATCGTTCAATGTGGAAAACAATTATTGACATTGCATTTTTGACACATCACCCAGCTCTACTCTAAAGAAAACATTATAACACAACAGTACCTGGCAAATATCATAACAGATACAGTTATCGCTACATAACTGGAGTAATGTAAAGGAATAGTTCACACAAAGGTGAATATTTTACTTTAAATACTACTTTTACCCCCATACAATGCAACTTATAGGCTATAGATGTCGTTGTATGGAAAATCTGTAATAAGTTACTACAGGCTCAGTCTAGAAATAACAACTGTGGCAATTTTGTGGCTACAATTGTACATATAATTTTAGCTACATTAAACTCTCCATTAAGATTACACATGGACTGCAAAGACGACAAAGGAAAAAAAATAAAATGGTTTATTGCTGACTTCACTATAGTTTGACAATCAAAATAATACAATATTTTCATTTCTCCGTCCCAGCAGCGGGAGCAGGAAGTTTACACATTCTGCGCATGCGCGGTGCTCATCGCACTAATGCATGCCAAATTATTATTTAACTATGAATAAACACGAATATTTCACTTCTCCAAGCATACGTGCCACTAAATCTAAACACAAACAGTTTTTATAAACCAAAACATCGCATGGAAATCCAAATAAACTCTCCATGTATTTCTATACGCTGTGATGAGCAAATAAAGCAGGATAACGACTTCTGTCCCGCAAAACGGCTAGATTAACGGCAGAAACGGCGCATTAGAGAGGCAAACTGCGATAAAAGCAACGACACCCGCCACTAGAGAACCGAGCGGGCCGTTTAATCGTTTGTAAAGCAGCCGAAGAGCAACAATGGAGGAGCGGCTCACCCGCGCTGCTGTCCTGCAGGCTGCGCTCCAGCTCCGGGAACGACACCTCCGGCAGGTCCAGCAGAGCTCCGTACCGCTCCAGAAACGAGCAGATCACGGCAAAGCTCGGGCACAATCCCGGGGAAGAACCGTCCGCTTCCTCCGAGGCAGACATTATTCCGAACCGAGCCGCTGGAGGACCACAACCTTCCCACAATGCACCGCGACTATGGCAGACACATGGCCCACAAGCCCTTGCGCTGGGGATTGAACTGATGTAAACAAACCAGCGGCAGCAGCAGAGAGGCAGAAAGCGGGAGAAATAGAGAGGGAAAGAGACAAAGACGCGTAAACCCTATTAGAAATTAGATTTAAAGAAATATCCTAAAGGCTTCCCGGCAGATTTTGTCCGGCAAAACATTATTTACAAACATTTAAAAGTGGAATTGATGTAAATTGTATTTTTTTGTACTGAATATGAGGATATGGCGGCGACACGGTGGCTCAGTGGTTAGCACTGTCGCCTCACAGCAAAAAAGGTCGCTGGTTCGAGTCCCGGTTGGGTCAGTTGGCATTTCTTTGATGGCGTTGTGTATGGATGTTTCCCAGTGCTGGGTTGCAGCTGTAAGACCATCCGCCATGTAAAACTTGCTGGATAAGTTGGCAGTTCATTACGCTGTGGCGACTGATGAAAAAATGGCCTAAGCCGATGTAAAAGGAATGAGGGGACGGCTTTACAGTTATTTGGGCATTGTACATCCTCAGGCACAAACATTTATTAATAGCATGTATTCATTGATCAAAACCTCTTTTATTGTTATGGGAAAGTGGTCTATATTGTTAACTAAATTTTACATAAATATACAACCTAATAAATATGATAATATATAACCTAATTTTTTCATAAATATAAATTTACTAATACTAAACCTCATTTTAAAGTATTGGTGACTGAAATATCCTTGTGTATTACCATTGTTAGATACTCTCTAGACAAGAAAGCATGTGAAAAAAATGTGTGCACTTAATAGTGTTTTTTTTAGTTTTTATTACATATGTACATTTTGTATATTTGTATTTTATTTATACGTACCCCCTAGCATGTACAGTAGTCAACGTTTAAAGTGGATCATTCATCACCTTTGATCAAATTTGTCCCAAAACTATTGAACAACACCCATTCTTGTCTTAGGACAATTTTGAAAAACATTGTTAATCCACTTCAAATGTTGACTACTGGATATGTTTATTCTCAAATGTAATATGCTGTTTCTTTAAATAAAATGAATAAAATATTTGTAATTGCAACAGATGGCTTAATGATCTTTTTATTTGAGACAGACAGATTTTGGAATAAAATGTCTAGTACAAAGGGGTGTAAAACAAAACCAGACTGCAAAAAAGAAGTTAATAAATACTAATAGAGCACTGCTAAAAAAAAAAAAAAACAGTAAACACTCACAAAGAAAGTGAACGTCTGTATAATATGCATTCATAATTAACATTTAACAGTTAACAAGATTACCAACAGAGGGCTCTATCAGTTAACTATTTATTATGATCCTTTTCCCAATCAAGTTCAAACATTGTCTTTGTAAAGGTGATTCTCGATAGTACTTTATCCCAAATATATATATATATATATATATATATATATATATATATATATATATATATATATATATATATATATATATATATATATATATATTTAGACTATTTCTTTGAAAAGAAGTTTTTAGAACAAAAAATAAAGTAAAAGAGAGTGTGAAAGGAAAAAACAAACAGCAAAACATACTAGAGCACTGATTAGAAGAGAAATAAAACTGTACACTAACAAAGTGAACTTCTATATACAGTAATATGCGTTGATGATTAGTTTTAAATTAATACGATTACCAACAGGGGGCGCTGTCAGTTAACTATTAATGATAGTCTTTAACACCACTAACATTTTCATTTATTCATTCATTTTCCTAAGTTAAACTTTCAGACTCAGGCCACCATAAAGTTTGTCTAAGAACTTAACTTTTCTAGTTCATTCATTTATTTTTCTTTGTCTTAGTCCCTTATTTGTCAGGGGTCACCACAGCAGAATAAACTACCAACTATTCAGGCACGTTTTTTTGCAGTGGATGCCCTTCCAACTGTAAACCAATACTGGAAAACACCCACCAACTCTTGCATTCACACACACATTCATATACTATGGCCAATTTAGTTTATTCAATTCACCTAAAGCACATGTTTGTGGACTATGGGGGAAACCAGAGCTCCTGGAGAAAACCCACGCCAACACAGGGAGAAAATTCAGCATGGTTATATTTTAATATTTTACTTTTTAATAATATTTTAATATAATATTGGGGATAATATTTATTATTTATTTAATATATATATATATATATATATATATATATATATATATATATATATATATATATATATATATATATATATATATATATATATATATATATATATATATATATATAAAATATAAATATAATAATATCAATATAATAATATAAGTTAATCTTCATATAACTACAACAAATTAGTTGAAACCTGATTACCTTAAAATAAGTTAAATTAACATAAAAAACATTGGTTGTGATGACATTTTGTGACACTTTTTACAGTGTATATTTCTATCTGTGAAATGTTTTAAAACTTTGTTACCATAATAAAATGGTTTTGTTTATGGATTGTAACACACATGCTAAATGTACCAAACGGTAAACTTTTTTTTCGTTTTTTCTATTTTTTTTATATGATTCTCTGACTTCAGTATAGATCAGCTGAAAAGTGTGATATAATAAGGCATATATAATTAAAATGTTAAAGTAATCTATATTTAATTAGTATTTAATTATTTTTTAGACAGATTCATGTAAATATTTCTAATCTTTGAAATTGTAATAAATAAATAAACAAACAAATAATTTCCCAGTGATGAGTTGCAGCTGGAAGGGCATCCGCTGTGTAATACATATGTCGGATATGTTGGCGGTTCATCCCGCTGTGGCGTCCCCTGAATAATGAAGGAACTAAGCCAAAAAGAAAATGAATGAATACAAAAATAAATACTGACACACATTCATATAGAAGAAGACTGAATTTGCATGTTTCTAAAATCAATTAACTGGACATTAAAAAAAAGAGGGTGGTACAGTGCCTTAGTGGTTAGAACTGTCACATCACAGCAGGAAGGTCGCTGGTTCGAGTCCCGGCTGGACCAGTTGAAGAGTTTGCATGTTCTCCTCGTGTTGGCGTGGGTTTCCTCCAGGTGCTCCATAGTCAAAGACATGCAATATAGGTGATTTAAATTGGCCATGAGTGTGAAGGAGAGTGTTTCCCAGTACTGGGTTGCGGCTGAAAGGGCATGTAAAACATGCTGGATAAGAGGGTGGTTCGTTCCGCTGTGGCAACCCTTGTTAAATAAAGGAAATGAGCAGAAGGAAAATGACTGAATGAATGAAAAAAATAATAAACATGATGTTTGTAACAATATCATATAACCACAAATTAACCACAGCATTGCAACACTAACCATATAACCATAACTCTATAAACACTTATAAACTAATAAAACCCATGGTTCACTTTTTGTAAGTGAGCCTGAGCCAGCAAAACGTTTGTGTGACTTGTCATTTCAAAATCATTTACTCATGGCTCAGTCTTTCAGTAACTGCTGTGTACAGTGCAGTACATGCAGTTCAGGATTATCAGATTTCCTCACTGTACGTTTCATTAACTCGCCACAACATTTGTTATTAATCATAAAACACACTAAACCATAACGAAAGCTTTTCCGTCATTAATATACTTCACAAAATTAGTTAAGGATTAGCACAAATGACAAACTCATCTTAAAGGATCTAGCTGTAAAAATGCTTATAGCCAATTTTCAGTGTTGGACAACTTGTAACTAAACTTAAGAAGACCTTTCCTGACATGCATGTTTATTAACCGCTTCTTTTAGTAAGAACAAGGACAGGACGTTTTTTTACAGAGAATTATATAAGGAAGGACATTTCCTCCTGACAGGCACTCTTTCTTTCAATGACGCACAAGAAACGAATGCTTTTAATGATCAAGAAGCAGCAAACATGGTGTTAGATAACCAGCGCTATGAGCATTCACTGTAAAAAAAAAATGCAGGGTTCCACAAAATTAATTAATGTGGACACAAATAGATTAAATCACATTTAAGTGATTGAACATAAAACAATAAGGTTGTCCCCCAAAATGTCTCAAGAATAATGTTGTTTCCACTCATTTTAAATAGTAGTTTGAACAAGCATTAAAACAAATGTTTGGAGTGTATATTACTGAAACATTAAGTGTCAGTTTGGATGGGGAAATGGATCAAGATACTCATGGCTTTAAAGAACAATAACCAAATTTAACACTTTGTTCAATTCATACCATCTAGTACTACACTGTAAAAAAGAAATCCATAAAATTTACGGTAAAAAACCGGCAGCTGTGGTTGCCAGTACTTTACCATTAAAAACACGGTACAAACCGTAAAAGTAATTTTTTTTACGGTAAATTATCATATTTTATTAATTTATCGAGGTAATATGTCTGTATTTTGAATGATCATTATCTACACATCTTTTGTTACACAGTTAGACACGTTAGCACACCCACATGCAGGTGGTGATGAGGAAGTTTCATAATGAGCCAATGCTCATCACAATCAACTTTTCCCACAAGCAGAAAAGTGTATCAGCATATAGAAGGTGCTCAGTGTCATTCACACAGCTACTAAACACCAGTATGGTAACACGCATAAAATTAAAGTCATGAAATAAACATTGTTTATCAACATTAGATGTAACATAAATCTCTAATGTACATAACTGATGGGGAAACAACTAAAAAGATCCATATTAATGTCAACCAAATGCATAAAAAGTGATGTTCCATACAGGGAATTCTGGGAAAGTCAATTTACGGTTATTCGCCGTATATATTAAGGAAACAAACTGTTGTTACGGATTTGTACTGTAGCATTTTTACAGTTTTTCACCGGTGAAATCACGGCCATTTTTTACAGTGTATATTTGTATTTTCACTAACATCACATCTCACTGACAGTAACACAATCCTTTCTAAAAAGTTGTATGAGTTCATAAAAAACTTCAACCTACCGTCGGAAAGCTCTGAGTCTTCTGAGTACATGTTTTACCATCGTTTTTAGTGTTTTGTTATGTAGGAAGAGCAAGGGATCAAAATCTATTTACTGTCACATGGTTACATTTTAAAATCCTATTAGTCTGCTTGTTCAAATTACTTTTTTATGATGAGCTGAATTGACACAATTCTTTAGGGTTTTTGTAGAAAAGCTTGTGGACAAACAATTAAGTTAATTTAATCGATTTGGGTTGAGACAACATGAAGGAATTATGTGGAACCCTGCATTTTTTAACAGTGTTTGATAGCCTAAACATTTTGATAAATATGTAGCTACAGTTGTTTATTAATTTGCTACAATCAGAGTTGTAAAGCATTGCTTTGCTACAGCAATCCACATGTAAAACAAGTTTCAGATGTTTTTAGAGGCTAAATTCAAGTGAAATACCACCATACTACTTTAAAAAACGGACGTATATTTTACAAATATTGTCAAAAGTATGAAAAAATATGGTTCATATTCTTTAAAAACAAACCGAAATAGGGAGCGCTCTTGCATGTTTACCAATGGAAACTGAATGTCAAGCGGCGGTCATGTTTGGTTCTGCCAAACAAAATATTACTTAAAGCTCATTTTTGGAGATATCAACTTCAAATTTGGAATATAATTTGTTTAGAGATTGGGTTAAAACTGTTTTTTAAATACATCTTTTATGTAATAAACTAAAATATACATTTACTCATTTATTATTTTGGGCAGCACGGTAGCTCAGCACAGTCGCCTCACAGCAAGAAGGTTGCTGGTTCGAGTCCTGGCTGGGCCAGTTGGCATTTCTGTGTGGAGTTTGCATGTTCTCCCATGTTCGCATGGGTTTCCTCCAGGTGCTCCAGTATCCCCCACAGTCCAAAACATGCTCTATAGGTGAATTGAATAAACTAAATTGACCCCTGATAAATAAGGGACTAAGCTAAATGAAAATTAATGAATGAGTTGTAAAGCATTACTTGGCTACAGCAATCCACATGTACAACATGTTTCAGATGTTTTTTAGAGGCTAAATTCAACTCAAATCTAACTAAACTGCTCATACTACTTTAGAATTTGATGTCTACGTTACAATAGTATGAAAAAATAAGTTTCATATTCTTCAGAACATACACAGAAATAGGGAGCGCCCTTGCATGTTCACCAATGGAAACTGAATGTCAACCGGTGGTCATGTTTGGTACTGCGATATCAACTGTAAATGTGGAATATAATTTGTTTAGATATTTAGTTTAGATTTTATGTCAAATGCGAGCTAAAACAGGTTTCGTGAAATACATATTTCATATAATATTCTAAAATATACATTTATTGTTTTGTTATTTTCATAAATTTAAAGGCATATAACTTTTAATATGTTTTTTAAATTTAGCTAAAACCTGACAAGTCTGATCCTTAAAATGACAGTTTAAATTTTATGTCAACTTCATGTCTATGTTCAAAAAATAATACTTAAGGGGTTAAACGACATCTTTTAAAAAGATTTAAATGCTTTTATTCCAGCCAAACTAAAGAAATAAGACTTTCTCCAGAACATAAAACATTATAGGAAAAATGTCCTTGCTCTGTTTAAAAGCACTTTAGATATATTTAGAAAATAATAGCAAATTTTACAGGAGGGCTAATGTTTATGCTCTCATAAAGGAGCTGTAATGTACTGTAGATGTTCAGATTGTAACATTCCAAGAAAAAGCCTCCAGCTATACATTCTGTTCTTCTGAGGTTTTTTTCTTTCTGTGAAGTTTGCATAATGTAGAGGGCAGAGAGTGTTTTAAACAGCTCATTGGCTGAAGTCAAAACCACTCCAGATGCTGCCTGCCATTAAGCAAGTGTTATATAATAACTTTATGAGCTTGAAATGTAGTTCTGTAAGCCATTTAAATCATAAAAGTGGGTTTACACGCAGTCTTTATTTAACACAAACTGCGAACTGACAAAAATACAATTTTACACATCCAACTAATGGTTAATTAGGTAAAAAAAAACAAATGATAAAGTTTGCTGAGTCACGGCACACAAGCTGAAGTTTTATTATAAGACATTTTGCTTGTTCTGCTCTATGTCTATTAAAACATACTGTCTTCATCTACGCCTACAATCTTTATGTGTGAGAAAATCATGGTGTTGTAATTTATTAGCAAAAAAAGACTGACATCTCCCTATTTTTTTATTCATTTTCTTTTCGGCTTAGTCCCTTTATTAATCAGAGGTCGCCACAGTGGATTGAACCACCAACTTATCCAGCATATGTTTTACACAGTGAATCCTCCTGTGTTTGGACCAACACAATCTCATGGTAATTCGTAACATTTTGATTAAGTAGCTAATTCTTATGAATTCGTATGGTCTAATTCGTACAATTTAGTACAGTTTGCTCATCACCCAATGGTGGGGTTGGGTGCCACGCCTCCTTTTTAAAATCGTACATTTTTAGTACAACTGAACTCACACGAATTCGTACGAATTAGTTAGAATTAACTGACAAAACATAAAATACTTACGTTTTCTTTGTGAGATCAGGCTGGTTTGGACTGAAGAGGAAACCGAAGCACCTGGAGGAAACCCACACCAACATAGGGAGAACATGCAAACTCCACACAGAAATGCCAAATGACACAACTGAGGCTCGAAGCAGCGACCTTCTTGCTGTGAGGCAACAATGCTGACCACTGAGCCATCGTTCCAGCCTCACACATGTATATATTTGAACATATGTACATATTTGAAATTAGAATGGTTGAAAAAAATATAAAAAAGCCATTTTCTTTGCAATTTTTTTAAATAGATGCTGAATTTATGAGCTATATTTAATATCTGTAAAATAAAAACATGAACTTGTCATTTACATGTATCAGATTTGTAAATGGGAATCAATTTCTGACAATCAAACATGGGGTGAATCTACTTAACTTACGTTTTAAAAACCATATTTAGTCTGTGTCAGTAGAACTGTCATCTAAAAATGAACTTTACTGAGGGTCATGCTGTCTCAACATTTATGACATTTCCATGCAGTCAGTTGGCTGACACAGCAAAAGCTGCACAGAACGATGAGGCATGATGGGAAAAGCCATATTAAGAAGGACAGGAGGAATCGAGAACGGTACTTCTGAAGTCAGCAGTGTGTTAATGTGCAGCACCTGCTTACTGACCTCAATTCCCTAAAACACCTTTTGGGACTTTGAGAAACGCAAGAACATTTCTAGTGCTTTACAGATCCACCTGTTATAAAAAGAGTATTAAATCGTAGTTTTCTATTATTGTCCAGTGATTGGCTGCTTAACCTCCATTCTAAAACTTACCTCCATTCTAAAACAAAAACAAACCAAAAAATGCAAGCATTTCCAACCAGGGTTGGCAAGTCTAATTTTATTAACTTGCCTTATTATTATTGTCCAAAATAACTATATATATATTTTTCTTAAAGTTACATAGTTAACCTCCTAAAAATATATTCTAAAAATAAAGTAGTTCCAACCGGGGTTGCCAAGTCCACGTAAATTGGGCTAGTTTTAACCACTTGCTTGGCTTGTTTTTTTAGTGTGCAGGTTAAAGTTCTGACATATTGCATTAATTGGTAACACTTTACTTGAAGAGGGTGTAAGACTGTTGTGAAACCTTTATAATCACGACAATACACATGAATGAGATTTTATGCATGCTTATGATAACTGTCATTTGTTATTCGCTCAGTTACGTCGTGTACAAATTGATTTTGCATTGCAAAAAGTGCAAAAATATATTTGTGGCTATTATAATGGCATCATGACAATTATGTTTATGACAGGTTTATGACGATGAAGATTTATGAAGTTATGTTGTCTTGATATAGTCAAGTTGGCATGACAAAGACAGGTTATGATGTATTTGTTTTGAGATAGGCTCATTCTGAAAACATAGCCCTTTATACATTTCTGGAAATCGTGAATTATGTAGCCAGAAGTACGTATGGCTGCATTTAATTTTTAAACTGAACGCCAGGGGGCAGTATGACACCGTTGCTTTTACCAGCTGACCACTTACCTTCATATGGACGGCTTTCCTGCTTTTATCAGATTGTCTTGTTAGCTCGCCATAAATATCGGCGGACTTGAATTGCAGAGAGGAGTTGACCGTGATGATGGGGTTTGAGTCCAGTGAAGAACAATTCCAGGACAAAAACAACAAGCCAAAAAAATAAATAAACAAGTAAATAGCAGGGTGAGAATGTGGTAAAATCTGAAAACGTGGTAAAAATCAGGAGAGGGTTTTACTTTTTCTGAATTGCTTGGTTGGGTTTAGGGAAGTGGGTGGGTGGGTCAATCAATACAATTGGCTGGGTTTTGGAAAGGAGGATGGTGGGTCAGTCAATCTGCCAGTCAGTCATTCAGTAAGTAAAACAGTCAGTCGACCGCAGCCTCTGGTGGATTTACGCAAGAAGAGCAGGTGCGAATGGCACTCGAGAGAGAAATTGCATCTACATCTACAAACATCTACAACAGGAATGGGCCACTTCATCCCTAAAAAGGCCACCGTCCAGAATTTTGTTCCAACACTAATAAAACACCAGAACAAGCACAATCTTCAAGATCAAGATCCACAGGCAGGATTGTTTGATTAGGGTTGGAGCCACAGTCATATCACCCTGCAGCCCAAGACCGGTTACTCACTGAAATCAGGGCCTGGTCAGTACCTGAATGGGACACCACATGGGAAAACTAGTTTGCTGTTGGAAGTGTTGTTAGTGAGGCCAACAGGGGGCGCTCAACCTACGGTCTGTGTGAGTCCTAATGCCCCAGTATAGTGATGGTGACTCTATGCTGTCAGAGAGCACCATCTTTAAGGTCCAGACTCTACAAATCCTGTGCCATTTCTCATAAGGGGTAGTGGTGTGACCCTGATGTCTGACACCCCCCCTCCCCCCATTACTTTGCAGTACTTTTAAGCACAAGTTATAATAAAACAAATATATTCAGCATGATGTGGGCTAGAGTGAATCCAGATGGGCCACCTGTTGAGTGCCCTGCTATAGTACTAAAGTTGCCCATTCCTGATCTAGCTTGATCCCACTTGACTTAACATTTTATCTTTTATTCAAGCAATTTAGGTATGTTTTAAATTTCTAAACTCTTTTTGTGGGTCATTGCATGATGACCACATATGGAGTTTTTGTTCTTTCCATCACCTAAGTGTAACCCACTGATCTTTACTTCAGTACAGGGAGGTTTATTTATAGATGTTCCCATGCTTTCAGAGGAAATATTTATTCCTTCGCAAGGCAGCAGCTGTCTATGGTAGACATGAATTCATGTCTGCGTCTGCGTCAGGGGTGGACGTATCTGATTTCAGTAGTGGGTGGTGTGTGTGTTTGGCAGGACACAGGGGGTTGTTTACCTCTATGAAGATCACAGGGTGCGTTGAAGAAACTGGTTTTAGCTGGATGTGGAAGGCAGAGGTAGAGGCATGGCATCACATTTATGGGACAGCATATAAGGATTTTCTGAAAAGATATAGGTCAAGATCTACATTTAAAATTCTGCAATATAATCTTAGAGATTAAGATTTCAAAATCAAATGTAAAAAACTAAATGTAAAATTCTGCAATTTAAACAGAATTCAAGATTTAAATGCAGAATTCAGAATCTACATGTAGAATTCTGCGATAAACCTAAGAATTCAAAATAAATCTGCAATATTTAATCAGAATTCAGTGTAGAAAATGTAGAATTCTAATTCAAGATATAAGTGCAGAATTCAGATTCTAAATATAGATCTCTAGAGATATAAATAGAATTCAAGGCATAAATGCAGAATTCAGAATGTAGAATTCTGGGATTTGAACTTGGAATTCGAGATATAAATCAGAATTCAGATTCTAAATGTAGAACTCTGCTTTAAGAATTTAGGTTTTTACAATATGAATTAGTATTCAGAATGTAAATGTTGATTTCTGCAATATAAACTCAGAATTCAAGATATAAATCATAATTCAAGATGTAAATTAATACTGAGATATAAACGCAGAATTCACAATGCAATTCAAAGATAAACAATTTTGCAATAAAACCAAGAATTATAAATAAATCTGCATTATTTAATCGCAATTCAGTGAAGAAAATGTAAAATTCTTATTTAAGATATGAGCGCAGATTTCAGAATCTAAATGTAGAATTCTGAGATTTAAACACAGTATTCAAGATATAAACGCAAAATTCTGAATCTAAATGTAGAATTCTGAGACACAATTCAAGATATGAATCAGAATTCAGGTTCTAAATGTAGAGTTCTGAGATAAACTCAATATATTCAGAATTTAAATGTACAATTATGATAAACAGAACTCAAAGTAGAAGTCAGATTGTAAATGTAGAATTCTGAAATACAATGTAAACACAGAATTCAAGATTTAAATACAATTTTCATCTTTTGAATTCTGCGATATAAACTCAAGATATAAAACAAAATTCAGAACCGAAGTATACAATTCTGATATAAACAGAATTCAAAAAATAAACACAAGAATTCAGAATTCGGAATTAAAGATATAAACTGAGAATTCAGATTATAAATGTAGAACTCTGCAATATAAACCAATTCAATTCAAGATATGAAATCAGAATTTAAATGTACAATTCAAGATTTAAATATAAGATATAAAAGCACAATTACAGAAATTCAGCGTGCAAAAAACTGCAGAAAAGAACATGATGCAGATCACATGCTGCTGTTGGCCAAACAGTGATGTAAGGTCATTCTAGGAGATGATTGGTCACTCCATCATGCTAAACAGATGCTGGTTTGAATGTCAGCAGCAAACAACAGCAGGTTTGTTTATTTGAATTGTGCAATAGTTGTTGTCAAAAATGTCATAAGGCTTTCATAAGCTGAACGTCCTGCACTCATTTACTCATACGAACAGGGCTGTGATGGATATTTCGCTTTTTTAATTGATTATTTTACACTGTCTGCTGCAGCTTTAAGACTGAAGGCCAAGTCGGCAAATGTTTGCTCACCATTTATTGAAATATGATAATGCCAGTCACATAACCAGTTGGACGTTTGTTCAAAGACTAAATGGCAGCCAATTGATAATGAATGACTATTTTAAGTTTAGTTTCCGATTTCTTTTAGTGCAGTCTTTCTAAACTTCTGTTCCTTTCAGATCAAAGCACATACAGTTGAAGTCAGAATTATTAGCCCCCCTTTGAATATTTTTTCTTTTTTAAATATTTCCCAAATGATGTTCAACAGAGCAAGGAAATTTTCGCATTGTGTCTGATAATATTTTTTTCTTCTAGAGAAAGTCTTATTTGTTTTATTTAGGCTAGAATAAAAGCAGTTTTTTTTTTTTTAACTATTTTAAGGACAAAAATATTAGGCCCTTTAAGGGATTTTTTTTTCCAATAATCTACAGAACAAAACATTGTTATACAATAACTTGCCTTATTACTCTAACCTGCCTAGTTAACCTAATTAACCTAGTTAAGCCTTTAAATGTCACTTTAAGCTGTATAGAAGTGTCTTAAAAAATATCTAGTCAAATATTATTTACTGTCATCATGGCAAAGATAAAATAAATCAGTTATTAGAAATGAGTTATTAAAACTATTATGCTTAGAAATGTGCTGAAAAAAATCTTCTCTCCGTTGAACAGAATTTGGGGAAAAAATAAACAGGGGGACTAATAATTCTGACTTCAACTGTACATGTGTATAAGAATTAAAATCTAAATATATTTATAATTTTTTTGTTAAAATAAATAAACAAGCATGTATGTATTTTTGAGTCAAGAAACATGAAAACATTTTATTTGAATGATATGTCTAATAGGGCGACACAGTGGCTGAATGGTTAGCACTGTCACTCCACAGCAAAAAAGTCGCTGATTTGAGTCCCGGCTGGGTCAGTTGGCAGTTCTGTGTGAAGTTTGCGTTTTCTCCCCATGTTGGTGTGGGTTTCCTCTGGGTGTTCCGGTTTGCCCCAGTCCAAACACATGCGCTACTGGTGAATTAAACAGACTAAATTGGCCGTAGTGTGAATGAGTGTGTATGGATGTTTTGCAGTACTGGGTTGCAGCTGGAAGAGCATCTGCTGTGTAAAACAGATGCTGGATAAGTTGGCGGTTCGTTCTGCTTTGGTGACCTCTGATGAATAAAGGGACTAAGCCGAAAAGAAAATGAATGAATGAATGAATATGCCTAATAGAAATAACAAGTTTAATATCTTATAAAATTTTAATTATATTTAATACATTTTAAATGTGTAATGGCCTTAAAACACATCTTATTTTCTGATGCAAATTATACAATTATAGTTTTTTTCTTGTTATTTCTTTGCATGAAATATGACAATTAAATATTTATTTTTAAGTGCAAAATATAAGGAAAATGTTTCCAAATTTTATTTCCAAAATGTTCATTGTAGGAAACACACACACACACACACACACACACACACACACACATACACATACACACACACACACACACACACACATACACACACACACACATAACAATGTCATTATATTTTATATATATATACCATTATTATAATGTTTTTTTTTTCATATCTACAATTTCTGGATTCTTATGTTTGGTTGTTTTGTGTACCCAATGTGGAAAACCCTACCATCTATATGTAAATTTGGAAACTGCAATAAAAAAGTTATATAGAAAAACTTAATGTTTTTTTATCATTTGTTTACAAATATGCACAAAATTACATATATATTTTGTAATGACCATAAAATATAATGTATTTTTTGTACAATAATTATGTAAAATAAATTCATATGGAACATGAATTTATGAGGACAAAAGCTCAGCATGAAATGACTCTCATCAAAAAGCTTGCACTAAAATCTGGTCCAGACCTGATCTGGATTCATCCAGACTGTGGCGGTTTGAGATTCTCACATGTTCCCTCTAATGATTGGCTGTGAAGAATGGCATTCCCCGAACAGCTTGTACAACTTCACGTTGGGGTGGAGGAGGATCCTGTTTTTCTCAGCAGTGCATCAGGTGTGTACTTATGTAAGATGTGGGTTTTTGTTTTTCCAGAAAAGATTAAATGTTTAGAAAAACCACTGTTGTGTGTTTTTGATCAATTGATTGAAACATATTGAAACACTGATCCCTTCTCCACAGAGAGCCGAAATTATTAAGTGACAAGCCTTTAGTTTGATAGGATGAGCATACAGAGCCCTGAGCCAATGAGCTCACACTCAGATTACAGTTTAAAATCCCCTGCTGGCTGCGTTTCAGACGCTTCGGGAAGCAGGGCAAAGGTGACTGTGGCACATGTGTATTTATGAAAACAATTAGAAACAAGAAAATTCATAAAAACAAAACAAAAAAAATTATTTGCTCATTTTCCACTTGTTTCAAATCGGTTTAAGTTTCTTGCTTCTGTTGAACAAAAAATATTTATATTTTGAAGAATAAAGGTATAATAAGCCATTGAATTCTTCAGTATTGTCTGTACTTACTATAGCTGTGGCTAATAGCTGCTTTTCAGAAAATTTGTTCTGTTGCTCAACAGAAGAAAGAAAGAAATTCATAAAAGTTTAGATCCCCTTGGGTGCGAGGACATTCTGAGAAAACTGTTCATTAAGTGAAAAAGCACAGGTATGCATTGAGCAGAAGTTTTTACTGACTTACAAGAGAGGAAAAATAACAGTTAGATAAGAGGACAACAATATTTGTTTTCAGCATAGCAAGGTTTATTTGAGAACTAGATTATGAATTGAGTTATTGATGCATATTGATGACTTTTTCCAATTCTGTTTCAAAGGTAAAAAAGTAGCTTACTCATGGAACGGTTTGAACAAAAACACAGCTTCCTTAAGAGTTTTGGGTCACACTTTATTTTGATGGTCTGTTTTGTTGAATTTAAGTCACATTGCATCTACACGCCGACTAATTCTCATTAGATTATAAGTAAACTGTTAGGTTGGGGTTAGGGTTAGTGTTAGTTGACATGTACTTGCAAAGTTTTTTATAGTCAGTTAAATGTCTGTTGAAGGAGCATATCAGCAGATATTAGGCAGACAATTAAGCAGACAGTCTACTAAAACTTAAATGGACCATCAAAATAAAGTGTTACCAAGTGTAGTCATTTTTGTTTTGTCTTCACTGCTATATTATTTAGTATTTTTTAATCTATTATTTGTTATGATCGCAAAAATGTAAAGATATGTAAACATTTATAAAATCGGTTTCTTGTTCTAAACGTGTCTGTAAATCTATCAATCTATCAATTCACCAGTCTATCTACCAACCTACCTACCTACCTACCTACCGATCCATCTATCCATCCATCCATTCATCTATCCATCCATCCATTCATCTATCCATCTATCTATCTATCTATCTATCTATCTATCTATCTATCTATCTATCTATCTATCTATCTATCTATCTATCTATCTATCTATCTATCTATCTATCTATCTATCTATCTATCTATCTATCTATCTATCTATCTATCTATCTATCTATCTATCTATCTTTTTTAAATGAACCCATGAGTATGTTTTATCCATATTACACCTACATTTCAGCTGAAATAACCCAGCATTTTTAGAAATATACACACACACACATGCACACATAGTGTACATACATAAGTAAATATGCAAAACGCAAAACTACATTTAATAAATAAATAAATAAATAAATTATAAAATAATTCTGATGTTTTTATGAATATAAAATATATATATATATATATATATATATATATATATATATATATATATATATATATATATATATATATATATATATATATATATATATAATCAATTCATCTTTATATCTACAGTGCTTTTTGCAATGTAGATTCTGTCAAGAGGGCCTAACATACTGTAGATATTTAATTAATAGAATTGAATATATATTTTACTTACATGTGTGCACTTTAGATAAGTTTACAGCTTTATAAGTAAATCAACACAAATACACATAATAAAATAATTGTAAAATTTATATTCAGTAATTCTGTTATAGTTATTGTGTCATTTAATGCAGTTTTCTTGTAAAATGTATGCATCTGTGCATGTTCCCAGGGTATATTTATATGAAAACATAGCTGGAAACACTTCATTGTGACATAACATTACATAACCTCAATCACATATTTAATTTATATTACTGAATGCATTGTTTTTACTTGTTATGTACATTTTATATGGAGAGAAGACAACAACCCTATATTGGTGACAGCTAGTAAACAAGTGCACTCGTTCTCCCGCCACACAGAGTTAAATTTAGAGTCATGTGTGATGAAAGGAATAGATGGGACAGGCTTCAGCGGGCACACGCGCCTATAAATTCCCAGTCTGACAGGCCGGTTCCTCCAAAATCAGGTGGAAAACACACTCGCTGGATTAACCCCTGCATGGATATTATCATCTCGCTTTCTGTCGGTACAGTTTGGACTAACAATTTCATATTACGGCAAGGTGAGTGAAAGCAATGGTGTTGTTTTATATATACTGTACTGCATGTATGTATTTACATATAATATACAAAATGTGTTTTATATATTGTTTGCTAATTTAATATATTGGTGGTTTCTAGTTTTTCTGATATGATCAAGCCACAGGTGATTTGCATGTTTTCTGGTTTTCTGTAGTGTTGTGCTGCTGTTATGCTGCTTTGGGACATTAAGGATCAGTTTTTTATGGCCAAAAGTGTTGAAACATCTAAAACAGAAAATATCCTTTTGGAAAAAACTTGAAGTGAACCGACGTGGAGGTAAACCCAAATCTAAATGTTTATGTTATTGTTTTTACTTCTTGATTTGCTTCATTTGAGATTAATCTAAATAGTGTTTGGTTTCTTGTTGTCCCTCAGGCGGGAAAACACAAGTTGAAAGTAAAAGTATAATTCCCTTGCTGCGGTTTTCTGTCAGAAGTGAAAAATGGTTGGAATTAAACCTACCGATCTGCCTCCAACCGCTGCTGTCAAGTTTTTCGGAGCCGGTACAGCAGCATGTTTTGCTGATCTGGTGACTTTCCCCCTGGACACAGCAAAAGTCAGACTTCAGGTGAGGGAATAAAATGATACAATTTTAATTCAATATTACTAAATAAAATAAATAAAAACTAAGTGAAATAAAACAAAACAAAAAAAACATTAAATAAAAATGTTTGTAAATTGTTATTAATTATAAGAATAAATTGTAGATATTTAGAATTTTCACCCAGTTACTTTTTGAAGTGCTTTTGCATTGATTTTATGTGTCTAAAACTATAAAATAACAATGTAAAATGTTTAAAAGTCTATCTGATATTGCTTTCATCTTATAAGATCCAAGAATAATTAAAACTGTAGAAAAAATGCTATATAATTAACTGAAACAACATAAAGCTAACTTTACTAAAATCTTCATAATTTTAAAACTAAAATAAAAAAAAGCTGTAAAATATATTAATATTATAAGCAATGTATTTAATCATCACAGAGTTGTTGTTTTTTTTTACATATAATGAGTTTGCATTGACTTAGCGTGACTGAAACAATCACATAACACCCACAAACATAAAATTTTATGTTTTTGATCTTATTTCAGATCCAGGGAGAGTCTGGAACAGCACCAGGATCAGCGGTGCTGAAATATCGTGGGGTTTTTGGCACCATCACCACTATGGTTCGCACGGAGGGGGCCAGGAGCCTCTACAATGGCCTGGTGGCAGGACTGCAGCGTCAAATGAGCTTTGCTTCTGTGCGCATCGGCCTTTACGACTCAATGAAGCAATTCTACACCAGAGGATCTGAGAGTGAGTAAATTGCAATGCTTTTCTGAATGGGCACTGAAATGACAATGGTGACACTGATGTTTTTGGCTCTTCTCAGATGCGAGTATTGTGACGCGTCTGCTGGCTGGATGCACCACAGGGGCCATGGCGGTCGCATTCGCTCAGCCCACAGACGTCGTAAAAGTGCGCTTTCAGGCTCAAGTGCGTCACACTGACGGAGGAAAGAGATATAATGGCACAATGGATGCCTATCGGACTATTGCCCGTGATGAGGGTGTTCGAGGACTCTGGAAGGGTGAGCAAATGTGCCTAGGGTAGACTTAAAGGGATAGTTCACCCAAAACTGTCATCATTTGCTCATTGATTGTGCCAAACCTGTTTGAGTTTATTTTTGCTGTTAGCACAAAAGTAAATATTTTGAAGAATGTTGGAAATCTGTAACCATTGACTTCTATAGTTATTTGATTTTTCTATTAAGTCAATGGTTACCGTTTTATAACACTCTTTAAAATATCTTCTTTTGTGTTTAATGGAAGAAAGAGACTCATAAAGGTTTAGATCCACTCGAGGTTGAGTAAATATATTTTCTTGAGAGAAATCTTAGTTCTAAAGTCCTAACAATATTTCGTCCCTCCAAAAAATAAAATATTTAAAAAATATATATATTTTTAATTCCAACCCCGTATGAAAATATTTTTGTTTTGTTTTTTAAACTTATTTTTCATTAGCCATCATGTATACTTAGTGCACAAATACACAGAGTTTTGACTTGTATATGATTTATTATCACCGCTGCCTTTTACAGTACAATAAGAAGAGTTAAGAGTGGAAAAATAAAAGTAAAAACATCCAACCCATGAACTCTAAGAACCAGTTTTAGATGGGATCAAATAATAAAAACAAGGTGACTCTCTCAAACTCTTTAAGGAAAGGAAAGGGGGAAAAAGTTGAAGCATTTATAAACTTCTTCCTCATATCTTACCTTCTCTTGTTAAAGGTTTCTATTGTTCACACATGCCATGTAATTCAGTGTGGTCCATATTATTTAAATGAACTTCTGTAAATTAAATTAAGCTGAAATAAAATAGTTTTACAATTACATTTTAAATAAAATGAAAAAATGCTGAACTTTAAAAATAATGTTACAAAAACTCAAATGAATTAAAGCTAAAGTTAATAACTAAAAACATTTAAAAGGCATAAAAATCACAATTGCTGAATAGTAATTATAATTTTTAATGAAATAAAATCACAAAACTGAGTGAAGTTTATTCATAAACTAATTTCGACAGGATCACATGCTTATGATTGACCACAGCTGGTCCCGCATTAGCTATTCTATGATTTACCAATCAGATGAATCCACATGCAAATAAATAACTAGATATTGTTTCCTTAGTCCTCTTTGCCTCGAAAAAATCCTCAATCCACCCCTACTCCTCCCCCTCTTTTCTAGATTATTCCAAGACGGGATTAGTGGAGTTTGCATGTTCTCCCGGGGTTCATGTGTGTTTTCCTTGGGTACTCTGGTTTCCTCCAACAGTCCAAAGACATTCAGTATGTGAATTGAATAAACCAAATTAGCACAGTATATAAGTGTTTTATTACAGGGCATTCACCGCATAACCATATTCTGGTAGTTGGCGGTTCATTGCTCTGTGGCAACCCCTAATAATCAAGGATTAGGCCAGGCGAACGAATTTGGGGGAGCTCTCGGGACCTACCTGAGCTCAGACTTCCCTCTACTTCGATGAATTGGGCTCAAGGATCTTCTGATCACAGGGCTCTCCCCCGGGACAACATGGCAAACATGATTTATAATCAATCATCAACGCTTGAACATAATTTTGTTAACTGAAATAAATAACAAAAAAAGTTCAAGCACTTAAAATAAAAAATACATACTTTATGTCAGTAAAGAATTATAAAATCTTTAGACATATTAAAATTTTCATTTAGTTCAAGCTAAACTAAAAACTAAACTATAATTATTCATAAAATCTACACAGACATAAAAACCAATGACATCAATTGCAAACAAAATAACTAAACTACTGCAGAAATGTTAATTAAAAATCAAACAGTTTTACCTGAAACCTCACATGAAACTAAAATAAGTTTTGTTAATTTAAATAAAATGTTACCTTTATATTTCGTAAAGACAAATAAAAATAATAATAAAGGTTTGTAATAAAACGAGGGCAAACAAATGATGACAAAACACTGCACTATCCCTTTAAATCCAACTTCACATGCCATCCTAAGTGTTCTGGCTGAGATAAACGTGTGTGTTTCTCTATTTTAGGCTGCATGCCAAACATCACAAGGAATGCGATCGTGAACTGCGCAGAGCTGGTCACCTACGACATCATCAAGGATCTCATATTAAAATACGACCTCATGACAGGTATGGCATCACAGGAAGTCTTTCCATTCTAGATAAGTTTATGATCCTGTTGTCTAACACATTTGTCCTCTTTAGATAACCTACCCTGTCACTTCACGGCTGCATTCGGCGCTGGTTTCTGCACCACGATTGTAGCGTCTCCAGTAGACGTGGTGAAAACGCGGTTCATGAACTCGTCGGCCGGCCAGTACGGCAGCGCACTGAACTGTGCCCTCATGATGCTGACCAAAGAGGGACCAGCCGCTTTCTACAAGGGGTGAGAAAAACATACTGTAATCTATTATTGAGAGTAAAATACAAACATACACTGTTAACAAATGCTGGCTAAAACACAATCAATACATGTTGGGAAAACATGAAGAAATTAAGTGAACTGTTTTTACAAATTTAAGTGGATTGATCATGAAGCAATTAAGTTGTTGCAAACAAAACCCTTAAGAATTGTGTTGTTTCAGCTCATTTTAAATAAGTACTTTAAACAAACAGCAAACATCATTTTTAAGTGTACTTTCAGTGAAATAATGTATAGTAAACATATGTTGTCCTAACACAGATCAAGTTAACATAATAGTTTTTCCAAATTTAAGTGGGTTAAACAAAAAAAAAAAAAAAGTAAGTTGTCGCAAACAAACCCTCAGTAATATGTTGTTATAGCTCATTTTAAATAAGTAGTTTGAACAATAATGAAAAATCATTTTTTGAGTGATGGACAAATCATAAACAATACATTTATTACAGTATTTATTCATCTTACTTAACATTAGTTAATGGAAACTTCATTGTTTGTTGGTGTTAGCTCAGTGCATTAACTAATGTTAGCAAGCATGAATTTGGATTTTAAAAACGCTTTAGTAAATATTGAACTACACTTACTATACTTAACTATACTTAATTGTTTTATGTTTAATCCATATAAATTTCATTTATGTGTGTTGGGACAACATGAATGAATAAAGTGGAACCCTGCATTTTTTGCAGTCTGATATAAACAATGTAAAACGTGATTAGTTGACATTACTTAAAAAAGTAAGTAACTTGAAACTGTTGTGTTGATTGAATTTGTACAATTGTGTACATACTTTACCTAATTTTAAGGCAACAAGTTTACTCACTATAAGTAAAGAAACGAATCACTTACCACATGCAGCATACTTTAAATATGATCATTTAATTTAACCTATTGTAACATTTTCATTAAAATGTAAAAAGTAAAACTTAAAAAAAAATGTAAAATTCAATATTCATCAGTCCAAAATTTGTCAGTTCAGCAAAAGGATGGAAAATTAAAATCGCCATCAACACTGCTTCCAGTTTGTCAACACTAAAAAATGCTGGGTTCCACACAATTTATTTGTTTTACGACAAGCTGGAATTATGTTACGTATTAGTTTTTACAAATTGAAGTGGATTGAACATAAAACAATTACCCCCCCCCATCCCCCACATATATTTTCTGTTTTATATTTTAACCAAATTTCAATTCATTGATTTTCTTTTCGGCTTAGTCAATTTGTTGTTTAATAATTTGTTTAAGTGTGACGTCAGAAAGTGGGGTGACAGTGATGGGGTTAAATTCAACAACTCACATTTAAATTAAAACAAGAAATATCAAAATAATCATTAATAAAAACAAAATAGTGCATAATATCTCTTTAAATGTAACTTTCACAGGTCTGATGCACACATATTTGCAGTAGTAACATGAATATATAAAAACATAAAGATATAAAACCATTTTTAAAATAAATTAAAAAAAATAAACATTAATAATAACAAAATCTCACTGATAATAATAAACTGTCACTTGCAATCCTAAGTGAATGTGTTTTGAAGGCGATAAACAATGCACATAGATTTTCAGGAGTACCATAAAAACTACATTGTAAAGATGAGAAATGTACTATAAATAAATACATTAAAATAAACATTAATAACAAAATCTCATTGATAATAACAAACTGTCACTTGCCCTCCTGAGTGAATGTGTTTTGGTGTAGATAAGCATGGGTGTGTTTCTCTGATTTAACCCCATTACAAAAACATGATTATTTACTGAGAAATATATATTAAATACTGTTTCCATATTCCCAACAGCTTCATGCCCTCCTTCCTGCGCTTGGGATCCTGGAATATTGTGATGTTTGTTTCCTATGAGCAAATCAAGAGGTGTATGACTCGAATGCAGCACTCGTGGGAATCGCCTTTCTGAACACACAACATCAGTATCTTCTAACTGTGACTGAACAGACAGCAAATATAACTCAAACGCCCTGTTGTGAGAATGGAGGAATCCCCATCTGAAGTCTTATCACTGAAAAAAGGCTGCAGTGTTGTAAGGCCAAAGGTCAAGCTCATCAAATATGAAAGATGAGTTAGCAAAGTGCCCGATGAAGCAAAATGTGCATATTGTCTGTTTTAGGGAGTTGGAAAAAGCACACTCTTAAAGAAACAGTGCAGGGAAAAACAAAAATGCCTTTTCACATGGCTTTTCTTTGACATATTTTGAGTAAATCATCAGTGCCAGTAAATAACCTTTATTTTGAAGTGTGTAAATGTTTTTATATATACATATGTTAAATGTTTCTAAAACTGTCATGAATACGGGTCCATAAATTCTGATCAATAAATGTATATTTATACTAAGAACTGGAAATTGTACATTATTTGAAATACATTATTCTCTTTTTGTTAATACAGCAGGTTTTTTTGTATCAGGTAGATCACATGCATAAATGTAAACATATACAACTTTCAGTTTAAGGTTTTCGTATTCCCCCAACATCTGTGTAATTTATTTAATTATTTATCTGCCCACACTACTAACCATTTATATATTTATTTAGGCAGGAATTTGTAGATTTATATATTTATTTATTCATTCATTTATTTTTCTTCGGCTTAGTCCCTTTATGCATCAAGGTTGCCACATCGGAATGAGTCGCCAACTTCTCCAGCATATGTTTTACACAGCGGATGCCCTTCCAACTGCAACCCAGAGCTGGGAAACATCCATACTCACTCATTCAAACACAGCCATACACTATGCCCAATTTAGTTCATCCAATTCATCTATCGCACATGTCTTTGGACTGTGGAGAAACTGAAGCACTTGGAGAAATCCCACGGCAACACAGGGAGAACATGCAAACTCGACTCAACAGTGCTGACCACTGAGCCATTGTGCTGTCCTAGAATAATATATTTATTTATTTGTGCATTAATTTAATTATTGTTTTATTTATACAGAAATTTTAAGGAATGATCAACTAATTTATTTATTCATTTGCATATTTATTGTTTTTGCAGGTTTCATTCTCCTATAACTAAAGAATCAAGATTAATCAATGATCAAATCAAAAATATTAGTAAAAAAAATGTTGGCTTGGCAATTATCTAAAATAATTACGGCAACTGAAAATGAAAAGTTGTAATATAAAAAGGGTTAAACAAAACATTTAAAGCATTTTTATTTAACATATTGCTTAATTTTGTTTTCCTGAGCAAAAAATAATGACCAATCATGACCAAAGAGAAGCAACACATAATTATAACATGGTGCAACAATAGAGTGTATAATACAAAATTTAATTTACAAAATTACAATATTATTATACTTTATGTCTTTCAAACCACAAGATGCTTTTAATCATTTAAAATTCATTCATTCATTCATTTTCTTTTTGGAATAGTCCCTTTTATTAATCTGGGGTCACCACAGCAGAATGAATCACTAACTTATCCAGCACATGTTTTACGTAACGGATGACCTTCCAGGTGCAACCCATCACTGGGAAACACCCATACACACTAATTCACACACATATAATTTAGCTCACCCAATTCACCTATACTACATGTTTTTGGACTTGTAGGGGAAACCGGAGCACCCAAAGGAACCCACGCGAACAGAGGAAGAACATGCAAACTCCACACAGAAATACCAACTGACCCAGCTGAGGTTCCAGTGATCTTGTTGCTGTGAGGTGTTACCCCTTACGCCACCGTGCTGCCCCACTTAAAACTCAATTAAAAGTAAAGTTATGACTTATATTTAAGATATACATTTATTTCAGATGTATACACTGCAAAGAGTTTTTGTCTTCGCTCTCGCTCCAAATATCTAAAAATGCTTAAATCCAGAAGCACTTTCTACTAAAAAGTATTTTTCCGAAATAATAAGTCAAAATTAAGTGTTTTTTTCCCTTAAAAAAGTAAAATAACCTGCCTATTAGGAAAGTAGATAATAATACATTCAATAAACATAATAATTAAGGCTACACAATATAGGAAAAATCTGACATTGCAATATTTTGTTTTTCTGTGATAAAAATTGCAATATATGTACAATTTCACCAGCTGATTTGAAAACTGATAATTAGAAAGAATTTATTCATTAAGATTGAGTGGACTGATTCTGTAGGGAAGTGAATTATTCACAAAATGTCAAAAAAAATTAAAGATAAAAGGGAAATAAAGAGTGTTTTAGGGTTCTTGTGGCAGTCAAATAGTATTCAGCTGAAAATTTAAATAATCAAATATAAAATAACACTGCAAATGTCTTTACTTTATAAATAATTTAATAAAATTATTATTTATCAAAGTTACAAATGGTAAAATTTCATGTGCCTGAACACTTTGAACTCTGTTAATCACAAATTTTAGGCAATCACATGCAAACAAAAAACTCTTACTCCATTATAGTTCAACTCTCCAATAATGTGTCTGTTTCTCCTCTTCAACTATAACTCAACATTGCAGATCCAGCGATGTAACTATTGAGGATGCTGTACACGTTGTGATATCAGTGCTGAAATGATATATTCTGCAGCCCTAACAATTATAAAATAAAAAAATAATAATTTACTTACCCCACTGGCAGATTATTTAGCTTGTTTTACCACATTTTTGCTTTGTATATGTTAATGACAATGATTACTTCACATTAAAGGGACATTATTATTTATAATTTACTGACCATTTAGTCAAAGGTTTCCAAACATTTATTAATTTATTTTTCCCTTTGACACAAAACATGGTATTCTAAATAAGTTGGAGGAAAAAATAAGCATAAGAACAAAAAAAGTAATGATGGCTGTTTTTTTACTCCAACAATTTTTAAGTAAGAGAAGAAAGAAACTAATTAAAACGAAGTAAATAATGCCAGTATTTTCATTTACGGTTTGAACTATCCTTTAAATATTTAATTTTCACAAACATTAGCTGAAAGATTAAAGCATACACTTTAATGTGCTTTCTATACAAAATTACTCTTATAGATGCAAACACCAAAGTGGGAACGTCTCGTCTTTGACCACATGGTCACATGCATTTGACTCCCCTACACCAAAGAGTCATTTAATCAGATATAATCAATGATCAAATCAACAGAGAGCCCAACACACCAGGGCAAAAGACTTACGCAAATGTCTTTCTCGTGACAAAGGATCAGAAAAGTGGCTTTAAACTGCTTTCACAGCTCTCATGCTGACCTATAAAAGACAGGCAAACAATGTCTTTATTAGAAAAGAGCAGGGAGTTTCACTTGAGGGAAATTAACAATACAAAGACTAATGCAAATCTGTGAAGTGTGAATGGAAAACATATATTCAGGAAAAGTAACACAAGAGTGGCCTGTGCTTTAGTATACTGTGCACATCTGACTCTTAAATTGACCTCAGTCAATAATAAGCTGCATTGTGTAGCTTATGAAGCACGTGCTATACCAGTTGTTTTTAAACGTATGCCTCATGTAGCTTTGCCTTGCGGCTCTACGTTATCAGTTCTGTCTCAACATACCGTCGTGAAACACAAATAGCAGCCTGATCTTCAACAATAGTGATAAGAGGTTTAACCCTTGTGCCTCTTTATATGGTCTTTCTTTTTAAAATTTTTTTGTGATATTTTTGGCCATGTTAATGCAAACAGCAAACATTTCTGTTAAAAAGTATGTTTTTTTATGAGCTTTGACTATGTTCATCCTCATTTTACCTTTATAAATATGTTTTATCTTCCCAAAAAAAATAGAAATCTCTCAGTTAAAGTGTAACAAAAATAGCAACATTTCTTTAGACACTGATATTTTTGTCCCTTATGGACCAACATCTAACTTTTTTTTAATTAATGCACAAGGGTTAAAGTGTGTAGTTGAGGTGATTTTGTTTGTTTTTTTGTTTCTTAGAGAAAAAAAACTTGAGTGTACTATTTATTCATTCAATTGATTTTGGTTTTTGTATCTAAGAAAAAAACATTCAGCTGACCAGACATTATTTTTTGCAGCTTTTACAACATCTAATGCAAATCTATACGAAAAAGCTAACTCAGTGGATGTGTCTCTAAAAGAGGGAGAACTGAAAGTCCTGTTTTATGAATAACATATGTGCAACTTCACATAATGAATCAGAATGACTCAGCGTTTCAGACAAATAGGGGAGACTGGGGCTATAATTATCACACTTTTTACATTTAGATTAATATTTCTAAAAGATAAGTGTTGTTTTTGAGTTAGTTTATGTGATAACAAAACATTTCAGCCTTTTGTAAAATAAAATAAAAAAAGTTACGAAAAAAATCCAAAAATGAACCGCCTTTTGCTGCTTGTTCAAACTGCTTATTTAAAATTAGTTGGAAAAAAACACAATACTTTTGAGTTTTTTGTGACAACTATATTGTTTATGTTCAATCCAAATTATGTTCAATCCTTAAATTTGTAAAAGAATTATTAAGTTAACTTATTAGTTTTGTGTTGGGACAACATAGAGTAAATTTTGTGGAACCCAGCATGTTTTTCAGTGTAGAAAAAAGTATAACCATGTTTTTTGCCGTTTATTTGTGACCCTGGACCACTCTAGTCTTTTGTTGCACAGTTATGTTTTTGCAAATAACCAAAAATACATTGTATTGGTCAAAATTATAGATTTTTAGGACAATAACCACTAAAATATTACGTCAAGATCATGTTCCATGAAGATATGTTGTAAACATCCTGCACTGTAAAAAATGCAGGGTTCCACATAATTTATTCCTGTTGTCCCAACACAAATCGGATAAACTTAACACTTTTAACAAATTTATGTGAATTGAACACAAAAAATTAAGTTGTCCCAATGAAATCTCAAGGATAGTGTTGATTCAGCTTATTTTAAATAAGTAGTTTGTTGTGTGCTGTAAATATTAATTCATTCATTTTCTTTTCGGCTTAGTCCCTTTGTTTATTTAGGATCGTCACAGCAGAACCAAATTATCCAGCACGTTTTATGCAGCAAATGCCCTTCCAGCTGCAACCCATCACTGGGAAACATCCATACACACTCATTCACTACAGACAATTTAGCTTACCCAATTCACTTATGCCACATGTTATTTCCTCCGGAGCACCCGAAGGAAACCCACACAAACAAGGGGAGAGCATGCAAAGTCCACACAGAAACAGCAACTATCTAGAACCAGCGACCTTCTTGCTGTGAGGCGAACGTGCTACCCACTGCGCCACCATGCAGCCCTGTTGTAAATATATATTAAAAGTCCATTTTTATTTAAAAATTTGCATTGATAAGCCCTTTATTTATGAAAAGCTTATTTATTCGGCTTTCAGATGATGTATACGTTTCAACTCAGAAAGAAATTACAATTATTGTTAATTATTGGATTTCAGTTTTTGAATTAATATCAGAAGTGGTGGGAACACAAATATATCCTGGGCCTATTTTAGCTATATTTGGTGTCAGTGATGATGCAGATTTATCTAATATTCAACGTACAGTGATTAGATTTATAACCCTTTTGGCACGTAGATTGATTTTACTAAATTGGAAACGGAAAGATCCTCCACGTTGCTCCACATTAATAAAGGATGTCATGTCCTGTCTGCAACTTGAGAAGCTAAGGCTTTCCCTAAAAAATAAAACAAAGAATTTCCATGTAATATGGAATCCCTTTATTGAGTACTTTAACAAGAGAGCAGTAATTGAACCAAAAACACCTCAAATATCCCCCCTTATTTAGTTATTTTATTTTATTTATTTACTTTTTTTTCTTATGTTTTTTGCCCCTTCCCCCCACTTTTCTGTTTTTTTAGTTCTCTTATATTTAATAGTAAAATACAACTTTGTGTTTCAAAGGAAAAAAGTACACATATGTAAAACTTATCATTTGTACTGATGTAAAAATACAATTAAGAGAATATTAAAACAAAAAAGAAATTACAATTATGACTGGTCCAGGGTCACATTTGTATACCCACCATTTTAATACAAATAACATGGCTGATTAGAGTGACAAAACCATGATTCATTTGTTGTTGCCACTATTTAACGTTGGTGTTATTAGTAGTAAAACATTATTTTCCTAAAATACATTAACGTTAGTGTAATAGTATTCGACAGGAACACCACAAAACATACATTTTCGGAAATAAAGCTGTTTTGAAAAAAACTATGGTTATGTGAACGGTTATTACCTCATATTTTGCACCTCTTCGAATAGTATTCAGTAATATGGTTTAATAAACTTATAAAACACGGAAGGACGACATTTGAAAACGGAACGTATCAGTTAAAAGAGGCGGTAATTTATGCGCGCGTCACTGGTGTCACGTGACTCAAAGGCGTTTAAAAAGAGTCGCTGCGGCGTTCAGAGCACAGCACAGCAGATCACCTGCGGGTTTTAACTATTTCTCTTCCGAGGAGTGTATTTACCCCGACAATAAGCACTTTTATTCTTAGACTCTTTACACATTTTTAATTTAAGGTAAGCATTTTTAATTTCTTTCAACGAATATATATATATATATATTTTCTGCTACTTTATCTGTATTTTCTTTTATTATTTGTAGTGATGCTTTGTGTAACACGGAAATGTTTTATTTTCATCTTTCAGACTTTTGGAGCATGTTTTTTATTTGCACGAGTTCTCAACGTTTCTCTATGGAAGAACGCGGAAACAAAATTCAAGTTGAAAGTCATTTCAACCAGAGAGATGCTTTTAGAGAATCCTGAAGTTTTCATCTAGGCTAAACCGGTTGGTACAAAAGTTTTCCAAAAGCATTTTTCATTTACCTGATCGGTAAAGTTAAGACAGTTAATTTATTATCATGTCAGAGTTACATAATCTCACTTTGTATGCTTCTGAACTTCCTGTATTTGAGGCTTCTTTGTGTGATATAAAGTCAACAAAGGCGCACACAGATGTAAACAGGATGGTGACGTCAGCATACAGTTTAACACGTCAGAGAGGACAAGATGTTCCCTTTTTTTGTCTGTTGATTGTCAGGAACAAATGGCTTCAGTTACACCTTTGTTAAAGGGACATGCTCTTAGCCAGCCCATTGAAAGTGGCACAAAAAGTGTGCCTTATTGCAGTTGTTCTCTATGAAATGTGCTATTTTCTATTAAATTATGACGGTTAAATACTCCATTTTAGTGACATTTCAAGCACTTAATCTTTGCTGCATTAGCTTGTTGAATAGTGATCATAATTTAACTCATAATAAAAGTTGTTTTAATGCAACAAATATTTCCTACAATTTTATTGTGCCTCCCATACTATTACACTACAAAGTGTTTATTTAGAAATATGCCTTTAAACTAAGTTGGGCTAAATGTTAAAATGAGATTAGAGCTTTGAATAAAGAAGTATAAAAAACACATTTAAAATTACAAATTTATTATCATGCATCATGGGCTATATGCACATGGACTTTTAATTTTCAGCCAGGCAGCCCAAGGGTTTCCAGTGAACTGTCTTTTTATTACAAAATTGTCACGTTTAGGATCTGATTTCTTTAAAAAATCTTTAAAAACTGCCTGTTAGATGTACGATATGAAGTGGGTCTCTGATCGGAGAAGAAGCACTGCATTAAATAACATTATCCCCCGTCATGTCTTTAAAATATGATATTTATTTTACCCCAGTCTTTCATCTAGTTTTACGCTTTAACAACTTAATGAATGCTTAAGTCTATTTAACTAAATGTATTGTAATTGTATTACAACATCGATGCTGTATAAACAACCTTGTGAAATTGAAAATGGTCACATTAAGCTCTCGCCGAAAGTTTATCATTGGCTTTAACCGGCTAAAAAAAAAACTATTAAAAGCCTATTGGTAAAATACAAACTGGTCAGCTCATTTCCTCAGTCAAAATTTGTCCATCTAAATAATTAAAAATTACATGCGTCCTAAAGCTTTCTTCTATTGGTTATTTCCACAATTTATATGGCAAATGGGACAAATGAGTTCATAGGAGCAAAACTCTGGTCTTTGTCAGTGGGGGTTGGGTCTTTCGAATCACTCAAATCCCCCCTGTTTAAAGGCCTGGGACAGTTCAACCACAAATAGAAAATGGTTCTTTATTTACTCTCTTTCAGTTAATTTAATAATAATTATTATTAGCATTATAATAATAAATTTTTATTTGTAAATGGTGCCTTTCTGAATAGTGCCTTTCTGGACACCCAAGGTCGCCTTACAACAAGCATCAACAGCCATAACAGAACAAATTTAAACCATTAATAAAACCTTAATTGCTAAACAAGATTTTAAATGTGTTGCAGGTAAATGCACATTGTGAGTAAAAATAACATAAAAATAGTCAATAGAAAGCCTGCTTTAAAAGATGGGTCTTGAGACGAGATTTAAAAGCTATATATATATATATATATATGAGAACGTCAAGCCTGCTTTAAAAGATGGGTATGGAGACGAGATTTAAAAGATATATATATATATATATATATAACTACTTTTTTTTTTTTTTTTTAATCTACATTTAGTCACAGTCAAGTAATTCTAAACTTTTATGAGCTAAATAAAAAAACAAACAGCCTTTGACATCCGTAGTTGGAACTAAAAATGAAACCAAACGACTGAACATTCTTGAGTAGATCTTTTTGTGTTTCGACAGAAAAAAGAAGCTCAAACCGGTTTAGTCGTGTGGAGTGTGTAAAAGGATGACTTTCAGTTTTGGGAGAACTGCCCCTTTAAAAATGTTTAGCTGTAACTGTGATGCTGAATCACAAGCAAGTGCCTAATTTGGGGAGTTTTACAGGCCAAAAAAAAAAGGAACTGAACATTTTATTATTAAAAAACCTAAACCTTTATATTAATGATCACATTATGATGTATGAACAGGCAGTGTTTTAATCTTGTTAATCTTTAATCACTGTATTGTCAGAATAATAATTTTTGCCTTTTTTATTAATTTCATTTTTGTTTTTTTGTGAATTGTACTGTTAAAACTGACTTTATGCCACCCTGAAATATTTTAAAGGGGTAGTTCACCCAAAAATTTTAATTGTGATTTACTCTCTCTTTTTCAAAACATGCTTGAGTTACTTGTTGAGCACAAAAGATGATATTTTGAAGAATGCTGGTTACTGGAACCCATTGACTTCAATAGCAGAAGGAAATACTAATAATTCAATGGGTGGCAGCAACAAGCGTTCTTCAAAATATCATCTTTTGTGTTCAACATAAGAATGAAACTCATAAACCACTTGAGGAAGATTGAATAGTGAGGTAATTTTTTCATTTTTGGCTGAACTATCCCTTTAAACGAGCACAAAAGGAAGCATTAAATGCATTCAGTAAGTCTCAAAAGAAAGTAATCCTCATCTTTTTTTCTAATACAGGTTAGGGTGGAGTTCACCTATCTTGTGTTCACTTCATTGTCTTTCGACACATTCTGCATCACCCTTACGTTCCTGTGATTTCGGCTGCAACTGTAAACATGGTTGGATTCAGAGCTGGTGACGTTCCTCCTACTGCCACCGTGAAGTTTATCGGTGCAGGAACTGCAGCATGCATTGCAGATCTCTTCACCTTTCCACTGGACACCGCAAAAGTTAGACTTCAGGTGAGTCTTCGCTGCATTGAGTTTAAATGCTTTTTTTAAAGGCATAGTTCACTCAAAACATTAAATTACCTCAACATTAGGCCTAGACAAAATCTGCCCCCACAGAAGATTTCCACAGATTCACTGTACATTTACAATATTGCTGCCTTAAATTATTTAGTTCAATTAAAGGAACTTTTCTAGTCATCTCAACTTGCATCAGTCAAACTGACTAAAATATTGTTAACCTTTGCAAAACTTGAAAAATATTAAGTTGAAACCTGATTAACGTATTAAAGTAAAAGTAACAAAATATTTGTTGTCTTGACTTTGTCATTTAAATATTTTACAGTGTCAGGATTCAGTGCTAAGGATTTCCACTGGCCCCACCAAAAAAAAAAAAAACAAGTTAATAGCCATTTCTTAGCCACATATTTTAAATAAAGTGTCAAAAACAACGTCTTTAAATCTAGAATTTAAATGTTTTTTAAAAAGTTAATAAAGGCATGATCTAAATTCAAAGAGGAGTTATTAACAAAAAGAGCAGTATGGAAAATGTGCAGGCATTTTATTGCAGTTCTAAATGATTTAACAAAAGGAGGCTGACTTGCCAAGGTGATGTCAAACTGTGCAAAACATCACTTTTTTTTTGTCTTGTTGTACCCATGCAAATGTCTGCTTTTAAGATGTTAGAAACCAATGTTTTCTTAAAGCCTCATAACTTGAAGTTGCTGCCTCTGTAGTAGTTGTTACCAGGTTATGGGAAAAGAAAACATGCTCGCAACATCCAATCTGATAAAAGAAACCGAAAAGCAATATGGTGTTTATGGCATCACAGAGAAAGTAGCATTTAACGGCTTAAGAGCACAAACTGTTTCTCGATTTGAAGACTGTATACTGTAAATAGTCGCAGGCAAACTAAACATTAGTGACGAGGCAGCACTGTCTTGATTGGGCCAGTAATGATCCTGTCTACTCCCCTGAGCGTCTCACACTGGCCCCGGGCCAGAGGGCAGTCCTTATTGTTGAACCCTGAGTGTTGTCGATCCCGTCATTTAATGAATTTACTTCTGTGAATGTATATATTTATTAGTTTTTATAATTATTTGTTGAGTTACATCAATATTTATGTTTTGTAAAGGTGACATGGTGGCTCAGTGGTTAGGTCACCCAACAGCAAAAAGGTTGCTGGTTCGAGTCCCAGCTGGGTCAGTTGGCATTTCTGTGTAGTCTGCAGGTTCTCCCTATTTTGGCGTGACTTTCCTCCGGGTGCTTCGTTATCCCCACAGTCCAAAGACATGCGCTATTGGGGAATTAAATAAGCTAAATTGGCCATAGTGCATGTGTGTGAATGAGTGTGTGTGGGCGTTTCCCAGTACTGGGTTGAAGCTGGAAGGGCATTCGCTGCGTAAAACAGATGCTGAATAAGTTGGCGGTTATTTGCGCTGTGGCGAGCCCTGATTAATAAAGGGATCAAGCCAAAAAGAAAATGAATGAATGAATATTTAGTAAATTTATGTACATATTTTTTGTTTTTAGTGGATGTGTAATGAGACCTACTCTAGCTTTGTTTACCAAACAAGTGGTTTTAATTGATTGAAATTTGCCAATTTTAAACCTCCAAATCTTCAAATAATTTTTAAAAAACAATTCAGCTGCTATATTCTCAACCATTTTGCAAAAAAAAAAAAAAATGGCACAAATGGCAAAAGTTCGTCAAATCTTTAATTTGTTCAAAACCTGTTTGAGTTTCTTTCGACTATACTCGACCAAAATAATTAATTGAATTACCAACCTCAAATAAAAAATATATTACATTTAAAAAAAAAATAATAATAATAATTTTTTTTTTTAGCTGCTATATTAATTTGTTATATGAATCTATACAAAATCAGTCTGCAATATTTTTTTTTAAGATCAAAGCATGTTTTTAACTAAATTTGCACAAATTGCCAAAAAAAAAGTTCACCAAATCTTTTTGTTAATCTTATTTGATTTTCTTTCTACTTATTTGAGTTTCTTTCCACAGATATATGTTGAAGAATGCTGGTAACTGGCACCTATTGACTTCCATAGTAGGAAAGAATTACTAAGAAGTGCCATTAACACAAAAAAAAAACATAAAAGTTGACTAAACTTAATTTTAAGGATATTGCTGCTGAGCTTTTTTTTTGAGTTGACCACTTTCAACCCTCATACTGCACTTGGCTAGATTTAAGTTGAACTCAAAGTTGTCAACTTTTTCTTATTTTTTCTTTACTTATTTTTTCATACAGTAAACCAGCATTCCACAATGTCACATAACTTTTATAAACGTTTAAAACCCACATTTGGGAAAAATAAGCGAGGTAACTTTAATTTTTGGGTGAACTCCTGCTTTAAATGCCACCTCCTAATTTGAGTGTCAGCTGAGTCATCTGGAGGAATCAAAAAGGCATGACGTGGACCAGAATCAACATGCAGCAGCAAAAAACAGATCATCCTTTTCTTTTCAGGAGGACCGTTTGCAGTTGCACCCATACTGACGTCAACTTTTATTTATTTCTCTTTTACACTAGCAACGTAAGCAGGTCCAGGCCTCCATGACTGACCCGGGATAACCTGAAGATGCAGCTTCCCCTCCACTGTGATTCTGTAAAGTTTTTCCATCCACCTTTTGTTCTGTACAGATTCAGGGGGAGAACAAAGCCTCCACCAACATGGGCCGTGGTCCGGTGAAATATCGAGGGGTCTTTGGTACGATCAGCACCATGGTGCGAGTGGAGGGGCCACGCAGTCTCTACAGCGGCCTGGTGGCGGGACTGCAGCGTCAGATGAGCTTTGCTTCTGTACGCATCGGCCTCTACGATTCGGTCAAGCAGTTTTACACCAAAGGCTCTGATCGTAAGTTTATAAAACTTTTTATATATATACTCCTTCACCCTTTAGGACTATTCAATGGATGGGTTTTCTTTTTTAGATGCTGGGATTGGCAGTCGACTGATGGCTGGTTGTACGACTGGAGCCATGGCCGTGGCTGTGGCTCAACCCACTGATGTAGTGAAGGTCCGGTTTCAGGCTCAGGTCAGCGCTGGGAGCAGTAAACGTTACCATAGTACTATGGACGCATATCGGACCATTGCAAAGGAAGAGGGGTTTCGTGGTTTGTGGAAAGGTGGGCATTACAAAACATAACCTTTTACAGTTTATAACAAATAAATACATAATAATAATAATAATAATAATAATAATAGTTTTATAATTATTAATATTGATGATGATGATAATAATAATAATAATAATAAAGTTGAATCATTATTTTTTTATAATAATAACAAGTTGTAACATTTTAGTTATACGTTTAATTATTATTATTTATATTATTTATCGTTATTTATAATATTATTATTATTATTATTATTATTATAATAAGAATATTATTATTATTATTATTATTATTAACAACAATTTAATAATATTATTATTATTATTATTATTTTATTAAAATAATAAAAACAACTATTATTTTTTAAGTATTTTAATAATAAATTGTTAATAATAATAATAATAATAAATAATTATAGTTGAAAAATTATTGTTTTTTATTTTATTATTAATAAGAATAATAATTATTAATAAGAACAATTTTTTAAATAATTATTAAAATAATAATTATTTTTATTTTATTGTTGTTGTTGTTGTTTTTATAATACAATAATTTGCTATATTAAATTTGTGATTACGTTTATACATTTATTTGAATCATAATAATTACTAGAATAACCTAGTCTAATAAATTGCATACTAAATTGGCATGAATGTTACGTCACAGTATAATATCTGTAGTTTATAGTGATGCATATTTATGTATTTAATATACATAAGTGCATAAATTGCCAATAAACATTTTCTTTAAAATGCAAATTAACTGAGTGCATTTGTTAATATTGTAGTAATAACTTAAATATATGTTGATAACAAATGCATAGTTGTGTACTTGAATTTTTTTTTTTATATTTATTGTGCATTAAATATTTATTCAATTTGTACAAGTACTGTAAGTCAATTGACTAATGTTATTTAATGTTTAATTTATTATAACAAACTACCAAAATTATTTATTGTAATTTAAAAGATAAATATTTATTTTTAATAGCAACTTATTCTCTCCTTGTATACATTTTTAATTCTTTGCTTTTAAAGGAACTGGCCCAAACATCACCCGCAATGCCATAGTAAACTGCACTGAGCTAGTGACATACGACCTCATCAAAGATGCACTTCTCAAATCATCTCTGATGACTGGTAAGAAGAGGCTGCAGAAAAGTACAGCAAACCTAAGTGTAAACTGTGACCGTGTTATTTATAGCAGTTTCTCTTCACAGATGATCTTCCCTGCCATTTCACATCTGCATTTGGAGCTGGTTTCTGCACTACGATCATTGCTTCCCCTGTCGATGTTGTGAAGACAAGATACATGAACTCTGCCCAGGGCCAGTACAGCAGCGCCCTCAACTGTGCTGTAGCCATGCTGACTAAAGAGGGGCCAAAGGCTTTTTACAAGGGGTCAGTTTCCTCTACCATCTGTACTTTTACAGTATTGCTTTGAAGATTAATGTGGAACTGATAGGCTTCTGTCCTATTGCAAGCTTCTAAATCAGAATTTCTTGGTCCATTTATTTGCGAAATTATATGATATATGGAATGATTGACCTACGCTCAAAATGCAGGGTTACACAATTTTCATGTTGGCCCAACACAAATTAAGTTATCTTAAAAAATTTAAGATACAAATTTTTTACAAAAAAATTTAAGTACAAATTTTTTACAAATTTAAGTGGATTGAACATGAAATAATTATGTTGTCCCCCCAAAACGCTTAATTTGTGTTTCCAACTTCTTTTTTTTTTTTATTAGTTTATACCACTTTTTTCAATGCAAGCTGCAAAATTATGACTTTATAGAGTATAATAAAAAAAAATACTTCTACTGCTTTATTCTAAATATTATTATTAATAGTCTTCAAAGTTGTAGGCCAGATTAACTTTTAAAAATATTAAATGCTTTAACAAATCACTTATTAAATCTTTGAACTAATGGTTGCTTGTCACAACAGAATGAATGAGTATGAATATTATTAGTATTGATAGTATATTATTGACTTAAGCTGCAAAAATATTCCTTTTTCTTTTTTAATTAAATTTTTTTTTTTTTTTTTTTTTAATAGCCAAAAAATACTTGAAGTGCTTTATTGTGTTTGTTCAGAGTACAACAAATTAAATGGCAAAAGTATGATTAAATTAAAGTAGATAACGCTTCAGAATTAAGTCTCATTACACCGTAAACAAAATACTGGCTGCCTTTTTTAAAAACTGAATCAAATTAACCCTATGAGTCATTTGAACTTCCGTTACATTAAACTGACTTAAAACAGCTTGCATAACCTATTAAACCAAGTTAGTTATGTTCTAACTTTAATTTTTTAAGTTACAATGACCTAAAACAGTGGTGCTCAACCCTGTTCCTGGAGATTGACCTTCCTGCAAAGTTCAGCTCCAACCCTGATCAAACACACCTGAACTAATTAATTACAGGCAGGTGTATTTGATATGGGTTGCAACTGAAATCTGCAGGTAGGTCGATCTCCAGGAACAGGGTTGGTCACGCCTGTCCTAAAACAGGTTGTCATGACGAAGTGCTCATATACATTTTTAACAGTGTAGTAAACCTTAATTATTGCATTAAAATCAACCGTGAGAGAGCCATATTATTGTTAAAATCTGAAGAAAAAACCAAACCTTTATTATTATATATTTACAAAAATGAATTAATCTTTGGATTTTAATGTTTTTAATATATAATGCTTGTAATTTTTTATTTTATAACATTTTATTAAATATTCAAGGGTTTGATGAATTAATGGTTGTATAATCACAGCATCAATCTAAATAAACGAATGGGTTTAGGAAATTATTGACTTAAGCTGCAAAATTGGAAAAAATTAAAGTTTAATAGCCAAAAAAAAAAATACTTGGAAGTGCTAAATAATTAACAAATTAAATTTAAAAGGATGATAAATTAGAGTAGATAACTCTTCACAACAAAGTCTCATTAGTAAACATTAATTAATGCATTAAAATCAATAGTGAGAGAGCCACATTATACTTGTTAATTAAATAAAACTTAGTAATTTTTATTATTGATTTATTAATTTACTAAAATAAAAGCACCTTTTGGTTTTAATGCTTTATTAATTAACTAAGAAATTTACTTCAGCTAAAATGAATAAATGCTTTTCTAGTTGTCTTAACATTGACTTTAGTTAAATGAACATCAGTTCACAAATGCAGCCTCATGTACAGAGTAAACTAAATATTCTTATTAATAGTTATCAAAAATTCTTCTTAATAAAGCTGGAAGGGTATTCGCTGTGTAAAACATGTGCTGGATAAATTAGTGGTTCATTCCGCTGTGGAACTCAGCTGAAGGAAAATGAATGTCATATCACTTATTTAATATTTGATGAATTAACAGTTGTTCATCACAGCAGTAAAAGATTAATCAGAATATATGAATGAGTCTATGAAAATATTGACTTAAAATGCAAAATTTTACCTTTTTAACAAGTTTAATAGCTAAAAAATACTGATTGTGCTTTATTGTATGTGTTTAGAGTAAATCGTAAATTTTTTTAAACGTATATTAAATTGCAAAAGTATGATAAATTAAAGTAGATAACGCTTCACAATTAAGTCTCATTTAGTAAATATGACTTAATCCATTAAAATCAATACTGAGAGCCGTGTTCTATTTGTTAATTTTAAACCAAATTAGTATTTTTTTTTATTATTATTTATTAATTTTATAAAATTACTGCAATGATGCTTTTATTATCAGCTAAAACTATAATAATTCTTTTGTAGTTGTCGTTACATTTGAATACAGTTAAACCGGTGTTAACAAATAGAGACTCTACAAAGTTAACGACAACAAAAAAGCCTATTAATAGTCACCGAATCTTCAACGTCATGGGCCAGGTTAACATCTGAAAAATATGAATGTTTGAGCATAAATCACTTCTGAATCTGAATGTTCTTCTTAAATGCACTCAAAGTTTAAATGATCATTAACTGTATATTGAAGTGTCAATGATATCAATACTGTGCATGTCACGATTTATTAAATGTCGAGTTTATTTACTTGTGTGTTTGTTCTTCTCTTTAGGTTCATGCCATCCTTTCTGAGGCTGGGCTCCTGGAATGTGGTTATGTTCGTCACTTACGAGCAGCTGAAACGGGCCATGATGGCAGCACGCCAAAACTGGCACACTCCTCTTTAAGCAGAGCATGCAGTTCCAGTTGAGCTTCATGCTGACGTGGTTCTGGATTCTCCATTTTCTTCATTTTGTTTACATTTTTAAACTTGATTTTTTTTTTTTCCTTTTTTTTTTTTGGATTTGCACAATTCTAGAGTCTTTCCAACAATCTGCCAATAAAATGAAATTGGTGTTTTTAAGAATTTCAGACATTGTTTGCTTGTTTCTTGAGTGAAAGTGTTTAATTCATGAATGACTGCCCTTTAGGAAGAGTGGATGACTTTCGTTGAGAGCGCTCCTCTTAGGAGTTTTTTCTTTTCAGCTGAGAGTTTCTCTGGGAAATGTGTAATGAAGCGAATGATCAGGTCTCCTCTCTTGGATGGGCTGTTGGATAACGGCATTCCCTCTCCACTCACAACCTTGGTGTACTGAGGGCTGTAATATAAAGAAATTTCAATTTGCCGTTAGTATAATTCAAATTTATATTTCATTTGTACATGTTTGCTCATGTTTTTATATTAAAGTGCTCCTTCAATTCTTTTTAAAAGATTCCTACAATAAGTATCCATTCAAAGGCACCCCCCCCAAAAAAATTCTCATTCACTGAAATAGTATGATCTATATAACCCCTTCTCTAAAGACTGGTCATTTTATTAGGTACACCTGTCCAACTGCTCCTTAAACGCAAATTTCTAATCAGCCAATTACATGGCAGCAACTCAATGCATTTAGGCATGTAGACACAGTCAAGATCAAACTGAGTATCAGAATCGGGAAGAAAAGTGATTTAAGTGATTTAATGTGGCATGGTTGTTGGTGCCAGACGGGCTGGTCTGAATATTTCAGAAACTGCTGATCTACTGGGATTTTCACACACAACCATCTCTAAGGTTTACAGAGAATGGTCAGAAAAAGAAAATATCCAGTGAGCGACAGTTCTGTGGGAGCTAATGCCTTGTAGATTGTAGGAGAATGGCCAGACTGGTCAAGCTGATAGAAAGACAACAGCAACTCAAATAACCACTCATTACAACTGAGGTCTGCAGAAGAGCATCTCTGAACATGTAACACATGCAACCTTAAGGGAGATGGGCTACAGCAGCAGAAGACCACACCAGGTGCTACTCCTGTCAGCTAAGCACAGGAAAAAGCCTACAATTTACATAGGCTCACCGAAATTGGACAATATAAGATTGAAAGAATGTTGCTCGGTCTGATGAGTCTCCCTGCCACATTCAAATGCTCGGCCCAGAATTTGGCCTCAACAACATGAAAGCATGGATCCATCCTGTCTTGTATCAACGGTTCATGCTGGTGATAATGGTGTTGAAGGATATTTTCTTGGCACACTATGGGCCCATCAGTCCCAATTGTGCTTCGTGTCAACACCACAGCCTACCTGAGTATCGTTGCTGACCATGTCCGTTAATTTATGACCTCAGTGCACCTATCTTCTGATGGTTACTTCCAGTATGGTGTTCACCATGTCATAAGGCACGAATAATCTTAGACTAGTTTCTTGAACATGACGATGAGTTCATTGTACTCAAATGGCCTCCACAGTCACCAGACCTCAATCCAAAAGAGCACCTTTGGAATGTGGTCGAATTAGAGATTCGCATCATGGATGTTCAGCTGACAAATCGGCAGCAACTGCGTGACGCCATTGTCAATATGCACCAGAATCTCTGAGGCGTATTTCCAGTACCTTGTTTTTATCTATGCCATAAAGGATTAAGGCAGTTCTGAAAGCAAAAGTGTGTCCAACCCAGTACTAGCATGGTGTACCTAATAAAGTGGCCGGTGAGTTTATTTTGTTCCCAGTAAGCATTTTTTATGTGTTTAATAGACATCTAAACAGTAGATATCTAGGCTAAAACAAGTCAAAATTTGGACTGTCGGTTAAAATCTAATAGTCATCTGACAATAGTCCAAAAAATAGACTAGTTCTCAATTGTGGTGTTCAAAGAGCATTGGGGCACTGGATAAAAGTTTATTGAAAGGGGGTATTTAGGTGGTCAGGGGGTTGTAATCAATAGCAAAAAAACATTATCTGCAGTTTTCGATTATGTATGTTTGCACCTGTGAGACATAAGGCTATAATTTAATAACTTTTATACTTTTTTTTCCAAAAATGTACAAATATAATAGATTTTACAATATTATTGTACATTTTGACACAGAGAGAGAGAGAGAAGGAAAGTAAACAAGGATTCAAAATGATTGTGACAATTATTGACCCACAAATATATGTAAAGAGGGATCATACTTGTCCTCTTGCGCGTGTTTTAATTGTAACCTGTGATAAACCAATCAGAATGATAGCAAAGATTTCGGTTATCTTGATGTCTATGACAAAATATACGGGTGCGGATGGTCTATAGTGCATGGCATGTGTTGTTTAATAATCCTGATATGTGCGTGACAGTGTTTGAATAGAGAGCCTGTTTAAACTTTGCATTTTAAAACCTTCTGCATGCTCGACCTGTTTTTCATAGTGACTTTAAATAAGGGACAGAACCACTTTGGAAAATGACGCACATTGTTTGTTATGCATGTTGAGTGTAATGTGAGATAATCTGCATGATTAACCCAGTCCAGTCAAACAAGAAACTTATCACTCAGCTTTAAGTGACATGCTTTTTAAAATCCTATAATATTAATAATGGTGACATGGTGGCTTAGTGGTTAGCACTGTCACCTCACAGCAAGAAGGTCACTGGTTCGAGTGCGAGGTGAGTCAGTTGGCATTCCTGTGTGGAGTTTGCAAGTTCTCAGTGTTGTTTTCTCTGGGTGCTCCATTTTCTTCTACAGCCCAAAGACATGCGCTATAGGTGAAGTGAATAAACTAAATTGTCCGTATGAGTGTGAATGAATGTGTATGTGTGTTTCCCAGTGATGGGTTTCAGCTGGAAGGGCATTTGCTGTGTAAAACATATGCTTTTAGTGGGTTGCTGGAGTCTATTTTTGGACTATTGTTAGACGCTGAGAGCCCAAATTTTGCCTAGTTTTAGCCTATTTGACGTCTATTAAGTGAAGTTTCACAAACTACTTTCGAGAGCAGCATGTGTTATTATTGACTGCAGCAGGCCACTCATCTACATTCATTAGTTAGCCAATCAGATCAATCCAAACTCACTATAAGTAGCCTGGCTAGAACTACTCCTTTAACTTCGTTTTCCAAAGAAACCCCCCATCTACCCCTTCTCCTCCTTTCCTCCTTTACCACGGGGAGCTCTCGATAAACCACTTGATCTCGTATTCCCCTCACATGTTCTATGGACCAGGCGGGAGCCCTGGGCTCAGCTATATCCAAGCTCAGGGTTCTCTCCTGGGACAGCATGCCTAACCTGCTAACAGTTGTCAAACAATATCTAAGTGTGAACTCTTGAAATATAAAATGCTTGGATTCTGATTTGTCTACTGCGCATGAAACATGTTGAAAACCCATCATGGCCACATCTGAATTTGAGCTTTTCCTTAGCAGAGTCAGTTTAAGAGTTTTAATTACTGTACGAGTCCTCATGTTTTAACAGCACATGCAAAGTGTATTTGCTTTTACAATGCAGAAAAAAACAAGATAATCCAAACTTATCTAGCCTCCACTATGACTACAGTGTTTGAGAGTCAAAGTAGACGTTGTTCACAGGCAGCAAATGAAGACTGCTGACTGGCTTGCTGCAATTTTGTTACAAACCTGTTTAGGTTTGAAATGAAGTAAGGCTGGATTTATAAACTACAGAGCTGTGTTTACAACCATCTCTTAAAACATTTACTTTCACAAACTGTTACATTACAGAGTAAGTAAAAGGAAATATGTAAAAAAAAAAAAAAAAAACATAATAAAGGGCATTTTAACTGTAATTTTAACTGTCCCACCAAGAAAAAAAAAATTGGGATTGCTTTTTTTTTCCAAAACATCCCACAATTTCTAAAATATCAGCCTCTACCAAATTCTTGATATGTTAGTTTATGGTTAAAAAATACTGAAATTAATATATATACTATGAAAAATCTGAAAATATTTACACAAATACTCAAAATAAACATTTTTGAATACTAAATCATTTTATTTTTTGAAGTATGCCACACAATATTTCAGATTCTCATTTAACATGTTGTCTTGTTTTTTTTTTTTTTTACCATAAAACCAAAATCAAGTGTAGCAGTGCAACAGGATTGTTTGTTTGATTTATTTTGTAAACCAACAATGCTGTGTTTGCAAACCATTATCTAAAACCGTCATTCTTTATATGATTTCTACAGTCATTATTTAAAACCGTCAAAATATGGTCAACCATTTGGTAGAGCAGGCAGTTAAAGGGTTAAAGAGATTTAGGAAATGGATTACTCACTGCACAATGTCATTAATGGGGATGTTGAGAAGCCTGCCATCTAGTGTCTCAACTTCTACTGAGAAACCGGTCAAAGCCTGTAGATTTACCACAAAAATATTAGAATCAGACCTAATATATGCATTTAAAAAATAATTTTCCATAAATTTCAGTACATAAATTAGACAGAAAAACGTCTGAATGTAGAGTTGAAGACAAACTTTTTAGCACTCCTGTGAAATTTTAATACTTTTTCCTAATATATTTCCTAATAAGTGCTGTTTATTAATTTTTAATAACTAAATTATAATAACACATTTCTTTTGTCTTTGCCATGACAGTACATATATTTATATATAGTTACTATATCCCCCTTGTACTTCAGCAACTTCACTGTTAAGTCAGGTATTGATTTTAAGACCTTGATTTTAACATATAAAGCTGCGCGTGGGTTAGCACCTGACTACATTTGTGACCTGGTTACTCTCACCACTCCCACCAGCAGTCTTCGTTCTTCAACTGGACTTACGCTGTATCAGCCACGTTGTAACCTAAAGACCATGGGTGGCCGAGCTTTTTCGACAGTGCGCCTAAGCTACCTAGGTAGCAAAGGATTCTGGCCCAGATTTGGCATAAATCTGGCACAGCAGACATTCATCTGGCACTGGCATACAGCCTGTGGGCCAAACATGGCCCTGGTTTGGCAGAGGTGGCACCATCTTTAATGCGGCACACAATACTTGGGCCAGATGTCAAATGTAGTATTTGGCACAGATGATAATAATTGATATGTGGGCCATTTAAGTTTGGCCTATCTTGACCCACATTTAAAATACATTTTTATTATTTTCAAATAAAGAAAAAACTAATTCTACCATTCAGGTCGCTTTGAGAAAAAGCACACCCAAAACATGCCTACAGCACAATGCCTAATGGGTTTATCAATTTCATTGCAGTGGTGACACACCAACATATCTGGACCAGTTCAGGCTCATTTATGGGATATTAAATTGGCTATGGCTGGGCCCAGATATGGCCCATGTTTGTCCCTTGTGTCTGAAAGCCAGACTTGGTCCAGCCATGTATCGTAATTCACTGCGGCATGTGGGCCAAGCAAAACCTGATTGTGAGGGGCAGAGCTGGGCCAGAGATACTTTGCTATGTGGGAATGAAATAGTCTACCTATCAGCATCAGGAATGCCGCTTCTCTGAACTCTTAAGGAACTCAAGACTCTCAAGACTCATCTTTTTAGCGTTGCTTTTAACTTAGATTTTTTTTTTTGTCAATTTAATCATTAAATTTTAATGTTTTTATTGTTTATGGTCTTTTATTGTTTTGTTTTTTTTTACTGTTTATTAATGTTATGCTTTGTTACTGTTTGCCTTATATGCCTTGTAGCGCTTTGGGTCTGAGAAAAGCGCATTATAAATAAAATGTATTATTATTATTTTAGTTAAATATATACAATATTTAACTAGTTATTTCGTAACATACTAGTTTCAGCTAAAAGTGTTATTTAAAGGCTTGACTAAGTTATTTAGGCAAGTCATTGGACAACAGTGCTTTGTTCTGCAGGCGATCAAAAGGGGGCTAACACTATTGACCCTAAAAAATATTTGATAACATATTTTATTACAGCTTAACCAAAATAAATATGACTTTCTTCAGAGGAAAAAGTATAATAGAAAATACTAGCAAATGCACTTGCTCTGTTAATCATCAAATTTCACAGGAGGGCTAATAAACTTGCCTTAAACTGTACATTGAAATGTTCTGAAATGCTATGTTAGTTACATTTATGCTTGCCTGAAATCAAAACAAACACATTTTTTCACCTTCTCAAGTGAGATATGCTCTGTATAGAACAGATCGTCATTTTGGCGGACAAAGCGTGGGTGATTCTTTTGCCGTATGACAAAAACAATATCTGCTGGGATGTTGTTTGGCCCCTATTAAGTAAAATACATTTAGTACTGCGATGGCTGGGATTAAGATACAAACATAGCCCGATAAAACAGTGATCATGTGTTTAGCCATGCCTGATCTCCCTCTTTAGGAAACGTGATCCGTGTCCCTTCGTTCCATCCTGCTTTTACAGTGAAGGTTAAAATTTTGTCCCTGATGCTGGATGTGTGTCCGTCTTCATTCATGACCTGTAGCAAACACAAGTCTTCACTGAAACTGAATATATCATCCATATATACATTTTATTTGTGCCACTGTGGACAGAACGCACCCTGCGGGATATCTTAATCTTTTTAGTGCATCCATAATAAAGGTCCTCCAATGCGAGATGAAGATCTCTTTCTATTGGTGGATCCTGAAGCTTTTCTTTCCGTCCACGCAAGCTCTCAAAAGCCGTGTTGACCTCATTGCCATCACCAGTGAAGAAATCTATAAAAATTAGAGGATAAAACTAATCAAAATACACTATTACTTAGGTCTCAAACTGGATTTCTGCAGGGCCGCAGCTCTGCACAGTTTCGCTCCAACCCTAATCAACCAGAGCTGATCAAGTTGTTCAAGACTACTAGACTATTAAGCAGGTGTGAGTTGGAGGTGGTTGGAGATTAATTATGCAGAGCTGTGGCCCTCCCAGCCTGATCTCACGAGAAAACGTAAGTATTTAACGTTTTGGCAGTTTAGTGGCTAATTCGTACGAATTCGTACGAGTTCAGTCGTAAGAAAATGTACGATTTTAAAAAGGAGGCGTGGCACCTAACCCCACCCCTAAACCCAACCGTCATTGGGGGATACGCAAATCGTACTAAAATGTACGAATTAGATCGTACGAATTTGTACGAATTAGCCACTAAATGAAAAAGTTACGAATTGCCATGAGATTGTGTTGGCCCTCCAGGAATTGAGTTTGAGACAGTTGCACTAGAACTTTGAACTAGTTCACACAACATAGATCAGAGTGCCCAAACTCGGATCTGGAGGGCCAGTGTCCTGCCTTTTTTAGTTCCAACCCCACACCTGAACCAGCTAATCAAGCTGTTTCTAGGTAAACTAAAACTTCCAAGCAAGTGTGTTGAAGGAAGCTGGAGCTAAACTATGAAGGACACCAGCCCTCCAGGACCGAGTTTGGACACCCCTGACGTAGATGATCAGTCATTTGAGAGTGTTTTCATCCCTTAAAAAATAACCTGCAAAAGGATTATCTCCTCCGAAAAACTGTCGAAATGTTTCATCTGCATTTCCATGGTAGACGTATCCCGATGACCAGGCGCTGTTCACTCCCAGCTCAGATGGGATTCCTCCTTTCAAACCCTCCTCCCCAAACTTATCATAAGTGGCCTTTTTACGTGCTGATTGGATGAGAAACAGAAACATCATGAACAATCATCCAAAGTTAACTGTGACAGAATTCTATACCATGCTAATTTGACCCAAGTTTACACCTACTGCCACTTTATTAGGTATACATGTACAACTTCTCATTTCCACAAATAGTTTTTAGCCATTTTTTTATTGTTTGGGCATATAAACATGCTCAAGATGAAGGAAAATTGCACAAATCCAGTTTGGGTTTTTATCCAGGTAAGTTTGAGCTTAGTTTAAGCAAACTGAGTTTTCAGGCTCAAGAAGGTGGGTTGACTTTGATCAGGTTTTGTTAGCTTAGTAACTTATGCTATAGGGCTACTGTAGCAAGTTTTATTGTGGGTTAAACATTGCAAATCCAAATTTGATGAAGATAAATTCTTGAGAAACTGTGAGCACCCAACCAACTGAATATAATTTAAAAAGTTAGTTCACCAAAAATAAAAATTAAGTTTTTAATCATTCACCTTTATGTTGTTGTAATCCCTCATCCTCCATAGACAGCATAGTCTGGAGGCGTTCAAAGTCCAGAAAAGAAACCAAAAACATTGTCAAAATATTCCTTGCATCTTCAGTGACTCAACTGTAATAATTTTTCACTTTTGTACAACAAAAAACTGTAAAAAAAAAAAAAAAAAGACTTTGTTTGCCTGTGTCTTCTTTTCCGCAACAGGTCAAGGTGTGTGCCTACTGGGCCTTAAAACATATTGCCATCACATGGAGTGTTTTGACAATGTTTTTGGCACTGAACATTTCAGAACCATTGCTGTATATAAAGGATGAGGAAGCTCTCAGATTTTTTACTACAATGTATTTATTTGTGTCCAGAAGATAAACAAAGGTCTCAAAGGATTGAACAGACATGAGGGTGATGACAGAAATGATGTTATAATTGTGCTTTGTGACCAAGGGGGCCCAACCTAGTTGGAAGGTGTAAAAAAGTGGCGGATAAATGTATATGCAAGGTATAAATAAATTTTAATAATATTTAGCTCTATATGTTACAAATTCTGTCCCACTATGTACTCCAAATATTCATGTATTTTGGTCCTACTGGAAAGCATTCATATGCACGCTCTTTTTAGAAGCAGATTTAGTCGCAAACCATATTGTATACACAGCGTTTTGGGCTCAGAACTTTCTGGGACCGACATAATGTTTACAAAGATACATAGATAAATCCGTTCCGTTGTAATAAAACGTTTTAGTAAGCATATTCTACAGCAGTTGTGGGTTGCATGTGTGTTTTGTGAATGTAAATTGTGGCCTGTCACTGTCTTGTGAACATACGGTCGCTCAGCACGTCAAACGCCTCCGCCAGCAGATTGAAGCGCTCGGCGGCGCGCGCGTGGCTGTTGCTGCGCGGGTGATGCTTCAGTGCGAGCCGCCGGTACCTGAGGAAAAATATAACAACGTACTATTAGTAAATTAGTCTTCTATTGAAGAAAACGTCTGCCATTTACTTCAGTATAACGTTATACTTATATTTAAAGAAACCAAACGAACGTCACTTACGCCTTCTTTATGTCTGCATCAATGGCGTTGCGGTTTATTTCCAAAATAGCGTAATAGTCTCTGCCCATCGCGTGTTTATTTAATCCTACACTTTAAATGATTCAAGAGACAAAAACTCAGTACGAATAGCGTCCACCTGTTAGATTATTGTTGTCGGATGTTGCTATGGACACGGAGACTTGAACTCTGGGTAATGTAGTGTACAGCTAAAAACGCGATAAATCACCATGAAACGAATTGATACATCAATTATAACAAGCACTACTATGTAAATATAAGACTCAGTAATCAAATGTTGATATATGCCGACTTTAAAGCTTTGTGTCTGTTGAAAAAATGCAATGTAAAAACTACACATAATACCCAAACTAAATTATGCCTGCTCTTATCCACTTCGTTAAAATATATAGTTTAACTACATTTATGACACCTTTAAGAAAGATTAGGTAACTGTAAAGACGTGTTAAAGTGATAGCTCATTTAATAATATATAAGAAAGCTATATATATATATATATATATATATATATATATATATATATATATATATATAAGATATTCCATATCCATTGACTTCCATAGTAGGAAAACCAAATACTAGTCAGAACAGGTTTCCAACATCTTTCGAAATATCAAATTTTATGTTTAACAGAAGAATCTAATAAAGGACTGAAAAAAGTAGTGACACAAACTCACAGCATTTGACGACTGATTCATGCATTATAGACTATATTGAGGAAGGCAAACAATTTACATTTTTAATTTCTAAAGCATTCGAAAATCTGAAAGTGAGTAAATGATGCCAAAATATTAACCTATCCCGTTTTTTTCATATAACTGCTACTTTCATAGCACTTCATTTTGCCTTGATATTTAATATCTCTTGTTTAAATACACTATGGACAGCAGCTACACTGTTTTCTTTGTGCCCTATTTCCACCTGGGGATACTCATCCTGAGCCCTCTAGAGGACTTCTAGAGGTATTCATAATCTTGGACCAGGTCGTATCCTGAGCAGATGTTGTGGTGGTCATGGAGAAGTGGAGAGCATGAGACTGATTCCTGAAAGAGACCAGTGACAGACAAGTCTTTGCATTGATTCCGTGGGCCAGCCTGAACACCCACTGGTGACCTACTCACACCTGCAGCTTCTCCAAGATGGACGTCCAGCTTGCAGCCCATGCAGCTGGTGCCTATAGACTGCAGCTCTGCACAAGACGTTTGGCCAGAGGAGAAATAGTCATGCCCAACTGAGCCTAGTTTCTCTCTAGGTTTTTTCCTTTACTTTCGTCAATTGGTGAAGTTTGTTTCTCGCCACTGGCTTGCTTATTTTGGGACTTGTGGAGATGTGGATTGATAGATTTGCTCTTCAGTGTTTGGATTTTCAGCACTTTAAACCACACTGAACTGAACTAAACTAAACTTCAACTCTGAAAACTGGACTGACACTGTTTCAATTTACTAACTTCTATGTTAAGCTGCTTTGACACAATCTACAATGTAAAAGCGCTATAGAAATAAACATGAATTGAACTGCCACTGCCATGCAAATAAAAAATTGTACTGCTCCCAATATTACATTATTAAATAAACTGATAATGACAGATCAACACAAAAATGATTAAGTATACAGTATATAAAAAAGACAAGCATGAAGTTTATTTATTTTTTATTTTTTGATTTAATAATTACAATACACATGCTTTGAGTAAAAAAGGAGACATTTTCTTTAAATTAATAATTATGAATTTTTGCAAGAAGTTGCTCGAGCTCAGGTCTTGACTTGAAACGGGCCAGGTAATCTTCTTTTGTGTGCTAGAATAAAAAAAAACACAAGAAAATAAATTAAACCCATGACATTCGACAGGATTGCCACAAATGCAGTCAGACTAGGGCTACACGATTTTGGAAAAAATCGAACATTGCAATATTTCTTTAGTTTGCGATATATATGAATCAGAGGTCGCGTTAAGCGAATATTTTCTGTCATTGACAGATTTTTTTCAGCAGTGACGGAAATATCTGAAGGTGATCTGTCATTTTGACAGATTATGCTGAGGGCGATCTATTGTAATTTGTAGCTAATTGTAATTCCCACTTTTTTTCCAGCAGATGGCGCATGTCCTTCTTTTGTCTCCTCTTCAGTCAGTGTATGCGTACAGTTGCAAAAATGTGACAGCAGCTGAGTGTGAGAAGTTTCTTTAAACGGCCAAATAGTTGTAATATTAATAATAAAGGGAAAAAAAGAGGAAGTGATGCGGTGGACGATGAAGAACAACCAGATAAAACTTCTCAGTCGCCGACAGCGGTTAAGAGCCAACCAAGAAGGTCAGGTGCTTTGGAGTGCGTTGTGAGCACTGCCGAACGCAGAGGGGTGCAGCAGCAGCTGCGCCCCTGGTGCAGAAGGAGCGCGTGCTGTAGTATTTTTTCCCGGTGAAACGAGTGCTTGCAGGATCGGGAAATCCCACATTCAGAAAATCCAGCAAACTTAGTTCTGATCACAGCCTTAGGAGAATTGTATCCTAACTACAAAACACTGGCTGAAGTGGCGCTAGTAAATCCGGTCTTTGGTCACGAGAAGTCAACTTTCCGAGGCAAAGACACAGAATTTAATGACAACTGCCTCTGCATCAGTCTCCCTTGATGCGTTTGATTACACACAGGCAAGCATCCAGTTCAGGTCGACGCAGGAGGAAGATATGAGTTAAGGCAGATAGGAGTTTTTGTTTGTTTGTCAAATAAATAAATGAATATTAAAATATGAATGAAAAAAAGTGATTAAAAAGTCTGCAAATTAAATAACGATCAATAATAGGTTATGATGGAATTTTTACATCCCTCTCCGTCAAAATGACGGACAATGACAAAGTCTAAAGCGACCTCTGATATGAATACAATTTCATCATTTGACTTAATATCTCTATTTGGAAAGATTTATAATGTTCAATCGATTAGGATGATTCTGCAGTGGGAGTGCATCTTCATAATATCTAATAAACAATCTATAAACTTTTTGGGGTCCATTCGGTCATGTGGTATGTGCTATTTGCAGTGTATTTCTCTATTTCCATGTGTTGTCAGTATTTTCATGCATAACAATCTATAAATAAAATCAAGAAAAATATACAATTAAAATGAAGTGTTTTATCATGTCCCGAGCGTAATGATATTCAAGTACAGTGACTGAATGATAAAAATAATTCAATAAAATTAATTGTAGTTAAGTTCAAAAACGGTACAATTTCTTGTACCTGAATGTTTCTAAAATCATTTTACAATCATCATGTCCCGAGTGTAATGATTTTCATGTATAGTAACTAAATGGTAAAAATAAAATTTATTTAATAAAATTTATTTATTATTGCGAGATCGATGCTGAAACGATAAATTGTGCAGCCCTAAGTCAGACAGATTTTAAAATACAAAAATAATATTTTTATACGGTATAATTTTCTGACCTCCTTCAGACAGAGTTGCACCCCCTCAGGCTGGTTCTTCAGAATGACCTCCATAAGTATAGGAAAAAGTGTTGCCTTCAATTCACTTATCTAAACACACAACACCAATAAATCGATCACACACAACAGGACACATTATATCACGACATATCAAAATTGCACACTTTTGCATTTACTCCACCTGAACAACACGCTCATGGGTCTTCAGGACTGCGTCAACAAACATCTTCATGCCCTGCTCCTGCATCACCATGACCTCTGTGCTTTTCGTAGGCAGGGCATAGCTTTAAAACAAAAAACAGAGATTTATTTCATTAGTAACTTCAAACTATTCATAGGACTCGAATTGATGCATAACTATCATCAAACATTTATTTTAAAAGTAAAACATGCATTATTATGTTGTCAGTTTTTCATTTAAGGAATATTGAGCTTCCAAAACACCATCAAAACATTAAGAATAGTCCACTCAAATCTGTCAATCATCTTCCAGCTTGACCAATAGTGTCAGCCTGATCGTTACAGTAGCCACGCCCCAAACTGACACTATTGGTCAGTATTTAAGGAGGGTGATGAATAAATGTTATTTATATCGGCATATAACTACACCTTCATCTTTAATATGACTTTGAGATTATGTTTTGAATTTTGGGATGTGTTTGTATCTGTTCTTAAAGGGACAGTTCATCCCAAATTGAAAATTCTGTCATTATTTACTAAGCCCTTCACTTGTTCCAAGCTTGTTTGAGTTTCTTTCTGTTGAGCACAAAAGAAGATATTTTGTAAAATGTTGGAAAACGGGTAACCACTGACTTGTTTTTCCTACTATCGATGGTTACAGGTTCGCAACATTCTTCAAAATATCTTCTTTTGTGTTCCACTGAAAAATAAACTCAAAGTTTGGATCCACTTGAGGGAGAGTAAATAGTTTGTACATTTTCATTTGTGGGTGAACTATAACTTAATAAGGATTTTATCAATCTGATCACAAGCGGAGGATGCTGTAAATGAAGCTTTTGAGATGTTTTGATTTTGTCCACATTCAACCAGAGGTAGTCGAAAACACATTTGTCTGAATTGCTTTCTGGTATAGACCTTTTTCATGGCTGCTGCATGGAGGGCGCCATAGCGACCAGCGTCTTCCGGTAGAATGCTAAAAACTTCCGTTTACAGCGTGTACAACTGGTAATTTGCGCTCCGAAAATGGGTTTTAATAACGTTTTTAATGGATAACAGAGTGTTTTTGTGACACACAACTTAGAAATATGTCTGTTAAAGCCGTTTTAATCTGTCACATGTGGTTCAAGCGCGTCAGAAATACGAGAAAAACATTCTCCTAGTTCATGTGTCTGCCGTCAGAAATACAGTGTGTGTATGCGTTCCCGGCCTGTCAGCTGTTAGCTCAGCGGCTCTTTAACACTCACACACAGAGACACAGAGAGAAAGAGAGCAAACCAGAGTACTGGCATGAAACTTAACAGGTATGAAAGTCGTGCAATTTACAAAAATGACCAATAAAAGTCTGTTATTGATCCTCTGCTGGCTGATTTGCTGTTCATTCTAATCGCGAGCCGTTTGTGTTTTATTTCGTGTGTTGCTTTTACCACGATTTGTGTTTTTCTGTCATTTTGAAATGACACACCTATATTTTCACCTTGTCACAGTTATTAAATCAGTGTGTCAGTGGCACAGTACAGGCTACGTGTGTGTGTCAAACATTTTGGTGAATTACATTTGTCTGGGCTGGTTATATATTTGAAATAAAGAGAAAATGTTGACTTTAGCGATGACAAGGCTTCATTTAAACTGCAGAAGATGCCCTCTGACAACGAGGGGGAAATGCCTCACAGCAGCAGTTTTCCATCCTATTAGATCGCATTTCTTTAAATGATCAGTCCAGGAGATGGTGCTGATGGACAACAGTATTAGTTCAAAGAGGATAAAAGCAGGTAAAATAGATTAAAACTATCGTTTCAAAGCTGTCCAATTGTGACTGTTTACACGCATCAGCTGCCGACCGGAAGTTCTTCGCATTCTCCTTGCGCATACACGCAAAGCATAATGGGTAATTTTGCGTTCCAAGAAAAAGGTCTATAAACGCTCAAAATTATGACGTCTACAAAAAGCCACAAAATATCAACTATGATTTACTAACAAATGTCTTATGGCAGATGGGATTTAAACCTTTTGAAATGGTACAGCAGAAAATCTGTTGAAACACAGCTTAAAATCGTAAGTTTGGATTGAAGTTTAAACATAAAAACCCCCAAAAGTATAGGTTTTACCAGCCGTTATTCTTTCTGACACAAACTCACAGCATTTGACGACTGATTCATGCATTATAGACTGTATTGAGGAATGCAAACAATTTACATTTTTAATTTCCAAAGCATTCGAAAATCTGAAAAGGTCCACATATTAATAAATAATGTTATGACAACAGTTTTAACCTTATAATTGAATTTTGAATAGAAATTCGAATGGAAAAAAATGTCTCCCACCTTTCGTCGACCTTGATGTCCAAACGTTTGCAGAGATTGTGTATGTATTGGGAATAATGTTCCACTAGGGTCATGTCATATCCAGAAACACACACATTAATCACACCAAACTTTGTGCTTGTTGCTTCTATGATCTCCTTCATCTGCACTTTTTCCTTCTTCTTCTTTTGCTGGATAAATGTAATTCAGCATATATAATTGACAGGCTGTAAAAAAACACTGCATAGTAGGGTTGTCACGATACTGGAATTTGTTACCAATTGATACTGAAAAGCTCATCAGTTTACTATCTGTCTGCGGTTACACGCAGTGAACAGCGGTGAGTTGGGTGAACTGATGACCTTCATGGCCGAGCACAGTCATTTCTGTTGAGCACGTGAACACAATGGCAAATCAGTGCCGTTTAAGAACGTGCTCAACAGCGCTCAAATGTTAGCGGGAAATGGAAGTTTTTAAAATTTCAGTATCGATTGGTACCATACCTTTCAACCCTCCTGTTTTTTCCGGGACTCTCTCATATTTTACAGTTCTATCCCGTTATCATCCCGTAAAGTTATTTTCCCATATTTCTCAGGGTGTTCAGGGTGGCAATAAACATTAAAGAGCTGATCCTCCCTTTACGCAACCCATACCCTGAACCATCAGGGGCTGCTCCTTGCTCTTAAACGTGAGTCTGTTCTGTTCTTTCACTTTGTTTAGGCATGAAAACACTTTGAAATAAAAATTAAAACCTCAGGAATCCCTTTCCTTTTCATTACAGGTGCCGTCTCCACTTCATATGCAAAACAGTAATATAGCAGTGTGTGACTGTCAGCTGACGCGCTCCATAGTGATAAATAGATGCTGTTTCCCAAACGAATTCTGTATGTGCGATTTGACACGGAGCGACAGTCTGAGTTTTGGGTGATTGTTTAAACAGACATGTACACATAATTAATAATAATAACATCTAAAGATGTCGATCTTGGTGGTTTTTTTTTTCAAAAACAACTAATTTCATCCTAAATGAGCATCAAGTTAGGAAAGCAATCGAATGCTTTCATTATAATGTTAGATGTGTGCATTTTTAAAGTGACGCCTGTTATTTAATGTAATCAAACGAAAAAACAATCTAAATAAATAAGAGATTCATTTATTGCTCTTTAATCAGAATGTGTAAGTTATGGAGTAAGGATACGGCTAATGAGATTTGATAGCTTGATTCTATTTAATTATAACAGCTATTAATTTTAATAAACTGAACTGTTTGCTAATGTATTTGCTGCTAATGTACACTATTTATTTTTTCTTTTGTAAATATTAATAATAAAACATATTTCTGACCATTTAACTGTTTATTTACAATAAAACAGCTCCAAATTAACATATTTAGTAATTAGTAGGAATTTTTTGATAATAACCTTATTATGGTGGGCATATTCCGTATTTGCACATCCCAATGTTGACAGGTATGATTGGTACCGAATTCCATTGTCATGACAACCCAACTGCATAGTCTGTGTGTTTGTGTGTGTATAAAACTTTCGTCTTACTAGTTTTGGAAGAAATCGCTTATATCTTCCGATACCATGTGTGGGCATTGACCTATACTGTCTGTGTAGAAGACCTGTTAGACACAAAAACACCATTCAGTTAATTATATATGAACGCACACATATATGTGAAATTACAGAATATACAGTATCGTTGCTCTTACCCAAAGGCATTTGTGGAGTCAACACTTGACTTCTGTGATATTGGAAAAAAACATTGATCAAGTTTGGTGATTCATTTTATGTTTACTATACACTTCCTGACAAAAGTCTTGTCATTAATCCCAGTTGTAAGAGCAACAAATAATAACTTGACTTCTAGTTGATCATATGAAAAGTGGCAAAAGATAGATTTTTCTGATGAATCATCTGTTGAACTGCATCCCACTCATCATAAATACTGCAGAAGACCTATTGGATCCCACACGGACCCAAGATTCTCATAGAAATCAGTCAAGTTTGGTGAAGGAAAAATCATTGTTTGGGATTACTTTCAGTATGGAGGCATGCAAGAGATCTGCAGAGTGAATGGTAACATCAATAGCCTTATCAATAGTTATCAAGACATTTGTGCTGCCCATTACATTACAAACCACAGGAAAGGACAAATTCTTCAGCGGGATAGTGCTCCTTCTCATACTTCAGCCTCCACATCAAAGTTCCTGACAGCAAAGAAGGTCAAGGTGCTCCAGGATTGGCCAGCCCAGTCACCAGATATGAACATTATTGAGCAAGTCTGAGGTAAGATGAAGGAGGAGGCATTGAAGATGAATCCAAAGAATCTTGATGAGATCTTGGAGTCCTGCCATGACTTTATATTCTATACTGTACATTATTTCTATTAGGTGACGAGACGTTTGTCTAAGCAAAGTCAGACCTTACCGTCCAAATAAATAATTAAAAATTAAGGCATGATCATATTTTATTGTGGTAAAATAAGTGTAATCTTGAGGCGTTTGCCTTTCATATAAGCCACTTCTGATACCAATTGATCAACTAGAAGTCAAGTTATTATTTGTAGTTCTTGAAACTTGGATAGGTGACAAGACTTTTGTCAGGGGGTGTACTGTAAGCATTAGCTCAATTTAGAGTAACTGTTTTCCACTTTAATGTATTACAGGTGTATTTTATTCCTTTTAATCAAGCAAATATGCTGATTTGTTGCTCAAAATATTTTGGAAAAGCATTAATGTTGGAAACTTTTCATATTTCTGTATCAGTTTTGATATATTACCATTAAATTAAAATAATTAACACATTTCATTAATCAATTAATTTATAATGAATGAATGTTTTTAATGACTATTATACTATAACGATTACTACTGACAGATGAACATTAATAATAACAATAGAGCAGGAAATCAGCATAATAATGTTTAAAGAAAGACTGCAAAGATTACGTTTTAAAATATTATCACTTAATAATAATATTTCATAAAATAATCTAATACATTTATTAAAAAAATTATAACAATACAATATAAACTGACACTTACTGTACGGATGAAGCGACACACACTAGCGCCCGCGCGTTCTGAAGCCGCAACACCTTATGAAAACAATAACACACACAAACAATTATGATTTTGTAATATTGCAAACAATAATTAAAACGTACAGCTCTTACACTTTGACCTTGGGACATATTAACAACACATACTACTGAAAACCACCAAGACTAAAACGCCAAACTGTAATACTGCACCTTATTCAATAAAGAGTTCATGGTTTCGTGTCGACAATGCTGCAGTAAAACTTCAAATAAGCAGCCAGAATCTGTAAATATCAGTCCGAGAAGCGCATGTACAGCTCCTGATCTTCTTCGCTGATGCGAGGAGGTGATTTTACGATCATTCAGCAAACTGTTTCCCCCTGTTGGAGGCGACAGATAATACTTTTAGAATTACACGAAAGACTGAAAAACAAATCCATTTGCATTCACAATCTTAATCTCAAATAGTAAACCTGCCTTTGTGGTCTTCATTAAAGATATGGAGAATTATATAAAGTTGATTTCAAGATCGACTAATAAGAAAGCTTTAAAAAATATGCTCTGCTTTTAAGATATTTATATACGTAATCTTAATTTGACCCTTGTATTTGCAATAACCTTTAATGTTTTTTCTTCCCCCTCTCTCTCTTCTCTTTATTTCTTATATTGGTATTATTTTCTCTATTGTTTCATACTGTACTGTACTTTTCGACAATGTCACTTGCTGATACTTAATGTGTACTGTTATGGGGCGAAGCGGTGGCGTAGTAGGAAGTGCTGTCGCTAGTGGTGGGCAAAGCGAGGCTTCGTGAAACACTGAAACAGTCGAAGCAAATGTGTCGAAGCTTCGAAACGTTTCGAAACCTCACTCTACAGTGACATTTAGTGGTCATTTTTTATATATATTGCACTGAAACAGCTTCAGCAAAGAACGATTGAACAGATTGAGGGATTAAACCCCACTTTGTGAAAATGGAATCCTTCAAGTAACATTGTACAGTGGTTATAGTGTCAGACATCCATGCAGGAGTAGTAGGTTTCGAAGCCAGTCAGTAGCAGTTGTTTTGAAATGCTTTAATACCAGTTGGTAATGCTTTGCTCTTGTATAGTTTTGTTTCAACATTGGTCTGATATCCGAATAAACAATTTGTGAATAAATATGTCTTGTTTTTGTCTTAAAACAGGGTTGTTGCTAGATCAAAAACGGTGGCCTGAAGTTATCAAGAATTATTTATATTATTCATTAAATTTCCCATTTATTGTATTTTATTAATGTCTACCCAAACCCTAAACCCAACCATACTGTAAAAATATTTATTATTGTTTTACAGTGTTACAAAAATGATGCTAAATTGATGGCGTAACTGTAGCTGTATCCTATTTAGGCTACACAAAACAGAAACATGATTAAAATACATAAAACCATGATTTCGAAGTCGGGATTCGAACCCAAAACATCATGGTAAGCATAGAATCAATAAGCAAACCCACAGTGCTCTATGCCATTTGAGACAGAGATAATTTGGAGACCTTGGCAGTCAAATTAGGATTCACCAGGTCTCGAAACGTTTCTAAGCTGATCGATGCTTTGAATCGCTTTAGTCACGTGACTAGGTGTTTCGAAACACTTTAGTCACGTGACTTGGGTGCTTCGGATCATGCTTCGGTGCAGTGATTCGAAACACTTAAGGTGCGTTCGACATGAAGCTCAGCTGCAGCCGGTGATCAACGAGATTAGCCGAGCGCAGGCGGGGCGGAGTTGAAAACGGAGCCGTCAAGACGGACAGCTGGACACTTCGGGACTCAAAGTTGCTGCAGTCATGATGACCGATTACATGGCGTCATCATATTTTTTTGTTATTTTTATTTATAACAACAAAACATTTACAAATAAAACAGAATACAGTTTCTACAAACTGTAGTTCCTTTTTAAACAATAAGAGAGAATTATGAATAAAAGACATAACAAATGCATGAGAGAAATAAGAGGAAATGAGAGGTTAATATAAACATAAAAACGAACAGGTCTATTAAATACAAAGCAATAAGCATAAATTCTAGGAGTTAAACATCAACCTTTAGGCTAATACTTCTTGTTTGAATATGCTAAAAAAGGGTTTACATATATGTACATTTATAGATAGAAAAATTTCCAATGTAAAAAGTAAAACAAGGTGTTTTGATTAGGGCTTAATAAATGACATCATTTTGGATAATGAATGAAATTTCAAAAAAGCATTTTAATTCAAAAAGATTGTGTTGAAAACAACAAAAGGTAAAATAAGTGAGCTATGTAGAAGTTTCCAAGAAAGAGCAGGTAGCCTTTAAACTGCTAGACAGGAAATAAAATAGATATTTATATTATAATAATAAAACCATTTTATAATTATTTAATAAAATAGTTCATGGGGATGAATGCAGTAAATAGTCTGTATAAAAAAGTTAAAAATAAACCTGCGCAAACAAGCTAACCTTTATAACCAGATTATTTAACAAAAGATGATTACTGCAGTAAAATATTTGTAGTCTTTTAATAAGCAAGATGTGTACAGGATAGAGAGGGTGTGAAAAGTGAATTGTTTGTTTTGAAACTTTTGAATCGGAATTTGTCCAATTATAAACCTGAAATACACGTGTTTGTTGTCATGTGGTAAACTCGGCCAATCGTGTAATATCGGTGTCGTCATCAAAGCTCCTGCAGTCGCTCTTCAGAAGCTGCACGGTCTGAGTTTGCCGTCTGATCTCGGAGCGCTGTCGCGGTACTTTGATGCCACATGTGACAGTCACGTGGCGTCGGCGCAGCATCAATCCGGACAAGATTTCTAACCAGAATGCACCGCTTTAAGACAGATTTCGATCGATCTGCGCAGCGCTGCATGAAGTCGAACGCACCTTTACGCTTCGGGATCTCGACACTGTGTCAAAACATCAGTTTCACGTCAGCCATCCCTAGCTGTCGCATCACAGCAACAAGGTCACTGTTTCGAGCCACGGCTGGGTCAGTAAGCATTTCTGTGTGGAGTTTGCATGTTCTCTCTGTGTTCGCGTGGTGCTCAGGTTTCCCCCACAAGTCCAAAGACATGCGGTACAGGTGAATTGGGTAGACTAAATTGTCAATGTGTATGTGTGTGTATGAGTGTGTATGGGTGTTTCCCAGTGATGGAAGGGTATCTGCTGCAAAAAGAAAATGCTGTTGGCGGTTCATTCTGCTGTGGCGACCCCAGATTAATAAAGGGACTAAGCCAAAAAAAAAAATGAATGAATGAATGTACTGTTATGGATGTTCCGTGTTTCAGTGATAAAAAAACACATTCACTATATTTCCATCCACATTAATAATAATAACAATACAAAATTATATAATTCAAATAAATACCAAAAATTAACAAATAAAATAATTTATAAAACAATAAGCAGCAGGGAAGTTAAAGTTCTCAAAATATGAAACCAAAATCCAATAATAAACTATATAAATAACTTGCTTTTTGACTTTTCATCTCTCTTAATGTCTTAATGTGAGTCTAAAAACTCACAGAGGATGACATAGCATCTACAAAATAAATATACATGATATACAAAATAAACATGGCAGCTGCAAAATGAAAATGTACACCATACACACATAATAAATATTACAATCATTAATCCATTAAGTTTATTTACCTTGTTTCAAATAATATACACAGTTTATTATAGTAATTATTATTGTGTATTTTTTGTCTGTCACTTATTTTTATTTTTTTTATTGTAAATTTTATGGGCAACAAGGCCTCACAGCAAAAAGCACATTAAACATATATCTAAACTGGCATCAGCATAAAAAATTTAATCCTGACCACAGTTCAAGGGTTAACTGAACGCGATGATGCAGAATAGTGACGCCAGCAACGTGACGTGGCGCTTGAAAAGCTCAACCTAACCCTGTTTGTCGTCCCGCCTAGTTTTCATATATGGGCACCATTCCGCTTACTCACAGTAAATACTAATTTCCCCACTAACAAAATACACTTAAATATTTTTTATTTTTTATAATTTAAATACGAAAGCAAAATGACTAGTTGAGTGAAGCTGCTAAATTTACATTCCACTAATAATAAATACATCAATGAAAATGTAACGCTCAAAATATATAAATATGCAAATTACAGATTAAATGATTGTGATACTGATAAGACATCTGTATATTTTATCTAATAAATAATTTCATCAATTAGACGGAACGCCGTTCTAAATAAAATATTCGTTGTAATCTTTTCTAATTCAATAGGCTAGCTCAGCTGTCAATCACTCCTCTGAGTGTCGTGCTAGGTTGCGGCGCAGAACTGGGCCTGAATAGGCGGCTGAGAGTCTCAAACTGCACCGAGTTGGAGAAAACTGGATACTAACAGCTTTATTTTCTTGTTTAGAACATTTTAATAGTTAAAACAACAAGTTTAAACCAACATTAGGCCCAGTGGAACCGGCAGCATGTCTGCAGCAGGAGATTTCGGCAACCCGCTCCGCAAATTCAAGCTAGTTTTTCTGGGAGAGCAGAGCGGTGAGTCCCGAACCGAACCAGATCTAACGGTTCTATTTTAAAAATCTTTCTTAAGTCTGAATGTGATGTGTAAAACGCGAACATATAAGTGTCTTACATTATGAGTAAATTTATGAATCTGTAAATCTATCTATCTATCTATCTATCTATCCATCTATCTATCTATCTATCCATCTATCCATCTATCCATCTATCCATCTATCTATCCATCTATCCATCTATCCATCTATCCATCTATCCATCTATCCATCTATCTATCTATCTATATATCTATCTATCTATCTATCTATCTGTCTATCTATCTATCTAATAATGTGCAATATTTTGTAATATGATAAGACACTCAGTGTACTAAATATCTGAAATATTATAGTGTCTCTGAGTGTGCTGGAATGTGTGTACATATCTGGTTGTCTTTTATGCTCATAGGTATAGTAAAACATGGCAAAACAACTACTTTTGATTTACAGTTGAAGTTGTATTTGCTAACATAAGTTAGTTATGATGGCTGTTGTCTTCCGATAGCAATTGATATCAACAGGTTTGTTTTGGGACAGGGTTTTCAAATTAGGGTCCTGGTAAGGCAAAAAAGTTTAAATTAATGACAAATAATAAATTTATAATTTATTTATTTAAATGAATGATGATGCAATTTATGGAGATGACTATAAAATGGATAATCTTAAGATGAATATACAAATATAAAGGCATAGCAATATATGTATATAATTTATTAATTATAATATAACATAATTGCTTAAATACATAAGATGCAAATAATCTAGACATTTATTTAAACGAATTAAAAATTAAAAAGCATAATTCTGATTAAAATAAATAAATGGAAATAGATTAAAAAGTAATTAAGTATGAATAAATGTATACATGTTTAATAATAAGTAGAATTGTTTTTATAATGCACCAACATATGTAAAAAAATAATTCATAAAGTAAATGATTCATTAATAATTGATATAAAATATTTAAATATATATTTTTTACATTATTAGAACTTAATATATAGAAGATACTAAATACTGGATCAATGCCTGTTCAGATTTTACAACGTTACAATTGTAAACACTTAAGTCCCTTTTTAAACTGCATTTCGTATTCATTTCACAGTGTATTTTTGTCTCTCTCTGCTGTGTTAACATGATATTCTCAAGTTTGACTGAGAGCTTTTGTTGGTGACGTGCTGTGATTTTCTGTATCGTTTAACCACTGAACACTCATATTTCAAACTTGTGAGCACATGCACGCGTTCATAAGTGATAAAACACCAACAACTGCCTATTAAATACTGCTTAAGTCTGAATATAAGAGCTGCTCCCCTTTCTGAAATATCTGTCGCACACAGTGTTTCACTGGACACCAATTTCACAAGTCATTGGGCAAGAATTCAAAAGTACATCTGCAGCATAAAGCATAAACAAAGATTATGTGGCATTATTTAGTAAACATCTTTCAGACTAGACTTGTAAAAAATGCTTGAGGCTTTTTCTGAAATTTGAATAGGAAAATAAACATTGCAAACTGTTTGCATATTTACACAGACACCATTGCATGTGTTGTTCATGGTCTCCTTTTAGATAAATCTATCACATGTGTCATGTGAGAAGAGTCTGATGTAAATGAGAATTGAATTTGCACAGAAAATTTTGATAGTTTTTAACTTGTTCGTAACTTGTTTATATTTGGATTGAATTATATTTTATGTACATTTCCAGTACAAAATCATCCCAATCAATCTAAAATGAGGAATTCTTAACAAATAGAGCTATTGAAGTCATCTTGCAATGTCAATGTTTTTTCCAATATTGTGCAGCCCTAATATTAGGTAATGTTATTTTTTTCTGTTATTACCTCTAGTAGTGTGCTAAAACCGTAGGCAGTTACATACTCCACGTTTTATTAAATGGAGTTAATAATAATAACCAGTTATAACTAAAATTAACATTTAGTGTAATACATCTGGCTTTTTCTCACTGTTGATTTTAACGCATTAAGGTTTACCAGTGAGACTTCTGTAAAGTGTTAGCTATTGTACTTTATAGTCCTTGTGCAATTTAATTTGGTCGAAACATTTGTGTACTCTGATTATGTATATACATTATGTGTTTATTGTTATTATTATTACTGCTAAAGTATTTTTCGGCTTAGGTCAACATTGTGATAATACCGTATATAGTCAGAAAACTACAGCAAGTAATTTCAGCCACTGCACGATATTGGAAGAATCTGTTCCTGCGATTTATTTTATTTTTCTGCAATTAAATTTTGCAATATAAATACAGTTTTCTTTGACAGTTTGAATAGTTTGAGGGTTTTCTGAGGACTCTAACAGTTAATTAAATATAGTAATTACTATAGGGGCTACATGATATTGGAAAAAAACTGGCGTCGCAATATTTTATTTTCCTGCAATGTTGAGTATAAGTTTAACAGATGAAATGAGTAGCTCTATTTGGATAGAATTAATCCATTTAGGATAGTTTAGGATGAAAATAGGATGATTTTGTTGTGGCGTGCAGTGATAGATGCTGTAAATAATTGAAATAAATGATTCATTGTTTTTCTGAGACTCCAACAGTGTTCAGGTACACAAGTTAAATATGTAAAATAAATATCACTTGATTTGTTGTGAGAATTACAAATTTTTTTTATAGCATATATATAATTTAATAATCTTTCCTGAAGTTAATTAACTTTAAACCATCTTGAAATGCGTTCACAGTTACATCTTTAAAACACATGCAAATTAGATGTTTTTTGGTAACTTTATGAACTCTAAAGAAGAATTAAGTCCAGATTGATAGTTTTTACTTAAAACAAGCCAAATTATCTGCCAGTAGGTGAATTAAAATACTCTAATGTTTGCTTTAAAATGTAGATATTTAGGCAAGAAACACAACAAAAATTCAAAGAAAAAAAATAACACTTTATATTTTTTGAATAAATCGTATATATTCTGTATAAATACAGCAATTAAATGTATTTGTGTAGCTCCTGGTGAACTATAATTCAGACTGAACATTGCACATCTTGTGATGTGTCTTTTGTGGATGCGCACTTTGGGATATCAATGCTGAATTGATATATTGTGCAGCCCTAATCGCAACGATCAAATTTGATACCGGCAGAAGCCTAATCTAATGTTTTAGTAGTAACATGATCATTTTTGATTTTGCAGTGGGAAAGACGTCGTTGATTACCAGATTTATGTACGACAGTTTCGATAACACCTACCAGGTGAGTGATGTTGTTTGTTCTCAACTTTAAATGTTTCTGATCAGTTGTGTGGTTTGGCGTGCTTCATCTCTAATGTTTTGTTGCTTTAAATTTTCAGGCCACGATAGGAATTGATTTCTTGTCGAAAACCATGTATCTTGAGGACAGAACAGTAAGTAATTTATTTTTCGCTCTAATAGAAAATGCATATGGCTTTAACTGTTTAAAATATACTAAATGCATGAAATTATCATAGAGATATTAAGAAATGACTGAGGGATTTGATAATCTTTTTGTAAATTAAAGTGAATTTGTTTATTTAATGGAATTGATATTTTCTTTTCTCGTTCCTCAGAACATTATTTGTGTATAATATTATATGTTAAGTTTCTTTGATTTCTGCAACTCTCTCTGAAATAGTGTTAAAGTTGTAAGTGATAAATAATTGTTTCAGTGCATTGTGTTTTAGATGTATAGTAATTAGGGATGTGCAATCGTAAAAAAAGTCTATTGTTTCATATTATTATGCTCTTGTTTATTTTGTGGTGTCACAATGTACATTTCTTATGTTAATACTTTTTTTCATAGTTCATATAAACACAATATTACAAGTGAGAAACATAAAAAAATCTTGAAAGTACAATGTTTACATTTTGCATTTTATTTAGCGACGATGTTGATTTTATTTATTTGCTTTTTACGTTTAACTTTTTATCATTCCTTTTTGAAAAGTGTTCATTTTATTGTTATTTAATTTTTTTAAAGTTCTAAATAAAGCTAGAAATATGATCACATATGAACGAGTGATTTTTCTATCATGCTTTATAATGTAAATAAAAATAATATTACATGCGGTTTAAATATAAACTATTAATTAATTACATTGACAGAAATGGTACTGAATTTGAGATGATTTATTTTGTGATATAAGACTATTGTCATATATATCCCAAACACGATGTCTGGGAGATAAACTCGTATATCTAGAGTCACTTGAGAAGTTTTCACCGCTTTACTTAAGAAAAATCTGCTGTCAGATACTAGCTGATATTGAAAGATGAAAAATGATCAAATAAAAGAATATTTAAAATAGCATATAAATGTTTAATTCATTGTTTTCTTTGAATGTTAAATGTTGTTTTAAACCTTTGATATTTGGAAATGTCTATAAAAGTCAAAGATGAAGTGCGCAAAGAGAAACTCCTGTGCCTTTCTCCACCTGTTGTGTCCATTGCCCCAGCCTATTTCTCTTTTCTCTTTCACTCTCTAGTTATTTGTTCATACATGTTTGTTTCCTTTTATAAAGAATTTCTCTCATTTAATTTTTTTTTTATTTTGTATAATTATGTTTTATTCAGAAGATCTGCTGTCCTGATAATATGGCCAAACCCTGGCCCATACCTTAACCCTACTAACATCTGAATACTTTACTAACAATAGACTTAAAGGGTTAGTTCACCCACTCTTTAATCACTCTGGAGCTGTTTTACCACAATATGCATGCTCATAAAAACCATAAAAAGTTCATTTATAAAAAAAAAACTCTTGCTTATGGCTGTTTTATACAATGGCAGCAACTAGATCTGCATTAAAAGTATAGTTCACCCAAAAATAAAAATACTCACCCTCCACTTGACCAATCCTGTTTGAGTTTACAAAAGCAGATAAAAAAACACCAATTGATTTCCATAGTATTTTTTGTTCTTACTATATATGTCAATGACAGCTTTTCCCAACATTTTTCAGAATATCTTATTTTATGTTCAACAGAATTTTTGTGGAAGTTTTGTTCATGCCATATTTAAAATTAATGATGATAATTCATATATAATTATATAGTTTGTTAAGTCTGTGGCACTAGTAAAGCAGTTATCAATACCAAAGGAAGAAATGTTATTAGACCTTTAGAGAAAAAAAAATGATGCTTTACTTTTGACTTAAACCCATACCTAATAAAACCAATAAAGTGAATGGTTTTACCAATCCTTTGGCCCTTTTTTGTAAATAATTTTCAAATATACAGTTAAAGTAAATATTATTAGCTTTCCTTTTAAAAAATATTTAACAAATGATGTTTAAAAGAGCAAGGATTTTTTACAGTATTACCTATTATGTTTTTTTATTGAGAAAGTCTTCAGCTATAGTAAAAGCAGTTTTACATAAAATAAGACATTTTAAGGTCAATATTATTAGCCCCCTAAAGCAATATTTTTTTCAATTGTCTACCCTGAGCACGCTTGCGTCATCAATGATGCAATTGTTCGGTTAGGACAAGAAGCGCTCTTGCTCAGTACAATGGAGATGGCTTTAATTGTATTGTTTTGTATTCATTTAAGTCAGTGACGCAGTCAATTATTTTGCTGAACAGATCCACAACTTTTGACGCTCATAAATGTTCATGAAAGTCATCATGCTGCAGGTTTTAGGAGGTTTGCTGAAGGTGTAGCTGACGTGCCGTGAGGGGTTTGTAACTTTAGTAAATTAGGACAGTAGTTCTTGTTCATTGAAAAGTAAGATTGATTAGTAAATCCATATGAAACAGTCTCTAAAAGTGACGTTGCGTCTTCAGTTTCGGGCTCAGGTGCACTTTTAGTACACTACTAGCGTACCTAGCCAAAGCCCAACCGAACTGCACTTTAAGCTGAATACTAGTATCTTAAAAATATCTAGTAAAATATTATTTACTTTATTTATTAAAACTATTATGTTTAAAAATGTGTGGAAAAAATATTTTCATTAAGCAGAAATTTTGTAAAAAATATACAGGGGGGGCTAATAATTCTGTAGGGCCAACAATTCAACTGCATATCTTTTGTAGTCCGTAAAAGGAGGACTGAATTTACATTGACGGGTGAACTACCGCCAGCATTTAACAGTCTCAAATACATTGTCCATTTTGCTTTCACCCATTCCTTGCATTTTTATTTTCTATTCTGTTTTTTTCTTCCTATACATCATCTTTTCCTTTTAAACATTTCATTTCCTCCTTTTTTTCCTTTTTACTCTGGTTCCTTTTCTTTTGTTTGTTCTCCATTCACACAGATCAGGCTGCAGCTTTGGGACACAGCAGGACAGGAGCGTTTCCGTAGCCTCATTCCCAGTTACATCCGAGATTCAGCCGCTGCTGTTGTAGTTTACGACATCACAAGTAGGTATCAGAGACTCAGTGTGCGTCCAGTTCCCCTCCTCTTACCTCTTCCTCTTCCCCTTTCTCCCCATCTCTCTCTCTCTCTCTCTCTCTCTCTCTCTCTCTCTCTCTCTCTCTCTCTCTCTCTCTCTCTCTCTCTCTCTGCTGCATCTCTGGTGCTAAAATGTTTGGTCAGGTGCGGCTGCAGCTTTGGGACACAGCAGGACAGGAGCGTTTCCGCAGTCTGATTCCCAGCTACATCCGGGACTCGACGGTTGCTGTTGTAGTCTATGACATCACAAGTGAGTGTGGATCCTCGGCGGGAGATCTTGAGGAAGAGGAAAGATGTCTGTCATCTCAACGCAGTCTCTCCTTTTCTGTCTCTCATTCTATTTGTTTTGTTTGTTTGTGATTCCATCTTTCTTGTCTTATGTTTGTGGGACTTTTTGTTTTTTCTTTGCTTTGCAGTCTGGTGCTAAAGTGGAGCGCTAGACACCTTTGTTTTGTTTCGTATTTGAGCTTACATGTTAACAGATCTTCATTAGTTAATAAAAGGGACATAATAGTCGTTTTTATGAAGATGAATTTAAAAACAAGCTAAACACAGACCAATAAAAATATTAAAGAGCAGTATATTTTTTGCAGTTGTGATCAGTGTTAAGGGTGACGGATTACCCGCTTCGAATGTTATCACTCGATTGAATGGCCGTTATCAGTGGTTATCATATCAGCTAATGGATATGAACTAGTAGGCTCAGAAGGCTGTTATCATCCATCAACATGGTTAATCAGCTATACTTATAGAGAAGACTCAAGATCTGTTTCTACATTACTGTGATTGTTGGGGTAGGAGTAGACGTTAATAAAATACAATTAATAGGAAATTTGTTAAATAATATTAATAATTCTTGTGGTTAATCAGCTTTACTAATAGAGGAGACTCCATATCTGTTTTTTACAACACTGTGATGGTTGGGTTTGGGTAGATGTTCATAAAATACAATTAATGTGAAATTTTAAAATTAATATAAATTATTCTCGTTAACTTCCGGCTGAAGCCATATGTGATCTACTGCTGACTAACCATGTGAATGGATAACAGCCTTCTGAGCCTATCAGTGGGTTCAGACAGCCCCTACTGACCTATATCTATTAGCTGATAACCACTAATAACGCCCCTTCAAATGAGTGATAACATTCAAAATGGCTAAACAAATTCTAAGTTACATAATAATATTACTTTTCTAAGTAAAGTAATGCATTACTTTTAAAAATTAGGTAATAATATTTGAGTTTCTTTACATTTTAACAAAATCCAAGTTACTTTTTATTTTTATTACTTTGCTTTTAAAAAAAGATAATTGTTGAATTAAAATGAACAGTCAGAATGTGCTCAGCACAGACAGAAACCAAGATGATTCTGGCTTACATTTCTGGGATAGAAGTGTTTTCATTATTTTTAGCACTTGGAAGAATATGAAAAGGGGATTATCTCAATGGACAGTGACTTTTACTTCACTAATAAAACAAAAAGTACAAAAGTAGCAAACACATTTCTTTAAACTTGCATTAATCTGTATATACGGCATGTATAGCACTGCGGTCAGGAAATTCTTAGAAGATAACATTATCATACGATATTATTTTTGATGTGTTTTTTTTTTTAAAGGTAAACGAAGGTTATGCAGTGTATTGTTAATAGCTTCTCCATTTAAAAAAAAAAAGAAAAAAACTGAAAGAGATCAAGCCTCAGCCATGCAAGAAATATTTACTCAAAAGTAATGTAATGCATTACTTACCATAAAAAAGAAACTAAGTGACGCAACTACTTTTTATTGGAGTTATTCAATGCTGTGCTTTCAAAAGTAAATTTCCTCAACACTGGTTGTGATCAAAAGTAGAAATATACACTTCTTACAAATACCAAACATTTTTTGTGTTTTTTTTATAATTGCTTGAAATATTAAATGATATGTTTCTGTTATGTGTTCACATAATTCATTTGTAAATGGCCAAAAGGAATTTAAAGGCCATGCAAGTTATTACTTATTTTGGGAAAGGGAAATGCCAAGTCTGGGTAGAGACGCAATTACATGCAAACCATTAAAAATGATGTTGTTATTTTTTTTAATTTTAGTAGAATGATTCTGGTCCTTGATGATTTATAAAATGTAAATAGCTAACAATTCACAAACAAAAAACTAACTAGCGGCATTTTGAAGTTAAAAATAAAAAAAGATAGAGGCAAAATAAAATTAATATTATTTACAACATGATTACCTTTCATCCAGAGCTTGCCAAATAGTTTTGTGCTTTTTCCAGTTTTCATGTTTGGCCACTACTGTAGCGTTGGTTTTCTTGATTCTTTTCCTGTGATTTACATTAATGAGCACAGAGACACTTGAAGCTTTTGAAACTCCTCCTTTCTGTCCTCTTATTTTATCGTTCTGTTATTTTTCTTCTTTGAGTTACCTTCATGTCTATGTTCCTGGGATTCCCCCACAAACCGCTGAGGTTCACCTTCATAATTAACCCATTTTCTCTAAAATCCCTGACAGATGTCAACTCATTCCAGCAGACCACCAAATGGATCGATGACGTCCGAACGGAAAGAGGAAGTGATGTCATCATCATGCTAGTGGGAAACAAAACAGATCTCGCAGACAAAAGGTTTGTTTAAATGGCCACATCTTTATGGTTAGAAAAATAATTATCTAAAATTAAATAGAGATGATGGAAAAAATAATGACTTTTTAACTTATTATTTGTAGTTTTCTAACAACATATTCACTGATCTAAAATGATGCTGTTTTTTTGCTGAATATCTCATAGATATAGGATCTCAGAAAAAGTATTAATTTAAAAGCGTTAAAAATTTCTAACAAAGAAATGTTTAAAAGGAGCAAATATTTGAGACGGTTGTCACCTTGTCAGTATCAGATGCCCCTTGGACACCACATTGTCACTAAATTTCATTTATTAAATTTATTCATTTATTTCATTCCCTAAATGCTGTGTAAAAGGCAACGCTGGATGTTTGCACAATACCATAGTTTAAGTGAACAAAAATAATTTCATAGATGTTTTAGAAGTGACACTATAACCCAGGGGTCAGCAATCTCGGTTCTGGAGGGCTGGTGTCCCTGCAGGTTTTAGCTCCAACTTGCCTCAACACACCTGCCTGGATGTTTCACGTATACCTAGTAAGACCTTGTTCAGGTGTACTTTATTAGGGTTGGAGCTAAAATCTGCTGGAAACCGGCCCTCCAGGAACAAGTTTGGTGACCACTGCTATAACCTTTACCTTAAACGCTTTGTCAATCTGCTCAAAATAGTTATAAAATAAAGCTATTGGGAAATGGTAATTAATGACATTTATTTTTTGATCATTTCAGGCAAGTGTCTATCGAGGAAGGAGAAAGGAAAGCCAAAGAACTGAATGTAATGTTTATTGAAACTAGTGCTAAAGCCGGATACAACGTCAAGCAGGTGAGTGCAACAGAACTTTTAATAGGATTGAATGTTAATAAAAATATGAAGGTCATATTATGCTCTTCTCATATTATAATGTGGTGTATGACATATTAATATGGTATTGTTTCAGGCCAAAACACCACAGGTCATTTCTTATACTCCAAGTATGGATCTCTTTAAATGCAAATGAGCTGTATCTCCCCGCCTCCTTTTTCTGTTTTAAAGCCTTGTCAGTTCAAACTCCTGATAAATGGCTTGCAGCTATTAAATAAACACAAGGTTGTCAAACCGACCCTAAAAAGACTGTTAGTTATGTCTGCACTAAAGGAAGTTGTAATTATCTAAGCAACAATATAACCATTTTAATGATTGAACATCAGTGTCTTCAGAAGTGTCCACAAGATTAAATCTTTTTTTAATTTAAATGAATGCAATACATCTCAAGCACACAGTTTTTAGTAATATTGGCTTGTTTTTGTCACCTCTAGCTTTTCCGCCGTGTAGCAGCAGCCCTTCCTGGTATGGAGAGCACACAAGACAAGAGCAGAGAGGACAGTATCCTTTGCAAATATATGCATGCATTTATATATTTAACTGAGGTATAATCGCTTGCAGTGTGGTGTTGTGATTGTTATATTTACCATAGAAATATATACATTGGGTGGCACGATGGCTCAGTGGTTAGCACTGTTGCCTCACAGCCAGAAGGTTGGCATGGGTTTCCTCCAGGTGCTCCGGTTTCCCCCACAGTCGGAAGACTGCGGTATGGGTGAATTGATTAAACTAAATTGACCATACTGAATGAGTGAGTGTGTGTGTATGACTGTTTCCTAGTACTGGGTTGCGCCTGGAAGGTCATCCACTACGTTAAAACATATGCGTGAATAGTCGGTGGTTCATTCCACTGTGGCAATCTCTGAAATAGAGACTAAGCCGAATATGTGTGTGCATATACCTATACACATTAATAACAGGATGTAAGAAAAGAGATAATATCTCCCCTCTCCCATGATCAGTTTCTTTTGTCTGTCCCTCGGTCTTACTGCAAATTAAAAGGTAATCGAGCTTTCTGTGTTGCGGCCCCAAGGCTCTGGAACAGTCTCTCTCTAAACATTAGGATTTCTCCATCAATGGATGCCTTTATATTTAACTTAAAGACTTATTTTTACTACCCTTGTCTTTGAGTGATGCATGTGTGTAATTTCATATCTGTATTTCTAATTATTACATATACAGTTGAAGTCAGAATTATTAACCCCTCTGTTTAATTTTTTCCCCAATTTCTGTTTAACGGAGAGATTTTTAACACATTTATAAACATAATAGTTTTAATAACTCATCTCTAATAACTGATTTATTTTATCTTTTGCCATTTGGGGCTAATAATTTTGTCCCTAAAATGTTTTTTGAAAAATTAAAAACTGCTTTTATTCTAGCCGAAATAAAACAAATAAGACTTTCTCCAGAAGAAAAAATATTATCAGAAATACCGTGTAAATTTCCTTGCTCTGTTAAACATCATTTGGATAATATTTAAAAAAGAAAATATAATTCAAAGGGGGGCGAATAATTCTGACTTCAAATAAATAGTTCAAAATGTTATATTTTTACACAGTAAACAGCTAATTATAGGTGATTATAAACACCTATATTCACGATTTCACATAAATTAGCGTGCCAAAAATAAAATATTTACATTTATTTGCTGGGCAATTTAACATGAAACTTGACTGTTACATAAAAATAACAGGCTAATTAACAAAATGGGATTTTATTGCCAAACAAGTAAAATAAATAAAAAAATTTTAATATAATGAAAATGAAAGAGCCAAAGACTGAATCCAGCTCTTGAATAAAACGTGCTATAGTAATATGTGCAAAGATGTAATCACTCCAATTTCTCCTCGGAGTCAGATTTTGATACACCTGAGCATTGAGCACAGATGACTTTATGAACAAAACGGTGCAGAATAAAAAGACAGATTGTGGCGGTGAGTGTAGAACCCCTATACAGGATTCAGTGACTGGCACACCTCTCCCCCTGCTGCTGTGAAGGCTGTCAGATAAGATATGTGTGTGTCTGTGTGTGGTGATGGCCTCCACGTGCGCTCGCTATAATCAATAGGAATATTCCGATCAAACTGAATACAATCTTACATCAACAACACATGAGACGCACAATAACAAATAATCATATTAGATTACAAATAACCCAAGGAGTTGTTTTGCACTTGTGCATCGCTGCTATTATGTTTACACATGTAAAATTCAAACATACCTACAATGATAAGGAATATAGTTACTTACTGAGTTAATAAAGCACAGCATGAAGAAATGACGGACTTTGAAGAAATAAACTCTGTGAGGAAAGCGATAACGATTTGGCCACCTATATATTGTGCATCTCTCAATTTTATTTTGTAGTACAGCGCTTTGGATCAACTACGGTTGTGTAAAATTGTGCTGCATAAAGTTTGCCTTGCCTATATTACTACAAAATGTAATGATGAATAACAGTAGGACATTTTCACCCATATTTCGCCATTTTATTTTCATCTTATTTGAAAACATTACATTAAATGTGTAGTGAAAAAAAGCTCTTTCACTCGCACGTTTTGCTCTGTAAATCCACATGAAACCATATTAGTTTTCCTTGATTGCTTTTCCCCCCAGTGATCGACATAAAATTGGAAAAGCCACCAGAGCAGCCGGTCAGCGAAGGCGGCTGTTCATGCTGAGGCTTCAGTCGCCGTTTCTGTGCCGTGTCTCTAGCTGCTTTTCCACTATCGTGCCAAACCGTTCTAAGAACACTTCGGTACGGTTACGGTTGTTTCTCCACTGAGCCTGGAACGGCGTGGCACGATTACAAACCGTTCTCAGCCCGGAATTCTCGGCACGGTTAGACAACCGTGCTGAACTGTGCTGACAGATTATGTGTGTTGACGTCGCGACTCGGTTGCTAAGCTACCACAGCTGGCTCAGCAGAAGCGCGCTAGTCATCAGACATCCTCAATAAACTACAGTACATTTAATATAAAATAACGATCCAGGTCTAAACGATACAGTTTGAAAAGGGTGGATGATTTCCTAAATTAATGATGTTAGTGGTTCGTATGGGATCGTATGGGATGAGAGCATAGAGCAGTCTCTGGCAGAGAAGTGAATAACTCATCACATTCTTACGAAGATATTTTATTCATTAAAGTTGTTATTTTATTGACTTGAATACAGACCTACATCGCTTGCCTGAATGTGAGTTTATTGCACGCAGCGCTGTATTTCACAGCACAAAACTCGCTCTGATCCGGGAGAGACATGCCAGCGACTTGCGCTGCTGACTTTTTTTCCTGCTGCGCATCGAATAAAGCGAATAAAGTCACGCTTAGCATCGTCGATGTCCAAATTCCACAACAACATCACGATATATATATCCATGGAACACGAACTTGCAGACTCTTTTAACAACGAGGAAATAATTGCACTTTTTAATTCAAAGCCAGGACAGCGTGTTAATACCGGCGAGACCACCTGAAGGACGTCGTGTTGTAATGTCGGCCGTCCAAAAGACTTTGCTTGAAAGCTTTTCGGAGCGGCACTGTAACTGTCCAAGGTACTGTTGTATGATTTATATTATAGCATATGCACTAATAAACAAGTCAAAAGAATGAATGAATTAAATAAATATGGATTCTTAAATGTCAGAATTGCTTTTCCTCAAAAAATATCAATACGTTTTGACAAATGTTTTATAAAAATAAAATGAGCATTTTTATCATTTCAGCTATAGGCAATTATATGATTCAATTATACATAAGTTATATGACATTTATGAGGCATGTATGTTTCTGTGTTTTAGTTTTTTTGTGGTGATCTTTATATAGGCTAGCTACGCAAATATTTTCTAAAACGTCTAGCAATAATTCGCCTACAGCTTGTTAGTTAATATGAACACAAAAATAATTATTATAATAAAAATAAAATGATCAAAATAAAAAGATAATAGAGCAGCATTTTGCTAAATATAATAGTGCTTTAAATGCTTTAAATCCTGCAATATACGTGTTGTTTCATATTCGTTTTTATTTTCACTTGCTGCATTCGTTATTTAATGTTTGAATACTAAAACAAATAACAGCCATCGCTTAACTGGTTTCATTTTACCATCAAAATGTAGTATATTTTATATCATTATCAACTTTTGATATAAAAACGCAGTGTAATTTAATTAATTGTTAAAAATGAAATAATTTATGTGCTGTGTTTTTATTTTATTTTATTTTTTTAATTATATTTCTGCCACTATAATACAAATGCACTATTTTTGTTGTCTTATCATTGTTTATTTTTCTGTTATGTTCAGAGATTTTAAATATTATTTATTTCCCCTCCAATTATTTTTAATCATCACGTTACATTTTGGTAATTTTCACTCCAAATAAAATTTAGCCAGAGCTGCGCAACATATAAATAAATAAGGGTGCACATTTAGCACCCCTATTTCATAGAGCGGCATAACAGTGTTTAGTCACATGGTTGCTTTTGCTTTTATGAAAAAAAATAAATAAATAGTTTCGGCTCTTATTTAACTTTAGTTGAACAAAGGGAGCCGTTTACATTGCGTTACCAAGGCAACTACTGATGCGTTTTGTGTAATGTTTTAAAGAGCTTTGTCGCAGCACGACAGTGGAAAATGAAACCGTATCCGTGCTGTCTGGCCCGGTTTGGCACGGAATGGAACAGTTCTGTTTAAAGAACGATTCAGCACGATAGTGGAAAAGCGGCTTCTTACTGTCGCTCTTTCAGACGCTCTTTATTCGCACTCACAGCATCTCTCTGGATAATCTGCAGAAGCTCCGACCACATGGAGGGAGTACGACACTACCTGCCAATCACTCTCGTTACCGCTGACCCAATCAGATGACTTTAAATCCAAAAAGCACAACATTGGATGTGTTTGCCGTAGCTTTTCTATCAATCCTTTCCATTTATCGTACACCTTTTGTGGTGTTTTGTTGTTTTTTTTTCCGCTCAAGAACACTTTATAAAGTGTTGTTTTTGTCCTTGTTTCCTTTTATGTGAGTTAATTCTTGTATTACTGTAACTATGGCATGAATTGGAACAATTTGAGAAATAAATGAATATACAGAACGAATATGAGAAGGATATCCGGATCTGAATGTGCGAGGACTCGGAGCTGAACATCGCTTTGGATTCATGGTGCGGAGATGGACGAAATGTTTACAGAGCCAGTTTTTGGGAATATCCAAGTCTAGATTTCATCACGTGGCGTTACATTTTTAACGCTGTTGATGTTTCTTTAAGAAAGGAAAGTGTAAAAAAACAAACCATTTGGGAGGAATAAGTGCTGCTTTTAGCTCGGTCGCTAGTAAAGCATTGCATTTTTTTTCTTAGATGCTGTTTTATGAGCATTAGAGAGTCGATAACTTAGCCACAGAGAAATACCGTTATTGTAAAGAAATATTATGTATATTAAGGGAAGTATCAGATTCGATTTAACTGAAGATATGCAGGCATTGCCTTTAATGGTTTGATTTATTGAGCTTCCATTTGTTTGTTTTTCATTAGCATTGTAAAGTTTGATTTATTGTAATAATGACACACTAGTTATGGTTTGTTTTCTTTTTGATTTGATCAACCATGAACCCTAATATTTATTTGTGAGGTCTTTTGTTTTTAAGCACTGTTTGGTTCTTCATAACTGATAGAGACGTGTAAATTTTCTGGTCCAAAGCAGCTGCCATGTTTGTTTTTAAATGTACAATGATAAGTTTCCCCCTTGACACACTTGATCGAAATGCTTTTAAGATCTAGTGCATTTATTGTGTTTTTTTTTCTCTCTCTATGAAACGGTCTCGTACATTTCGAAATTATTTTAACTTGACCTGGCAGCGCTGCTTGACGTCCATTGCTCATTATTTGCACTGCTAAAATTGAACACCATCTTGAGAAATCATAATAAAAAGTTGTATTTAGCAATATTGTTTTGTTTTTGCTTGATAAATTATTTGCATATTGTGTTTTTGTCTGTATATTTAAAGGGTTAATTAGCAAGAACTCAGATTATCTGTTGATCTGCATCCCAATCATCACAAATACTGCAAAGACCTATTAGAACCCACATGGACTCAAGATTCTCATAGAAATCGGTCAAGTTTGGTGAAGGAGAAGTCATGGTTTGGGGTTACATTCAGCAACATCAAATGCCTGCGGTATTAAGAGATTTGTGTTGCCCATTACATTACAATAGCCATTCTTTTACCACAGGAGAGGGCAAATTCTTCAGCAGGATAGCGCTCCATCTCATACTTCAGCCTCAACAGCAAAGTTCCTGAAAGCAAAGAAGGTCAAGGTGCTCCAGGATTAGACAGACCAATCACCAGATATGAACATTATTGAGCATGTCTGGGGTAAAAGGAAGGAGGCGTTGAAGCTAAATCCAAAGAATCTTGATGTACTCTGGGAGTCCTGCAAGAATGCTTTCTTAGCCATTCCAGATGACTTTATACTTTAGTTGTTTTAGTCATTGCAGAGATGTATGGATGCATTTGTCCAAGCTTATGAGTCACAGTTTAATCATATTTAAATGAATGTTTATCAATTGCTTGTGTTTTCAAGGCCTGTTACTGTTAGACTCCATTGGTATATGTGCTCTAGTTCTACTTCATTTATCTGTGCTTGTATTTTTTTTAATTAAATTTAATGCACTCCCCTACAAAATCAACACAACCTACCATTATATATTAAGTCATCTTGTGAATAAATTGCAGAAAATTAAAATACTGCAATGGAGGCAATGTTTTTAATAGATAGATAGATAGATAGATAGATAGATAGATAGATAGATAGATAGATAGATAGATAGATAGATAGATAGATAGATAGATAGATAGATAGATAGATAGATAGATAGATGATTTTACCACAATATTGTAATATTGTAAGATTTCTGAAAAGTTACATTTCCGGTTAAATCTGTTTGCAAGTTGCACTGAAAGGTTCAACTGAATCTGCTCGAGTCAACAACCCACTGATTCAAAAGAACCGATCAAAGCGAGTCTTAAACGAACGATTTACTGAATTCACTTACTCTGATTCGAGCTGATTGAAGAGAAGACGCTTGAGAGATTGAGGTAACTGCTTTAAAGTGTGCCGTTTGAAAGGTAGAGGATTGTTTTAAAAACTAAACTTCAAAACAAATTAATTCTCCCCATTGTCGTCGCAACGGTTAGATACGCCTAGACCGACATTTTGTAATAGTAACGTTACTTTTCAATAGACAACATAAAAGCATCAGAAAAAGTGTCTATGTAGATAGGTAGTTAGATATCAAACAACTTTACCACGTTAATGTAAGATTTCTGAAAACGTACTTCAATCTCTGGTTAAATCTGTAAACGGTCCAACTGAGTCAACAACCAGCTGATTCAAATATTAATTGTCGTGCCTATTTGGATCTAGACTTTACGTCAATAAAATACAATTGAGACACAGCTAAATGTGAATCAGCCGGTTGAATTTCCCTGTTACTTAAACCTCTCTGTGTTAATTAATCGTTTTATTAAACCAGTTCCAGTTTTGCCAATAAAACAGATTTGCAGAAGTATCTATATTTATATAATCAATATAAATCAGTCATTCACAGTTAATCAGCAGTCTGAAATGTTTTAAGGGTCTGTTTATTTCTGATGTTGGGAATCTTATGATGTTTGACCAAATGAGCTGTTTAAAGTTTCTCTTGTTCTGTTTTTTTAGCAGACTCAAGCGTATGGAGAACATTAGACACTGGACACATGTACGACATCCACAATCTTCAGTGATTTTCATCGCTTGTATTTATTTTCAGAGGAAATGCAGGTAAAAACAACAACTATTATTCATCAGATGAAAGCATTTCACTTTATTAACGCTCCTGATAACACTGACTGTGCCTAATAAAATGAGTACACGTATCAAATCAAAAACCAGATTTATTTTTATTTCCATTGCCATGACATAACTTTAAAACAAATTTACATTTAGCAGACGCTTTTATCCAAAGCATGAAAATAATAGCAGGGGCGGACGTAGTGATTTGGGGGCCCTAAGCGGTTTTAGGTTTGCTAGAATTGAAAATCAAAACATTCTTTTTCTCTATAGATGTTTTTTCAGTAGATTAGTTAGTTTGTTTTTGTAAATAAACTGCATTTTTAAAATGTATTTAAAGTATATTTTAATATTTAAAGGACCCTTTATGGTCTTAATGTTTTTTTTTTTGTAATTGAACTTTTTTATTTTATTTAGAATTTTTATACCCACACAACATAAAATTTACAATACAAAATCAACGTTCAAGAAATAATGTAAACAAATTATAATAAAAATAATAGCAAAACAAAAATTATAACAAATATAAAATAGTACAAAACAATATAACAGACCGTCAAATTGACAACTTTTCAATTTTCTTTTCATGTGCTCTCCAAATATTGCAAAAAGCTACCCCATTTCTGATTAAAGGTATGGGTGGAATCCTGAAGTCTTGCCAACATACGTTCATATGATGCAGTAGAAGTCATCAGCTCAATCCAATCTTTAAAAGAGGGAGTATCTGAGTTCTTCCAATTTCGCAGCACCAGTCTCACAGCAATAATACATCCTGTGACGACTAGTCCAGCCTGTGTTTTAGATATTCCGTTCTGTAAAGTGGATGTATCACCAAGAAGACAGACTCTTGGAGAATAAGGTAAAGGTTGTCCCAGCCATTTCTCAAGGTTTTGAATAACTCTTGTCAAGAATGGAGCCACCAAATGACAGCTCCACATTAAATGTAAAAAAGTGCCCACAGAATGACCACATTTCCAACAGTGGTTATTTTCCATTAATCCTATTCTATGCAGTCTTACTGGTGTCCAGTAATATCGATTAATTATATTGTAATGTATGAGTTTACTCCTAATATCTTTCACAGTACCACCTATACCAGAAACTACTGCCTCCCATTCACCCTCTTCAAATTCCACCTCCAGGTCTTTCTCCCAGATAATTCTTAAATGATCACTTTTTCCATACATGTTGTTTTCAGCTTTATGGTCTTAATGTAAAATTAAATGCAATACGTTCACAAACAAACTACTGTTAATTAGACTTTTTTTAGGATTAGATTTTAATATTAATGAAAAAAACATTAAAACAAATTTAATTTACAATCAGTCAAATTAATCTTGTCACCATTTTTCATATGAATTGAAGAATTGCTGTTTGTGAATCGGCAGCTGTTAATTTTCACTGGGAAATGTTATTTTATTTGAGCAATCCCTGTTAATAAGCTCACAGCGCTCATCATCTGACAGGTGTTTCAGCTAGAAAGCAGGACTGCTGGGGTAGCTGCGTTTCATTGTTTGTCTTATTTCTTCTTTTTTCCCCAAATATTCTCAAAATTCTCAGTTTTTTATACTCTACCTGCCTCCACCTCAGCTCTACACTGATCTCTGGCAGACTAGCAGTGTATTTGAACCGCTCACTCCTCCCGAATGTGCAATACGGAAGGAACGGTCCACTATTCATATGGGGGCTCAGGTTTTGAAAAGAAGTAACAACGTTAAAATCTTAGCGGTTACGGACAGATTTTACAACATATGAGCTATATGGATATAAAGAGTTTTATGATTAATATAGGCTTCTTGGCAATGGTCGGGGGCCCCCTAATTCTCCGGGGCCCTAAGCAGCTGCTTACCTCGTTTATTGGTTAAGTCCGCCCCTGGACAATAGAAGCACTTCAGATCACTCAAGAAAACAACATGTTGATTCAGTGACAAGTCTTAAGCCCCGGTCAAGATTTTTTTTTCTCTTTATAAAATCTTGATTTTTTCATGGGTAACAAATGTGCCAGACTACACGTTCCTTCACGATCTGTCAATTAAACATGCTAGACTTTCTGCGATGGTGTCGTAAGGCATTCCAGGCATGGTATCAGTTGTCGTGAACTATGCCACATAATTACATGAGAGGAAATTGAGTCTTGTGTCAAGACGCCCATTTGTCGTTTACAAATCCCCACAACACCCTACGCCAAGAAAATCGTGACAAATTTGTGTGATCTGACCAGGGCTTTAGCTATTTTAGCAGTGTATGTATTTGTATTATTATTTTGAAATAAAAAAGAAGCAGACAAACAGATTAAAGAGCTGAAGGATAAAGTGATGTTGGAACAGATCAGGGCTCAGTGGTTAGCATTGTCACCCCACAGCAAAAGAGGTTGTTGGTTTGAATTCTGGCAGGGCCAGTTGGCATTTCTGTAGAGTTTGCATGAGAGAGTGTATGGGTGTTTCCCAGCATTTTTACAGTGAAACAGGGAAAGCATTTTTACAGTGCATTTGTTGTCAGATGCTTAAACTTCCACCACATGTATGCTTGTACATCTCAGATTCAGCTCAGTAACGTTAAATCCAGCTAATCTTTGCTAAATCTACAAAGGTTGTCATTTTTTGTGCCTGCATGATGTGATTTTAAACGCACAGTAATCAGCCTTTAATAAATAGAAGACTTATTTTTGACAAATGTGACTTTATTTCAAACTTTAGTACAAAATTCATAATTGTCATTAGTTGTGAGGCTTGTCGCCCCAGCCTAATGTCTGTTTTTGTCCGTGTTCAGCTCAGCACCACCTTCAAGATGGGCAGTTTCCAGTGGCACCACGTGGAGGAACGGACCTCGCCACCTATATATACAGGGTTTGAAATTATCACTCACCATAAACTACAACTACACACAAAATCACTAGACGATAAATGATGTCCTCCAACCATAAATCATATACCACATTAGCAAAACATTAGACTAAAGAAGGTTGTATATGAGAACAATATTAAAGCAAATACTAAAGGTTGTAACTTAATAAGTCTTCAGAACACAGATGAAGATATTTGAATGAAGATATTTTTGTCAAATCTGAGAGCTGCTTAATTCTTCATTGGCGGCAAGAATCCTGACTGTGAGAATACTTTTATGTGCACATTAAACAAAAATAACTTTATTCAATGGTTTCTTCCCTCAGTGTCAGTATAGGGCACGCGTTCACATGTCGCGCCTCTGACATATAACCTTGGATGTGCCCGTGCATTTTTTTAAGAGAGGAAGTCGCGCGCCGGCATCCAGGGGGGTATATGTCTCTGCACAGTGCTTGTGAACGCGTGCCCTATAATCACACTGAGGAGAAGAAACTGTGAATTAAAATAGAAGATACAATTTTTTTTATTGTTTATTTATTAATGATGTTTTATATTTTATTATTTTATTTCCCAATTTTTTTTATTTATTATAATGTTTTACTTTTTTTATTATTATTTTTATTTATTTATTTTTCCAGTTTTGTTTTATGTAAAGGCATATGATCTTTTTTGGTGTTTTTGAGTCTGGATGAGGGAGCTTAAATAAAATAAAAATAAAAATAGTTCTGAAGATGAACATGAGGATGAGTAATGAATAACATAACGTACATTTTTTTTTTTTTTTATTTATTAATTTTTTTTTGTTTCTTGAAGAATTTCTGCTTGGTCAATAACATGGCCAGTTATAGATTTATATTAAATAAATACTAAATAATACTAAATATATTAATAATTATAATAATACTAAAGGTTGTAACTTAATTAGTCTTCAGAACACAGATGAAGATATTTAAATGAAGATATTTTAGTCAAATCTAAGAGCTGCTTAATCCTTCTTAGGCGACAATTTTAAAGAGAGGAAGTCAACAGTTTCTTCCCTCAGTGTCAGTATAGGGCACGCGTTCACATGTCGCGCCTCTGACATATAACCTTGGATGTGCCCGTGCATTTTTTTTTAAGAGAGGAAGTCGCATGCCGGCATCCAGGGGGGTATATGTCTCTGCACAGTGCTTGTGAACGTGTGCCCTATAATCACACTGAGGAGAAGAAACTGTGAATTAAAATAGAAGATACAATTTTTTTATTGTTTATTTATTAATGATGTTTTATATTTTATTATTTTATTTCCCAATTTTTTTTATTTATTATAATGTTTTACTTTTTTAGTATTATTTTTATTTATTTATTTTTCCAGTTTTGTTTTATGTAAAGGCATATGATCTTTTTTTGTGTTTTTGAGTCTGGATGAGGGAGCTTAAATAAAATAAAAATAAAAATAGTTCTGAAGATGAACATGAGGATGAGTAATGAATAACATAACGTACATTTTTTTTTTTTATTTATTAATTTTTTTTTGTTTCTTGAAGAATTTCTGCTTGGTCAATAACATGGCCAGTTATAGATTTATATTAAATAAATACTAAATAATACTAAATATATTAATAATTATAATAATACTAAAGGTTGTAACTTAATTAGTCTTCAGAACACAGATGAAGATATTTAAATGAAGATATTTTAGTCAAATCTAAGAGCTGCTTAATCCTTCTTAGGCGACAATTTTAAAGAGAGGAAGTCAACAGTTTCTTCCCTCAGTGTCAGTATAGGGCACGCGTTCACATGTCGCGCCTCTGACATATAACCTTGGATGTGCCCGTGCATTTTTTTTTAAGAGAGGAAGTCGCATGCCGGCATCCAGGGGGGTATATGTCTCTGCACAGTGCTTGTGAACGTGTGCCCTATAATCACACTGAGGAGAAGAAACTGTGAATTAAAATAGAAGAGAATTTTTTTTTATTGTTTATTTATTAATGATGTTTTATATTTTATTATTTTATTTCCCATTTTTTTTAATTTATTATAATGTTTTACTTTTTTATTATTATTTTTATTTATTTATTTTTCCAGTTTTGTATGATCTTTTTGTTGTTTTTGAGTCTGGATGAGGGAGCTTAAATAAAATAAAAATAAAAATAGTTCTGAAGATGAACATGAGGATGAGTAATGAATAACACAACTTACATTTTTTGATGTTATATTTATAATTTTTTTTTTGTTTCTTGAAGAATTTCTAATTGGTCAATAACATGGCCAGTTATGAATATATATTTTAATATAGGCTGTTTTATTTGTTATTTGATGTTTTTTATTTTTAGTTTTGTTGCCATTTTTTTTATTATTATTATTTTTTACTTTATTATTATTATTTTTTTTTTCTTTTCAGTTTTGTGGCCATATTGGCTGGTGAGTGATAATGTTCATTGGAAACCCTGTATATATATCAGTTGATCCCAGTAATCATTGGTCAGGAGTCTCTCTCCTCTGGCTCAAATGACATTTTTTAGAGAGGGACACCCAAAATATGGACCTGACCTGGGAACGACTGAGATATACATTTTTTTAATTTATTATTTTATAATACATTGTATTTTAGCATGTGGAATTAAAGCAAAAGCTGATAGTAAAGTGTGGGAATGGGTAAGTACACCTTATGAAGGTCTAAACTGTTACGTGCTTAATTTTTTTTTTATAACATGAAATTGAATTAGAGCCAGAGTAAATGTTAAAAAAAGAGCTATGACACTGCACTGCTTTCTCTGGATGATGTAATGTTTAGGTAAAGGACTATGGTAGTGTGGTGACTGGCTAGATCTACTCATTAAAAAAAGGACATCTCTCCTCATTTCCTTGTTCTCCATCTGAAACAAAAACAGTGATCAGGTTTACAGCTTAAATGCATTAACTGGGTGGTCCAGAGTGTATTTTTAAGGCTTGGTGTTTATAAGATGCAAAGCAATGTGTGCTCATGCTTCATTCACATAAAATCACGTTATTTTCCCATACTTACAGGTTGTGGCTCACAATCCTCAGCTTCTTCTATTATGGTTGGAGCTGCTGGAGTTTTTAACCGAATCCAGCACTGAACAGGGAGATTCTGGAAGCTGTCCTTTGTCAAATGCTAGATCTTTTTTATAATTTTCTGGAACATAATTAAAATTTAGTTGTTAAAAAAAAGAAATAAAAAAAGGATTTAAGAACACAAGATTGTCGTCTGACACTAGTTGGGTTTCCATCAGCCTGTGTTAATGCACCTTTAAAATTTTAAATGGAAAACAAGTTTCAATAAAAATCCCTTAATTCACGTTTAAGTTTTTATGATCTTTTCAGGTCATTTTGGACTCGTGTGAAAAAGGGTTAATGATGCAAACGCATTTGTCAAATGAACTTTGATGAAGCGAACATTTCTCAATTATACTTCCCTTGTTTACTGCTGGTTATGAGGTTACCAATAAGCAGTTTAGGAACTATGTTCAACAACATTTGGCCAATGAGAGATGTGGATTTTGGTTCTTTTCAACTGGTTCGGACCAAAGCTAGCAGTGTGGTATGAAAACGACCCAAAGACGGCAGAAAATGCAACAATGCATCATTTATTATTTGGTATTATTTAAGTATTATTTAATTTTTAAGACCCCGCAGAAACCTTGAATACCACAGTTCAGCTGCTCGACCAACTTAATGAAAATCATTTGCACTTAATTTGCATTTATAATTACAAAATATAAATATTTAGTGAACTTAGAAAAGATGTGCTTCACATCAGGATGGAAACTCAGCTCATGACAGATTAATTTGATTTCAAAATCCTTTCATTACCTTAAACCAGTCATGGACACGCAGTGCTTGCAACGTGGGCCGCAAGGGGAAGTTAATCTCCAGACAACTTCGGATAAAATCACTGCATTCTGTGTAGAAAAAAAAAGAAAGAGATGCATGTTAACATTGCCTTAAATGTAAATTAATTGTAAATTAAATTCAGTTGAAGTGAAGATCTCACCTTTTGACCTTCCAAATTGCAGTACATATCTTGTTTTCAACTTGAGGAGGTCATCGCTTTTTGGAAATTTTTTGAACATTAGGAGATACTGGAGAATTCCTAGTGACCACACTGTCGCTGGCTCCCCGAAGTAATAACCAGCCGTGTTAAACTCAGGAGGGCAGTAATGCATTGTGCCTGAAAGAATGTAAAAATGTAAACAACAGCATAGATCAATGGTGTTCAAACCCGTTCCTGAAGGATCTGCGTCCTGCAGAGTTTAGCTCCAACCCCATTTAAACACACCAGAACAAGCTAATCAAGCTCTTACTAAGTATTCTAGACATCTTCTGTCAGGTGTGTTAAAGCAAGTTGGAGCTAAACTCTGTAGGCCACCGGCCCTCTAGGACTGAGATTTGACACCCCTGGTGTAGATAAACAACAGCCAATATTTCAAGAGTCTCATGTGAAGGACCCATCACAAGAGCTCGTTAGAGTTATGAGGGATTTACATACCTAAGTAGTGACTGTAATAGTCATCAGTAAGCAGGTCACCGCACCCGAAGTCAATCAGTTTAACTTCAAAGGTCTTCGGGTTCATCAGCAAGTTGTCAGGCTTGATATCGCGGTGGAGCACTCCACGCGTGTTGCATGTGTCAGCCGCAACTGTTGTGTGGTACATGATTTTCTGCAACACGTGCTCTGGGATTCTGCCTTTGTAGCCTCTTAAAAAATCCCCCACGCTCACACAGGGTATGGGCCGCTCTAGGACCATAATGTAGCGATCAGCCTCCACCTTCCAGTCCAGGAGCTGAACGAGTTCATTCACTTTGGGGCCTTTATTGGCAAGAAAGTGCAGAGCGATCTCCGATGGAAGTGGCTCATCAAAATCATCCTAGAAGAAAGACAATTGTTCTGATCATTTGATGGAAAAGACATTTCCTGGTAAAACTGTTAGTGAAATCTATTATATAAAACAGTGGGCAGATTATAGAGAGCAAAACAAAGACATTTTCTCAAGGGGAATAACTGACACTTAGTATGTTACTAGAATATCTGCAAACATTTTATGGTATTTTTGTGGTTTAGAAGAGTTAAAAACTTACATGCAGCACCTTTAATAAGACATGTTTAAAATAGAAACAATTAATCACAGCAAAGAGCACAGACTACTTACAACATGGATGACTGGCTTCACTTTGAAATCAGCAATTTTTACTGCAACCTGAAGGCCATCTTGTAAACGGGTCCCTGCGAAAACCGTTCCAAAGCCTCCTTTGCCCAGCTCAGCGCCAATTTCATAGCGCTGCGAGTTGATCTCTGTAAAAAAACATAGAAGAGAAGTTATACAACTTTATACAACAGTTTTGTCTGGTTCTTGAATCTGATTGGCTGATAGCCGTGCATATTTTGGCAGTAACATCACACATATGCCTCTTCACCATTCACCTCTGTGTATTACTCTGCCCACATACTGCCAGCAACAAGCAGAGAGACGCTACAGTGACAAATATTACTCCTGTAAGACAACAATGTACTTTTGAGGCTTTTTTAATCGAGAATGTAGTTGTTTTGATTGCAACTATGCAGTTTATTTGTAAGAATAGTGAATATTTTAAAGTATTTACAATTTCCGAGAGAGCTCGTCGGCGGCTATTAGCCTGCCATAGTGTAGTAGACCAAAGACGGTTGACGATTTCTATCCACAAGATGGCGACAGATCAGCATAATAAGCCCTTACGTTTAGAAGATTATAACTGTCTGATTTCTAACTACAGCAGATCAAATCTTTTAAACTGGTAAGCACACCTGCCAACACTTCCGTTTTTCCCGTATGTCAGACCAATCTCACGCAACCACCCCGTCTTTTATTTCTTCCGAAAACTCCCATGATTTCCCCCACCCCCCTCTTTGGTACAGTCTATAAACACCCCCAGGTTGCCAACTTTGGTACAGTACCCAATCGCAGCGGCCACCCAAAACCCGCTGCATCCTATCCCAGTTCTCAACAGTATTATTCAGAGACCTCACCCCTAAACACCCCCGGTCTCCCGGATTTTCACTGACATGTTGGCCGGTATGCTGGTAAGTGATATTTTAAGTCGAACTCTCTCTTTTGTATGTTGTAGTGCTGTATTTATACAGATTTGCTCGCATATTAGGAATGTAGGTTGTGTTGGCAGAAAGTAAGAAGCAAAGTCCGCATGTGTTTAGCGTTTTTCCTTATCGCAAACACAACAGCAGTCTGGTAGTGATTGAGTTGCGTTTTTCGGGGTTAATTATTGTGATATCCTGATTGCAATAGAAAAATACTGTAAACTGCAACAATGTAAGAAGATATATCTGTAGATGGATGGCATTTCATGTCACGTTTAGCCTTATCTTAAAGTGTGAGCAAAATCAGCTGTGTTGTCATCTCTTTAGACATTACGCTATAGAGAATCATTCAAACACCAGCTCTAAAGTGAGGTTGTGAATTAGTAACGGCTTCTGCTGTTTTGATGTCAGCTGCAGATGTGAATGGAGGAAGAAAGTAGTTCCTAATAAAAAGGGGTTTTTAGACTCTCCGTGCTTGATTTTCTTTTTTTATATACACGATTGTGCCGTCAAACTGTTGTATAAATGCAATATCACACAAGTAGCAGGGCGATATGGCTGTATATCAGCACTGGTGGGAGGCCTCCCAACGCACGCCTCCCATCAGTGCTGATATACAGCCATATCGCACTGCTACTCATGTGATATATCCATCTTAGTTATCAGCTATCCCTGAACAAAATGTGTATTAATGTGCAATGTACCAATGATTTCCTTCAGCTCTTCTGGCTGAAGTGGAACAGAATCATCTCGAAAGCCAGGCTCAGCAGAGACCACATTTGAAGGGTCATCATGACTACAGCCGGACTCAGCTGGCAGAAAATCTGAAGAGGAGTCATCACTACTGCTGGACTCAGCGTAGAAAACGTTTGGAAGAACATTATCAATGATTAAGGAGCTGGCTGAGTCCTCACTGTGAGCATCGGCAGGCTCTACCAGTGTTTGTCCTTCACCGTGAACACTGACAGGCTCCACCAGTGATTGTTCTTCACCGTGAACACTGTCAGGCTCTACCAGTGATTGTTCTTCACCGTGAACACTGTCAGGCTCCACCAGTGTTTGTCCTTCACCGTGAACACTGACAGGCTCCACCAGTGATTGTCCTTCACCGTGAACTCTGACAGGCTCCACCAGTGATTGTCCTTCACTCTGACCATCGACAGGTTCCTCCAATGACGGTTCCTCAGCCTGAACATTGATCTGTTCCTCCAGATGTAAAGATGATTCTTTACACCCGTCACCGATTTCTCGACCTAAAGGAAGGAAAAACATGAAACAAAAGGTTTTAGTTTTACTTAAATAATATTTATCCAGTGTTTATAATTGATATGAACAAATGTTGTCAATTATGAAGTGACTTTTAAGGTCATTTCTTTCTACTTTTAGTTGTTGGTTAGTGTCTGCACATGCAGGGATGTTTTTGCTGTGACAAGCATAGTGATTTGAATTGAGTTACTGAATGTATAATCAGGTCATCCAAATATGTATTGTTGAGTTCATGGTTAGATACTGGATATTAGACGTCTATATATTGAGATCTTCCTTTAGGTAGGCCTATTATGCCATTAAATTAAAAATGTCACATGATGAAATTACTGTTCATAATCAAATTCTATTAATGTTTTGTTTTGTATAAGGGTAATTCTTTAACTACGGGCAATTATGTAATTTTATCATATATCCAAAAAAATATATAATTTTGTTAAAATTCCTCTTTCTTTGTCGAACTAACAATGAAACCTACTTTAAAAAAATGTACTACCTTTCTAGTATATATTTTTCTTATTATTCAACCTCCTTTGGTGACAAAATCACTGTTTTCACCTTGTCGCACAAACTTCAACTATGAAAATAACATTTTAAAATATTATTTATCTGGTATCTATTATATCTTAATTAAGCACTAGTGAAATAATTTAAATATTTTAGAGTTATTAATGTGAGACTATTATTTATATTATTTTTATACAAAATATAGCTGTCGCACAGTATCAGTGTCATTTCCACCACAACACTGTAATGTCGCTTTTAAAAGTTTGTGTGAAAGATTGAGGTTCTTTCTATGAAAATGAATAGTGTCATCTGAGAACATGTTCAAGATGAACAAGGGGTTTCGCTTTCTTGCTTGGTATTATATCGGAAACTGTAAGGGGCTGTATGTGCTCATATGTTCATTTATTTATTTTATATTATTACAAACATTACAGTAGGCTATTTTGCACTGTCATTGACCTGCAGTTATAATCAACTTATGTTCATAGAAGAGTTAGTTATAAACATTTAAACAGAAGTATTTCTGCGTATAAAGTGTCTGTTTTGTGAGAAGTAATTCTCATTTGATATGTGAGCGACCCGTACAGCTTTACTGTAGACATTTTCTCAAGCGAAAATTACGTCGGCTGAAACTTTGTCACCACGCCAACCAAAATGGTACCCTTGGTAGTGGAAACACAAGCCTGATAAAGGTGACCCGTACCGACCCAAACCGTACTGTACCAGTCAGTGGAAACGAACCATTTGAGTGTTTTTGTGGTACTTTTTATATATTATGAACAAGTAAGGAACCTTGCTGTATATGTAGGATGAGAGAGAGAGAGCTCTCAAGAGTTCTCTAAAACATCTTCATTTGTGTTCAGAAGATGATACGTCTCAGGGGTTTGGAGCGACGTGAGGGTGAGTAATTAATTACAGACTTTGCATTTTTGGGTGAACTAACCCTCCATCTTGAAAATGAAGAAATGTATTATGTATTTACAGATTACGAATGCATAGCTGAAAAACTTTATGCAAAGCACAAATACTTTACTTAGTTTTTGTCTTGTTTCTAGTCCAAATATCACAACAATAAATCAAGAAGCATTTTTTTGACAAGTAAAAACATTGTCTTGTTTTCAGAAACATGTCAAAATTAACTGAGTTTTCATTAAAACAAGCTAAATAATCTGCCAGAGGGGAAGTACAATGCATTTCAAAGCATTATTTAGCTTACTCAATTGGCAGATTATTTCGCTTGTTTTAAGGGAAAAATAACTTGATTTTAACTCCTTATTTCTTAAGCACAAGACAATATTTTAACTTTTCTAGAAAAACGATTCTTGATTTAAGAATGTTGAGTTATTTGGACTAGAAACAAGACAAAAGCAATTGTTTTATATTATTGTTGGCACCATATTAGACATGTTTGTGTGACGTATGGTAGACACCACATTTGTGTAAAGCAGCAGTTTTCATTAGGCCTGTATTATTATTCACTTCGGTTTTTGTAAATAATTTTTACAGCAAGGGAAAAAAAGCGTAGAGCCCTACACAGACTCCAGTATACAAAATGAGCTACATGTTCTTATAACACACAACATTATTTACCATCACCGTTGGTCACTGGGGGCACCGCGACCAATCCTTCTTCTTGATGGTCCAATCTTTCATCTTGACCTGGGTCGGTGGTGTTGGTGTTTATATCTCCCAGGAAGAGAGCAAGAACTCCGAGTACGGTAAATAACATGTTAGTTTGATTTCCGTACACTTAAATATGAGAAATGTTAACTAAACCTACAATAAACACTGAAATTTACTGTAGGTAAAGCTCGTCTATCAGAGTAAGCCTTAATAAACCGTATGCAATCAATTGACACTATAAGAAAAGCAAATTATTCAAAGCAAACTTCGACAACTCACTAGATACTTGTCAAGTTAGAGCAATGGCGAAATTTGGATTGTAAGAGATGACGTGCCTGCGAAGAATTCGAATGCGCGTTCTAAGAATTCCAACGTTCAACAGCCAGCTGATACGTGATTGGTCAGTTTTGCGCTGTGGGCGAAGCTTCTCGTAGTTGAAAAATTCACTAGCTAGCGGTTGTTTATTTCCGTCACGGTTGTTTTTGGAGCAAAATAAAACTGATTTGTCAGGAAATCTTTGTTTGACTCGTGAATATTTCCTGCTGGACGAATCATTACTGGTCGTTTGGTGAACCAGAGATTCGTTTTTTTTTAAATCAGGGTCGATTTAAATACATTTACAGGTAAGATTTGTCTTAGCATTTATTTTGCACTCAAATGTTTTTGGCGAATGGCGATACGCGCTTGTACACATTAAACACGAGATATTATTGTGTATATCCATTAAAATCAGCAGATATGCCTTATCATTTACACTGCAAATGCCGAAGTAATGTGATGCTGTGATTAATAAAATGGCGGCATGTCTAACGTTAACTGATTCCTGTTTGGCTTTAAAAATTACTTGTTCATTAGATTTTGTTCTGTTTTTGACAACAAAGAGAAGAAATATATATGTTTAATGTTAATTAATGTTCAAAATTGAATATAGACACTCTTATTTTTCACATCTATTTGTAAAAGAATGACTAAAACTGTATTTTTTTACAGTATTATAAAAATAACTAATTATAAATGGTTTGAATTATTAATTTTTTTTCATTAAACAACAGCAAATATACAATTTAAACATGACATCCAAAAAATACAAATGTAACTAATAACATAAAATAAACTCAAAAATAAATTACATAAATAAAGACAATTCAACACAGAGATCTTTACAATGTTATTATTTTAACCCATCCAATTGACATCAATTTTTCTAGTCGATTAACTTCAGCTCCTTTGCCACTATAATTGTATTTTTACATTTTTAGCTATTAATATATTTGAGCGATTCTTTATGCAAATGAAAATCTATAATAGCAACCTTTAAACAAGGTTTAGAGTTATTTAATCTGCATTTTTGAATATGAAATTTACCAAACAAAAGCAAAAGATTCATTATAAATTCCACGGATAAATAGTTTGAAGCAAAATAAAAACATAACATATTTGAAGGTCAAATTACAACTAAAACCTGATTTTTTTGGATATACAATGATAGATCTAAAGAAAATTTCTTTGAATGTTCATATTCATAAAAAAGATTAACTAATGACTTTTGGTGATGTAAACAGAATGAACAGTTTCCATCAGTCTGCATAAATTTAGTTAACGTGTAATTGCTAAATTAAATGTTGTGTAAAATTTTTAAATGTAGTTACCTCGATTTATTAGCTATACAGAAACGAAAAGGAATCGACCAAGCTTTTTTTCCACACAATATCTTCAAAATAAACATTCCAAAAGAATTTTCCTCTAGGTTCTGTTTTTAAAAAATATTAATCTAATAACTTTGTTTGTACATTTTATACTACAAAAGTCTACCCCATTTAAGTAAAGTGCAGGATCATTTCTATTAGTACTATATGAATACATATGGCTTCTCATTATCTTAGTAAACCAGAGGGTATGTTTTTTGTTACAGAGTTATATTCTTTAAATTTAATAGGGAAAGTAAATTTACTGATCGGTCCAAAATATCAGATAATAAAAAAAATACCTTTATCTGTCGAACTTTGCAGGTAGAGAGATTTCCGGTTAACAGTAATATAAGAATTGTTCCACAAAATTGCTTTATGGGGCGAGAGTTTGAATTATGTAAACATTATATCTGTATGGTTTGGGTCAGTGTCCTGGATTCAGTCAGTGTCCTGGATCATCATGTGGGATTTTGAGAAATGGCACCTAAAGTATTGAAAAAAGTATGGAATGAGAATTCAAACTGGTCAAAAAAGGCACTTATCTAGTAAGAGTAGGACCACTAGTGTTTATCTGCACATGTCTGAGTGTCTGTAGATCATTATAATAATATTAAACATGGCTCTTCTTGGTTTTTAATAGGATTCAGAGGATAGATACACGGAGAATGTGATGCGACTGAGAGAAGAAACCTCCAAGCACCACAAGTATGTAGAGAGCAGATTATTGCATGTTTGTTGAGAATTGTTTCTGAATATTCATGACAGGGATCATGATGTGGATTAAATACATTTATTTATTTTGTTTAAATATGTTCTTAGATGGTCACATAAAAATGGGTTCACAAACTTATAGTGTCCAGCATAAATGAGTATAGTGTGCCCCCTTCCGTATTGCAATAAGGTTCCTAACTTTTATTAAACAGTCAACATTTAAAGCAGGTAAAGAGTATGCTCATAACATTTTTAGCATAACAAAATCATATATTTAATTTCAGTATAGTTCTTTTGTCTGTTGTGCCTTTAGTTTGTAAATCATATTTTGGCGTATTTAACCCACCGCAAAGTGTACATGCACGGCCGAAATTACAATCTGAATACGCATGCGCAGCTGAGATTGTCAGAGATTGCATCGCGTCTGCATTCTGACTCTGTTGGGCCTGAGTAAGAGAGAGATTAACAGACTGCAATCACTCAAAGACTAAAATTATTATGAAAAAACAAATTCACTTTATAGATTAATTTACACAGATAACAGTCATTGTAAATTAAAAAAATATGTGTCAATTCACCTGTTTTTATTGTATTTTTGATCTAATAAACACAACCTTATGGTGAGCAGAAAATGCTTTTTCCCCAGAAACATCAAGCAGAATATGAAAGTTTCCAAACATTTAACCAGTAGTGTAAAATAAACCATTATCTTATTTATATCTTTAAGGACAGGAATTTATTCAAGGACAGGAATGCATGGAGTTAATCTCTCCTGGCTTTATAGCAACAGGTGACACATTACAAATATATATATATATATATATATATATATATATATATATATATATATATATATATATTAATGGTTTATTCTCTGACTTCTGGAATTTATAATGCAGAAAGATAATATACACTCACTGGCCACTTTATTAGGTACACCTTACCAGTACCGAGGACCCCCTTTTGCTTTCAGAACTGTTGTAATCCACCATGGCAGAGATTCAACAAGGTACTGGAAATATTCCTCAGAAATTTTGGTCTACAATGACATGATAGCCTCACGCAGTTGCTGCAGATTTGTCGGCTGCACATCCATGATGAGAATCTCCAGTTCCACCACATCACATCCCAAAGATGCTCTATTGGATTGAGCTCTGGTGACTGTGGAGGCCATTTGAGTACAGTGAACTCATTGTCATGTTCAAGCAACCAGTCGGAGATTATTCGTGCTTTATGACATGGTGTGTTATCTTACTGGAAGTAGCCATCAGAAAACGGATACACTGTGGTCATAAAGGGATGCACGTGGTCAGTAACAATACTCTGGTAGACTGTGGCATTGACAGGATGCTCAATTGGTACTAATGGGCCCAAAGTGGGCCAAGAAAATATCCCTCACCCCATAACACCACTAGTCGGAGAGACTGCTGTACGAGGATTGGGCCACCTGTGGTCTGAGGCGGGGGAGAGGCCGACGGCATCACCCGCAGCTTGTTAAGAAGAGTAGGGACGGAGATGACAGTCTATTAAAATCTCCAGTAACACACAAAAAGTAGCTAGATTTGTCACTAGTAGCTTTTAAAAAATAATTGTTGCTAGGGGGGTCTGAAAAGTCAACACTGCAAAAGAACCGAACAGAACACGATTCACAGAGTTCACTTATCTGATTTTGAATCGACATGATTGAAGAAGAGAGGACGCTTGAGGGATTGTAAGGTAACTCTGCTCGGCTTTAGAACTTCAAATTGTGCCGTATGAAATACTTTAATTTGAACTTGTTCGTGTTTGTGTTACAGTTTGAACGGGAGAGGATTGTTTTAAAATATTAACGTATCTTTCAAATAAATCGACGTTTCTTTCACCATTGCCATCTCACCGATTAGAAACGCCTATCCCATGCTGACAAAACCCAATGTATTTTAAACAATGGATGCTGATTTAAACTTTTTTTTTTTTGCGGGTCGTGCACATGAAGAACTAGTTTGAACCAGCAGCCATAACCACTGTATGTTAGTTCAAAACTAATCAACAGGACAGTAACTTAGGTTTATACATAGCCTCATATACATATCATATACAGTCTATGGTTTATATTGCACTTAGTTAATAACTAAATAATAATGAGGTCTGTTTTTATCATGTTTATAGTTTTCAATACACTTTTTATTTTTAATTAATTTTTGTTTTAGACTATGCTATTTTTGGGTTCATTTAATTATTTTTAACGTCAACCGTCTGTGGTGGTTATATCTTTGCGTAATAGTGTAGTGGTAACAAAATGAGAGGTTTTAGGATGACTTTAATATAATATTATAATCTTAAGAACTATTTTGTTGGGGTATATAGGCTCTTTAAAGTGATAGTCCCCCCCACCCCCCAAAAATAAAATAAAAAGACAAACAACAAATAATCATTTAATCGCTGTTATCTAGTTGCTAGGGTAGCCAGATTTTTTTTGTCTTGTTTAACATTAAACATAAAAAAATATATATATTTTGAGGAAATCTGGAAAGATATCTTCTTTTGTGTTCAACTGAAAACAAAAACAAAAAAAAACCTTAAAGTGGTTTGGATCAAGTGAAGAATGAGTAAAAGATTTTCACTTTTGGGTGAACTATCCTTAACATTACAGTACTGAGTACTTTATCCCCAATCTGAAATGTCTGAAACAGAAAAGCATCAACTAAACATTTTGTTTGCGTATGTGCAGGTACTTTACAAACAGAAAACAACAGGGCATCTTTAATGTTTCTGTATAGCAGCAGCTTTTTTATTTCTCACAAAAAAATATAGAATTTATATTTGGAAATATCAGATCCAAATACTGCTCTGGCCATTTCAGTTCATTTCAGATGCATTTCACAAACCTTGATTTGCTTAATGAAAATATATTTGGCTTTTGGCAGCAGCTAAAAATAAATCACAGCATCATTACGAGGGTTTAAGAGCAATCAACGGTCTGACTTGTGCTTACAAACCTCATGGTGCACAACATAATAAATTAGGGTAATCAGATATAGTTTGATAAATAAATGTGCTATAAAGATATAAAGAAAGGAAAATTTTTATCATCCAAAAAAAAAAAAAAAAAATCTGAAGCAAACACTATATACTGTATAGACATTATAAACATTATAAACAAAGCATACCGAAGCCCTTTTCAGACACAGAAATAAAAAAAGAAAGAAATTTTCACATTTCTTTTCCGCCCAGTTCTGGTATCAGTTTTGAATGTATATCCATATATATATAAATATACATACACACACACACATACCTAAGTGTATGTATATATGTGTGTGTGTGTGTGTGTGTTTGTATATATATATGTAAAGAAAGAGAGATTTAATTATTTTTTATATGACAATTACCTCTTAACCTCTTATTTTCTACACAATTTTAAGTTTTTAACACAATATATTTTATTTTGAGAAACATTTAAAATATTTTGGCGCAGTAAACATGTTGGTAATTTTTGCTGTCTTCATTTGTTTCAATAACACTAATTTCTGTACCATTTAAAATAGCATATTTGGATATCTTTTCTTCTGGAGATACTGTTGTCCTAAGAAACCAAAAAAATATATACTGTATATATAAATAAAAAATCTTACATACAGTTGAAGTCAGAATTATTCAGTCAGTCTTATTTCTTTTATTTCGGCTAGAATAAAAGCAGTTTTACATTTTTTAAAAAACATTTTGGGGACAAAATTATTAACTCCTTTAAACAAATTGTTTTCCGATAGTCTACAGAACAAACCATCATTATACAATAACTTCCCTAATTACCCTAACCTGCCTAGTTAATCTAATTAACCTAGTTAAGCCTTTAAATGTCACTTTAAGCTGTATAGAAGTGTCTTAAAATCTAGTAATATCTAGTCAAATATTATTTAGTGTCATCGTGGTAAAGATAAAATAAATCAGTTATTAGAAATAAGTTATTAAAACTATTATGTTTAGGAATGTGTTGAAAAAGTCTGCTCACCGTTAAAAAGAAATTGGGTAAAAAATTAAACAGGGGGGCTAATAATTCAGGGGGCTAATAATTCTGACTTTTAACTGTATATCTTAGGAACGGTATAGCACAAATTTTGGCGTTTTTAAAACCTTAACTTTTCCAAACCACGGTATACCTTGAAACCGGTTTTTGTTCCATGCCTAATTAAGTATTGCACGAAAAATATGTTGAATTGTCAGACAGAAATTCAGAATTTTGAGAAAATGGGAAATGTGTGGAAAAGGTCAAAATTTCTCTCACAGTATACAGAATCATAGCAGCAAGAAAATACAATCATTGTTATGTGCAGGTATTTTCTACACATGCTACAGAAAGATCTTTTGATGTTTCGCCAAGTATCTCAACTGTGTCAATAAATCCAAGCAGCTAAAATTGGACTGTGTAAACAATGAAATAAAGCAGCAATAAAAACACACTCCGATATTTCGTTTAAAACAGCTTTGGCTATACTCATATATACATATTTATATGCAGGAAAAGGACCATTTGCTATCGCTGAGCTTTCCGGATGTCTGTTCTCAGATCCTGCGGTTTGACGTCTCCTCAGCAGAACCAGAAGGGCATCCACAGAAGTGAACGCATCGCGGCACCAGCGGCCATTCCTGCCAGGAGACCCAGTGCAATCTGCTCTCCAAAGCCGTCCTCATAAGAGTCTCTGTGCACCCACACATGCTGAGTCCCTGCAGAGACAAACATTCATTTTAGAGGTACAGTACGTCTTCAGTGGATTAAGACTTTACTTGGAATTTGTCAGTAATTGTCTGAAATAATTACAAATAATAATCAGTTTGTGTTAAATTTTCATGTTAAAAGGCTAAAATATGTTTAATGAAATGTATTCAATTCAGTGTTTCCCAACCCTGTTCCTGAAGGCACACCAACAAGACACATTTTCAACCTCTTCCTAATCAAACACACCTGAATCAACTTATCAGAAGATTAGAGGAGACTCCAAAACCTGTAGTTAATAGGTCAGATAAGGGGAGACATCCAAAATATGTACTGTTGGTGTGCCTCCAGGAATAGGGTGTGGAAACACTGATTTAACATATAATACGATTTATTTAAAATATTTGAACAGGAAGTTGAACAAAGTATTAAGAAAGAAAAGAAAAAAATAAATAAAAGTTAAAAGAACGAAATGTTTAAGATTTCTATAAGCTAATTTTGTCTGATTTTGAGAATGTGAAAATGTACACAAAAGAAGGCGATGTAGGATTTACTCTAAATTTACATGTAGATTCACAAATAAATTTAAAAAGAAACATCAAATAACAAAACTAAATATTACATTATTAAGCGGAAAGACTTGTAAAAGGTGACATGTAAGCTGTATTACAAATTAGTATTTTAACAGTGTACTTTAAAAATCAAATAACATTTTACTAATAGTAAAAACAATAAATTACAAACATCTAAAATTATTAAGAAATATTTAAGGCAATTTCTAATTGAGAATTTATATATTTTTTGTGAATGTGACAAAGTTTCAGACCATACAAAAAGATATATATACAGTGGGGAAAATAAGTATTGAACATGTCATGCTTTTTCCTGGTGATAATATTTCTAAAAGAGCTGTTGACATGCAATTGAACCACATTTAGGTAAAAAAACAAACAAACAATACAAACATAAAAATAAAACAAAACTAAAAAAATCTGAAAAATCCGTTATGTGTAATAAGAATAAAATGACACAATGAGAAAGTGCTGAATTACTGAAATGTATTTAATACTTTATATAAAAGTCTTTTTTGGTGATGGCAGCTTAAAGACACTTCTCAAAGGCGTAAGTAAAAATATTGATTGTTCTGTGCGTCTCGTCCATTAAATCTGAGCTTTATTTTTTATTTTTCTATTGGATTCAAGTCAGGTGATTGGTTGGGCCATTCTACAGCTTGATTTTCTTTCTCTGACAGCATTTGAGAGTTTCCTTGACTGTGTTTGGGATTATTGTCTTGCTGAAATATCCAGCTTGGTTTCATCTTCATCCTCCTGTTAATGTAGATGTTGGACTGAAGCAGCTGATATTCATTTACGCTGATGAAGGGCAGAGGGTTGCTGAAGAACTATTGAGAGATTTTAGCTGCTGTCTGGGCGTTCACTGCCTTTCTACACCTCCCTTTCTTCATGTGTTCAATACTTTTTGTTAACATGTTGTTTTATCTCTCTACTTTGTTGACCTGAAAGAAGGTTATCCAGGTTACAAATGAGGGAACGCGCAGGGACGGGGTTTTTATGGTAAATGATTATTTAAGATGTCTCGTATGTATGCGAGGAGGGAATAAACGAAATAAAGTGTGCTTACTAAATAAACGCTGTGTTTATCAAACTATTAACTTTTTCCCAGCATCATTTCATTTTATCATGCATAACTTCATTTATTAACTAATCAGATATGTTTTCTTTACATGTATGTATTTCTTTGGTGGTTAGCAACATCTGGTGAAAGTCTCAAGTCAACAGCACCTTTAGAAATGTGTTTTCTGAGAAAAAAAATTGCGGGTTACACACTTTTTTCCCCCACTGTGTACAGTTGAAGTCACAATTCTTCGACCTCATGTAAAACTTTTTTTTCTTTTTTCAAGTATTTATCAAATGATATTTAACAGAAGAGAAAGTCTTATTTTTATTTTATTTCATTGTTATATAATGACTTGCCTAATTAACCTAGATAAGCCTTCAAATGTCACTTTAAAATGAATACTAGTATTTAAAAAAAATAACTAGTCAAATAATATGTACTGACATGATGGCAAAGATAAAAGAAATCAGTTTTTAGAAATTATTAAAACTACTTTTTATAATAGTTTAATTAACTTTGTTATTAAAACTATTATGTTTAGAAATGTGTTGACATTTTTTTTATTTCTGTTGGGGAAAAATTGACGGGGGCTAATAATTCAGGAGGGCTAATAATTCTGACTTTATCACTATAATACATGTGTAAAAACTCTATTTCTGTGTTTACTTAAGAATGCGTGATGTTTTATAATTAATTACCTCCACAGCCTGTACCTGGCATGATGTAAACTGCATTATGGCTGTCAATTGGAACAGTCTGGTAAGTATCATCATAGGGATTATATGTGAAAACCTGCAATGGTGCAAAGAAATAAAAATATGAGTAAGTGAAAATGTTAAATCGATGACAAATATAGAAAAAATATCCTGCACAAATACAAAAAAAAAACACTCACAGGATTTCTCTTTGCCTCCATGAGTGTGAGTTTCCAGGCCCTAAAATGAAAGCAAACATAAAGCATAAAAAAGTGGGCGGGGCTTCTTGAATTGTGGAAGGGAAGGGGTTAATCAAACATGTCAAAGCTCAGACTTACAGTGCCTCGTCTTCACTGTTGGCACACAGGCTCAGCATAGTGCCGTCTCTCAGATAAACTACCAGCAGATTTTCCCTTGGGTGACTCTCGGGTGGACCTACACCTGTCCATAAACACACTGCTTAGTAAAACAATGTTAAATTCAAGCGTTTATTAGCATAAATACGTTCGAACCTTACCTGCACACTCCAGTCCAGACCTCACATTCACACAGCTGCTCTTCAGATTCACTTTGGTCTCGTAGTCTCTTCTGGATTCACTTTTGTAAAAAACAAAACTTCCATCGATCCACAGGTCACACCAGTTTAGTTTCCAGCGTTTGAGGACAGAAGCTGTTTAACAAAAACTTAAAGTGATTAATTATGTCTCCTTTACAGACCAGCTGATCTAAGGAGCCAACATAACTGTTCAACGTAATGCCAGAAAACTGGCTAATTCATATATATATATATATATGTATGATTTTATGCATACGAAAACATGATTTTTTTAAAGGATCTCTAAACCAATAATCATTCAGTGTAAAAAAAATGTAGGGTTTCACACAATTCATTCATTCATTCATTTTCTTTTTGGCTTAGTCCCTTTATTAATCAGGGGTCAACACAGGAATGAACCGCCAACTTATCCAGCATAAATTTTTATGCAGCGGATGCCCTTCCAGGTGCAACCCATCACTGGGAAACACCTATACACTCTTGTGTTCACACACATAAACTACGGCCAATTTAGCGTACCCTCAAAAAATCTGCTGTAAATTTACTCAAGCCAATTCAGAATATAGTGACTTTTTTCTTCAGCAGAACATTAAAGAAGATTTTTTTTTTTTTTAGATAAAACTGTGGTTCTTAATAATAAATAAATCAACCTTTACAGGCACTTTAAAGAGAAGCAAACATATATAAGCAAAACTAAAGTTAAACCCGTGGCTCCTGATACCATCAAGGTGTTTGTTATGAAGTGAAAAGATAAGTCTGAATAAGAAATTGAATATTATTTTCAACATTATTACATTTGTAAGTGAATTCTGTTTGTCCCCTGATTTTGTCGAGGTTATAATGTTTCCATAGAACATTTCTTGCCTATTTTTATACACAAGAAAAAAAAGTGGATTTAAACGTTATATTTTGCAATGCTGAGTTTTGTTTTTTTAGAGTTTGGATGAAAATTCAGAATTAAGAACTTTGTTCTTGGAATTTGTTTTGAGTTATTTTAATACTACATTTGCTAACAAAATGGGACAGTTCACCCAAAAATTTCAATTCCGTCATTACTTACTCATCTTCCACTTTTTCCAAATTCATTTCAGTTTCTTTCTCTTTTGAATACAAAGGAAGATACTATGGAAAATGTTGGAAGCTTCTATATGTTTTTTCCATATATTTTATGGATGTCAATGGCTACCAGTTACCAACATTCTTTCAAATATCTACTTTTCGGTTCAACAGAAAAAAGCTACTCATATAAATCCGAAACTACTGAGTGGATATGTATTAAATAATTTTCCATTTTTGGGTGAGCTATCCATTTAACTTATTGATAATATAGTTAAAATATAAAAATAGTTTTATACCACATGTAAATGCATTTAGAGTGCACTCCATTGACTGTAAACACATTGATTCTTAATTCTCAGAATTACGAACATTCTAAAGTACATTTTCATGACATTATTTTTTGGTGGGAATCATTTTACATTTTTAAATTACATTTTGATATTCTCCCTTGGTCAGTTGCGTGTGTTTTATTATAGCGAGCACACAACAACAAACTGGACATTCAGCTAGCAGCTAATGTGCACTGTAACACTGACCGTAAGAGGATTATTGCTAACAGTGTCAGGCCTGAAGTTTCATAACAGACCTTCTGGAACAGTACTCCTCGTCCTTTTTTTAATTAATGTATTTAAGTGTGTGTGTATATATAGGATTTTTCCAATTTAGACCATTTAAATTTCACAGAATTTGCAGCCAGACACTTCTAAAACAGCATTTGTGCTTTTGACCATCTATATTTTAATATAAATATAAACATTAGGATTGCTTCTTCCTTAATTTGTGTCCCTAAAAATGAAACTCCCATGGTCACACTTTATTTTAAGGTACAATTCTCGCTATTATCAAACCATTAAAGATGGCTTTTAGCTTAGTGAACTCCTCATTTGCTGCTTATTTATAGTTTATTATATAGTTTAATTTATTATGCTATCGGTTGGGTTTGGATTGGATTAGAGATATGATCATGCAGAATATGTACTTTATTGGGTGGTCTAACCCAACTAGGACGCGATCCTACATTAACATCTATGTTGGTCCTGAAACATCATTTTTTGTTTGAAAATGTGCTCCATACATAATCTTTGCCCCTAAACCCAACCCTAACTGTAAATTATTCCCAAAATTAGAGGGTAATAATATTTGCAAATCCTCATAGATGCACGTAACTCTAACTATTAGCCTAAGCTTAACATAAACTGTAAATGTATCCCTAAATTCTGATTGGCTGATTGAAATGTTGTTCCAGGATCAACATAGATGTTTATCCAGCAACATGTTCTACTTATAAACAGGCAATTTTTGTTGCCAGTAATACTGTGTAATTTACAACTTCACTTTAAATGAACAATTAAAACTGTGCTGTTTATTAATTATTAATTTACAGTGCGCTTGTATATTTGACAGTATTACTGGCAACCAAAATTGCCAGTAATACTGTAAATTTTACAGCATTTTCTGCTGTATACTTAAAGTGTTTCCATTCCTCTGCTATCCTTAATAAGATTACAAAACTCTTCACATAAGCATTAATAAACAAATCTTCCACTTACACTGTCTCCAGAGCCAGCCGGATTTGAGCAGAGCCATCATGAGCCCTGGCCAGTCAGACACCACAACAAAAAAAAAGCAATATTCCCAGTGTTGTGCTGCAGGTCTGATAAGTGTTTTGTTTGTAACTCGGCGATGACTGTTAGTCGTCTCAGCCTTCACTCGGCTTTTGTAGAGCTGGAATAGTTTGATGACTCTTCCTTTAATCCCTTAAACAGGCCAAAGTGACCAGTAATCTCAGATTAAAGCACAGTCTGAGTTTCTACTAGTTGTCTGTGGAATATTCGCTCCCCTTTTGTGTGTTTAACTTCATGCTTGTGTGTATTTTTGTGCATTAAGTCTACTTGTTCACATTGAATGATGAGTATGCATGCTCACACTTAATCTTAATCTCCATATACAGACTGACCTAACCATAATAAATCGACTTTTTGCAATTATTTAATGCCTTCGTAAACTCATTCAATTGGATGTCCTAACAAAAGAGAGTCTAAGTCATTCTGTTGGTATAAAAAAAGGTTTGTTGGTATATAATCAGGGTCACATGCTAATCTTTAATCTCCCCTTTGGCTAAATTTAGCAAATGTTAAATAACTGGAGTAGTTATATCAAGCTAGCTATTTTTAAACCATTGAAGTAACCGACCTATAAACACATTTATCACTGAAACGTGTCATGCTTAGTCATCACTGCATGACGGCACTAGTTTTATAACCCAGGAATTGCCCTTAATCTTGAGCGCTATAGATCATGTTAATTTGACTGGTTTTCACAGTCAAAGGGCCTGAGTGTGTTAACTTTTGTTTGTAATATATTAAGCATCATTATTATGGTGTATTAAGTGTCATAGTTTTAGAAATGTGTGTTTTTGCTAAGCCTGATTATTAAAAGTATATTTAAATCATCATATATAATGTTTACTTATTATTTTAAAATGATAATTTTTTTATTATTATTATTGTTATTTTTTATTATTAATAAAAGTAATTCTAAGATAATAATGTAATTATTATTATTATTATTATTATTGCTATTGTTAAAAAAGAATAATGACTTATTATTATTATTATTATTATTATTATTATTATTATTAACAATAGCAATAATAATAATAATAATAATTAATAATAACATTTAGCCCCATAGTATATTTAGAAATGTACTTGTTGCAATGCATGGTAATTTTAATGTATTTTATCTATATTAATATCAACTACTGTTATTAATATTGATCATTTATAATCAACGTTGGTAAAATCAATACACAATGAATGCTAATTTCAAATAATGCTATTTGTGATACTGAAATATAGCAGCAGCAACAGCTATAATAATAATAAAAAATAATAATAACAACACATTTAGTTCCATTGTACACTTATAAATGTATTTATTGCAATCCATGGCCATTCATAAATGTATTTGTAATTATTTATAATCCTACTGCTACTAATAATAATAACTATTAATGTTACTATAACCAATACATAAATAAAATATTATTTTGCATAATATTATTTATTATCCGTAAATACAGCAGAAGCAACAGATATAAAAATGGTATTAATAATAATAATGGTAATAATAATAATAATAATAATAATAATAATAACAACAACAATAATAATAATAATTATTATTATTATTATTATTATTATTATTATTAATAATAATAATAATAATAAAATCATTATTATTATTTAATTACGTATTTTATTTATATTTGTATTTATTTAATGCATGGTCATTTACTGTTATTTAATGATAATAAATCATGTTTATTAAGTATTTTGCTAGTAATAATTGTTAGTTAAAAGTATTTATTATTATTATATTTTCCAGTATTATTATTATTATTAGTAGTAGTAGTAGTAGTATATTTTCTATTATTATTATTATTTGTATTAATAATATACATATAAAGTAAAATACCACAGGAATAATGATTATTTATATTTTTATTATTAATGATAATTTATTATTAATAATATTTGATTCATATTAATAATAGTTTCATAATTTAATTTAAATGTTTATTTATATTTATTTATTTATTTATTTATTTAATGCATTGTCATTTACTGTTTTTTTTAAATATTATAAATAATGTTTATTAAGTATTTTTGCTAGTAATAATTGTTAGTTAAAGTATTTATTATTATATTTTCTATTGTTATTATATTATCTATTATTATTATTATTATTGTTGTTGTTGTTGTTGTTGTTATTATTATTATTATTATTATTATTATTATTATTATTATTATGCATGTCAATTGAAATACTATTGGAATAATAATGAATATGTATGTTCAACTTTTGACGAGCTCCCCATATCTTTACTTACTCACACCACTAGATGGCCTCATCTCACAACAACACATGCCACAGGCCTGTTTTCTCGGTCATTCCATCTCATTAGGATGAAGATGGTATCAATAAACACAGTGACAATAAAGATAGAATGTGTTTATCATCATCACTGCATTATGTAAAGAATAAGTGATAAAGAGTAGACCTGTGAATCCAATTTCCCATAATCACAAGCAAACACAAATCCTGAAAGCTAGTCTGTAGGCCTAAACAGTCAGTCTCAACGGAAACAAGCAGATTTATAAATGCACTGTTTACACGAAGGCAACGAGAAAGCATTATTATTATTATTATTATTTTATTTTATTATGCTTTACTGTAAACAAAAGTCAATTACCTTGTTAAATTGGAATAAAAAAGCAAAATAAAAACACCGCACATTTGACTGTTTACCTGATTGAGCCGCTGGAGGGCGCTGTTCTTCTTTTCTGTCACTGACTAAAGTTCGCTTCACTTTTCAGTCGAGTTTGTATGTGTGCGGATATACGGAGCCTCTGGAAGTATTTTGGCGATTTTCATTCAATGCTTATATTTATATAACTCAATATTCCCTGCGTTTCTCCGTCTCGTAGATGTGTCTGGGTTTCGCGAGTGAATTGGAAGGAGTTTATTTATGTCCTGTATATTCAGGTCTAGACAGACATGCAGCCTCCCCCAAGAAAGGTGAGTCGACCTTCGTCTTTAATTGATAATCAATCTCATTTACTATGGCCTTTGTTGTTGTCATATAGTATATTTATATATATATATATATATATATATATATATATATATATATATATATATATATATATATATATATATATATATATATATTATGTACATAAGTATATTTGCTTACTTACCTTCTTGTTTGCGAACAAATTGAAGATATGTAGATAGATAGATAGATAGATAAATAGATATAGATAGATAGATAGATAGATAGATAGATAGATAGATAGATAGATAGATAGATAGATAGATAGATGTCATATTTTTATGCTGAGATTTCTTTTTAGAACTTTTAATTGAGTTGATAATTCAATATCTGGTGAAATGACCCTGATTCATGTTGTTTTCCCGAAGTAAGTCCTAAAATATATATTTTTAAATTAAATTTGTGAATAAAAATGCTTTCAGATCTTTATAGACCTTAAAATTGCTGGGTTGTCATAACTCAACATTGGGTCAAATATGGAAAAAACAAATATTTACTTTAAATATTGTCACTGAAATTTAATAATAATAATAAAAAATTCAATGTTGAGTTTGCCCAAATTTGACCCAACGTTGGCTAATTATTTAGATATAGAGTAAATATTCACATGAACACACAGTATGCTAAACATAATACATAAAATGTCTGTTTACTTTTGTCAGATGCATTTTTGTTGCATAAAATAAACAAAATATGTCATATTTTTATGGTTATATTTATTTTTAGACAACACGACAACAACATCTATGAGTTCAGTATCTGGAGAAATGACCCTGTTTCTGATCACCAGTTGCTGTTTTCCCAAAATATGGACTAAATTATATATATATATATATATATATATATATATATATATATATATATATATATATATATTTTTTTTTTTTTTTTTATTTAAAATTAGGAATGAATGCTTTCAGATCTTTATAAACCTTAAAATTGCTGGGTCATCGTAACCCATATTCGGTCAAATATGTAAAAAAAAAAATAGTTGTGTTAAATATTGTAATTTAAATTTAATTGAAACAATTGACCCAATGTTGAGTTTTCCCATATTTGACCCAACATTTGCTACATTTTTCAGAGTATAGAATACATATATACACAAACACACAGTACACTAAACATAATACATAATGTTTCTGTTTACTTTTGTCAGATTCACTTTTTTGCTAAAAACAAAAAACAAAAAACGAAAGATGTCCTATTTTTATGCTTTCATTTCATTTTAAAAAACACAACAACAACGTTTAACTGATTTGAGAATTCAATATCTGGAGGAATGACCCTGATTCTGACCACCAGTTGCTGTTTTTTCTGAAATATGTCTGAAATTATAATTTTTCGATTTAAAATTAGTATTAAATGCTTTCAGATCTTTATAAACCTTAAACTTGCTGGGTTGTCGTAACCCAACATTAGGTCAAATATGAAAAAAACACATTGTGTTGCGTTGAATATTGTAATTTAAATTTCACTGAAACAATTAACCCTCTGTTGATTTACTTATATTTGACCTAAAGTTGGCTACGTTTTCAGAGTGTAGAATAAATATATACACAAACACACAGTGTGCTTCACATAATACATGTTTGTGTTTACTTTTGTCAGTTGCACTTTTTTTGTTGCATAAAATAACAAAAGATGTCGAATTTTTATGCTTATATTTATTTTTAGAAAACACAACAACAACGTTTATGAATTCAGTATCTGGAGGAATGACCCTGATTCTGACCACCAGTTGCTGTTTTCCCAAAATATATTAAATTATAAATAACTATAAATATTTATTTTATATATATATATATATATATATATATATATATATATATATATATATATATATATATATATATATATATATATATATATATATATATATTTATTTAAAATTAGGAATAAATGCTTTCAGATCTTTATAAACCCTAAAATTGCTGGGTCATCATAACCCAACACGTGGTCAAATATGGAAAAAACAAATCTAAATCTTGTCATTTAAATTTAATTTAAAAAAATGAACTCAACTCGGACTCAACCCAACCCAACTTTGTCCATGTTTGAAGCAACAT